GAATTGTTAAGATTGGAAAAGACCTCTAGGATCATAGAGCCCAACCACAGCTATCTGCTTTAAAAATAACCCCCTAACCAAACCATCACACTAATCACAAGGCATATAAAAAGATAGCAGGAATTCATTACTGTTGCATTCTAATGGGTTGAGGAATCCAATTACTCATTTGTGCCCTTAATAAAATCTTATCCAGAAGTCTCATTCTCCTGTAGGACTAATCCTCTCAGAAATAATGTCCTTCTCTTGCTGCTGGTTGGAGTGTTGTGCACCCAGGGCTTGCACAGACAGGCAGTCTCTCCTCAGCAGCCTCCTCATGAAATGGGTGTTCATCATGTGCATGCTTAAAATGTTCTATTTTCAATGCAAGAAATTGAAACCCTCCTTCCCCACTCTCATAGAAAGGTTTCATCTCACATCCCCACCAGAGCATCACATATTGCCACACAGATTTTCACCCAATGCCAACAAGAGGCTGTAATAGGTTCTGGACCCACACCTATTATATTTTTTGAATGATGCTGCTTGCTGTTCCATTATATCACACTCACAAGATTGTATTTGAATAACCAATAATTTTAATAACCCCCAGAAAAGTTAATTTCCAACACCGTAGCACAAATGGTTCAACATCTGCTCTTGGCTGCTACACGGGGTTTGATAAATGACATCACTTACATAATATAAATGGGAATTGCTTGGTTACAAATCTAATGTGCTAAGCTGCCTCTGATGCATGCAGTTTCTCCAGCATTCAAAAAAACCCATTTCACGTGTCACAGTTTACCCACTGCTGCATTATCTCATTAACTATCTCCTCCCAAAACAGACTGGGAATGCAAATCCTACTGAAAATCCACAGATTTAGGGCACTTACCAGGGTTGGATAGGATGCCCCAGGAGTTGAGCTTTTGTGTTAACAGATGCACAGCATCCCTGGCATTTTTTTGGTCACATTGAACTGGAAAAATACAATGTGGTGATAGGGGCAGGGTGCTGAGGTGGGAGGCTGGACACAACTGGAGGTGCTCAGCTACAAACCCTTCTGTAGGTTCCCCATGGTGACTGAAGCCAAGGGTTGCAACAGGCAGCGCCCAGCTTTTCCTTGGTGTCCCCCAGCCCCTCAGCATCCTGCTGCTTAGCCCTGCATTTCCAAAAAAATTCCCTTTGGATATCTGGTGGAAGCAGTTTGGTGCCTGGGAGGAGCACCAGCAAAATGTGAGCACGAGCCAGAGCCTCTGTGGGAGCTGCAAGGGACCCGGGTTTCTGCCCAGGACTCCTGAATCCCACAAAAAGGAGCAAAAAGCTTCCATGTTTTAGCACTCAGAGGTAATTCCTGCTGTAACCCCAGCCCTGGCAGCAGACCAGGGAGAGTTCAGGGCCAGGTATTCCATGGCAGCTTTCCCTGTGCCATGGCACAGTCCCTGTCTGAGAGAGGGTGGACATACAGCCAGCTGGGATGGGAGAGCTCCTGCCTGGAACTGGGGTGTAACAAGAGGCACAGGCAGCAAAGCAAGAGAGAACAAGCCGTGGCAGGATGTATTTAATAATCCCAAACCCAGAAAACCCGACTGCTAACTCACAGTGTCTGAAAAAACAGGAGACAACTGGCCACAAAGGAACCAGAGGCATGTGGGGATGCCCTCCCCTAAAGAGGGACATATATCCTGCTGCTCAGACAAGGGATTTCTCAATGAGCAGGGAAAAAGAAAATAGAGAAAGAAAAAATTCTTGGAGATTGCAAACACCCAGCCTCCAGCTGGACTGAACACCATACAGACTACATTTGATTTGTGTTTTAAATGAACTGCAACGCTACTACACAAACCAGATCCTTCAGAGATGAATGTAAGCAGGGAGAAGAGATTTCTACCCTGCTTCACAGTCAAATACCATTCTGTGTGATCTGCACCAAAAATAAAAATGCCACTTTGCCAGACACTGGAGTCTCCATCTCCTAGCAACACGCCCCACCCAGCCTTTTCCTGGAGACCCTTCAGCTCCTGCCTGCCAGCTCAGCTCCCTTCCCCCGTGTCTGCAAACGAGATACCCATGATAGAGATACACACACATGTATGTATATTCTTAAAAGCCAGAGAGAAATTTAGTAAACCTTCTCAAGCCTGAGCCCTGGCACTGTTTTCCAGGAGCATCCCAGGCTCTGCTCTCAGCTCTCACCAGCAGTGGAGAGGGTGGAAGGCACTGACCCACCTGGGGACATCCTTGCTGCCGAGCAAAGGCTTTTCTGTGAGTCTCCTGCAAAATTAAGCCTCCAAAATATATCCTGTAAATGAAAAACCTCATTAATATTAATTAGTAGACAGTTTCTGTGTGTCAACAAGCGGTGGAAACACTCCTGACATCAGCTTGCTCTGAGATTTAGTGACCAGCTTTCAGGAAACAAGCAGGACAGCAGAACAGTGCATCTCCATACAGCAGCTCTTGTTAAACATATTAGTTTAACCATTAAACAAACACCACTCGAGTTCACACCTCTTTGTGTGGTGTTTCATTCAGGGAGAGCCAGGGCTTGCCAGGACTGGAAGGGGAGATCAAACAAACCCCAAAGACAGAGCAGAGCTGCCCAGAGCTTGCAGGGTAAAGGTTTGCATGGGCTGACGACTGCAGCTGCCTGAAGAAGGCAGAGATTTCTCAGGCATTCCAAGAGATGGAAGCTTTGCTGTCTTATCCAAAGTTTACTGTTTGTAAAAGCTGTTTCTCTTATGCCTTCACGTACATCAATTGTTCTGGTTGAACAGAGATGGTTTCATTATACTACAAAAGGTTTTGTGTTACAGCAACCTTCCTGTTCTACCCTCAGCTTGTTATTTTAGTTATTTATGTTATTGGATTTCTTGAATTAAGTTGCTGTTTTATTATTTATGATAGCACAGTTGCATAGGCTGGTCATTATTTTATCAGGGACCTTGTGTTTACACACACTGTTCCAGCTTCCCAAACAGCTCTTTATTACCTTGTAGCACAGATTGCATTTGTGACTGCCTTCTGCTACTTCGTGCAGCTGAATGAGAAACAAAGAGCTACAAATTAACACTATTAAAATGTGGCAGGACCACTTTCCAGCCATGCTAGGTGCTGATTTTGGTGTTCAGTCATGCTACTTTTTTGGGAGGAGCATCCATTCTGGTTTTTTTATTTTTTAATGTGAACAATTCATATGGTCCAGACAAAGTTTATGTTCTACCTGGGAGATGAGGGAGAACTTCCTGCTTTCACTATTGAATTTTTGAATTCTGTCTGAAACTGTCCATTGAGTGCACCTTGCTTCCCAGTCTAAGGCACAGCTGGTGCCAGAGGGTGCATTTGGAGCCCTGTCCCTCACACTCAGCATCCCTCCTGTGGGGATGTGCTCTTTGGGCCAAAAGCAGCTCCCCTGGCTGGTGAACAGTGTCACCAAAAGGAGGGATCAGCACAAGGAAGCAGCTCCAAAGCAGGACATACCCCAAGGACAGTGCCACCCTCTGATGGGCACATCCCTGGGCAGGTGTGACATCCCTGACAGGCAGAGAAGGGTCACCTCAAGGACACTGTGACCCTCGGGTGGGTGTCACTCCAAGGAGGTGCCACACCAAGCCAGGCACACCACAAGGAGGGTGCCCCAAGAGGAGGGTGTGCTCTAAGGGCCATGTCCCCACATCAGGCAGCTGTACCCCCAAGGAGGGAGCAGCCTAAGGGTGCCACCACCCCGAGGAGGGTGTCACTGCAGGGATGCTGAGGACAGTGCTACCGAAGGAGGCTGTCACCCTTTGGTGACACAAACAGGTGCCAATTGAAGGTGTATAAGGAGGACAGTGCCACCGGAGGACGATGTCCCTTGTGGCAGATACTGCTCTGAAGGGATGTCAGCCCCAGCACGTACATGGCAGCAGAGAATGTACCCCGAGTACAGTGTCACCCGGGAGGGTGTACACCCCTGGCAGGTGCCTCTCTTAAAGGGTGTCACCCCCAGGAAGGTGCATGGCAATAGAGAACAAACTCCGAGAACAGTGTCACCGGAGCAGGGCATCATCCCAGTCAGGTGCGTACTCCGAGTACAGTGTCACTAGGGGAGGGTGTCACCCGAGCAGGTGCCTTTCTAAAAGGGCATCAGCCCCAGTAAAGTGCTTGGCAATAAAGGATGTCACCAGAGCAGGTCATCACCCCAATCAGGTGGGTGACAATAGAGAATGTACCCTCCGAACAGTGTCACCGGAGTAGGGCATCATCCCCGGCATGTGCCTCTCTAAAAGGGTGTCAACCCCCAGGAAGGTGCGTGGCAATAGAGAATGTACTCCGAGAACACTCGGGGAGGGCATCACCCCTGGCAGGCGAGTGGCAATAGAGAATGTACCCTCTCAATAGTGTCACCCGGGCAAGTTGTCACCCCCGGCAGGTGCGTGGCAATAGAGAATATGTATGTACCCCGAGTACGGTGTCACTCGGGGAGGGTGTCACTCCCGCAGGTGCCTCTCTAAAAGGATGTCACCCCCAGTCAGGTGGGTGGCAACAGAGAACGTACCCCGAGAACAGTGTCATCGGAGCAGGTTATCACCCCAGTCGGGTGGGCGGCAATAGAGAATATATACCCGGAGCACGGTGTCACTCGGGGAGGTGTCACCCCGGCAGGTGCGTGGCAATAGAGAATGTACCCTCTGACCAGTGTCACCCAGGGGAGGGTATCACTCCAGTCAGGTGCGTGGCAATAGAGAATATGTACCCCGAGCACGGTGTCACCCGGGAAGGTGTCCCCCCGGCAGGTGCGTGGCGATAGAGAATGCGCCCCGAGTACGGTGCCCCTCGGGGAGGTGTCAGCCCGGCAGGAGCCGCCCCCAGGGGTGTGCCCGGCAGGTGCCCCGGTTGGGGCGGTGTCCCCTCGCTCGGTTCCGTTCCCCGCGGTCGCACCTGGCGCTCGGGCGCTCCCCGCCCCCGGCCGGGCCCGCTCCGCTCCCCGCCCCGCCGGCCCGGCCCTGTGCATTGTGGTCCGGCGGCGGGGGGCGAACATGGCCGAGAAGCAGAAGCACGATGGGCGGGTGAAGATCGGCCACTACGTGCTGGGGGACACGCTGGGGGTCGGCACCTTCGGCAAAGTCAAGAGCTGAGTACCGCGGGCGGGGCCGGGCCGGGCCGGGCCGGGTGCGCCCCTCGCCGCCGCCTCCCTCCTCCGCTCCCGCGGCCTCCGCGCCGGCATCCCCTCCCTTCCCTCTGCCCCGCTGCCTGCTCCCGGCTCCTCTCGGCATCCCCGGGGCTGGCGGGGCCGTGCCCGGGGCACACGGGCGGTGGGGCGGCCGCTGCCCGCGGCGGGGATGATGCGGGCGGCCGGTGGGAGATGCAGCGCTCGCCCCGGGCTGCTCCGGGCTGTCACAGCCCCCGGAGCCCGTGCTGCGAGCAGGACCCACCAAAACTTCGCTCCCGCGCTCGGAGGGAGGTGATGGGGAGGCTGGAGCGCGCACCGGCATCCTGCCCCTCCGTGCCGGGAATGCGCTCCTCGCTGCTTCCCTTCCCGACAGGGGCCGGCAGGTGCTCCGGGGGTGCTCCTGGGGTCGGCAGGTGCTCCCGGGGTGCTCCTGGAGCCGGCAGGTGCTCCGGGGGTGCTCCTGGAGCCGGCAGCGAGCGGGGCTGGTGCTGCCGCCGCTCCGAGCATCGATCGCCCCGCAGCCCCGAGCGGCTCGGCGGGGATGGAGGGGCCGGGGAGGGCAGGGATGAGCCGGCTGTGCCTGCACCTGGGGAAGGGAAGGCTCCAGAGCCACCTCGGAGCACCTTGTAGTGCCTAAAGGGGCTGCAAGAGACCTGGAGAGGGATTTGTGGCAGGGCGTGGAGTGGTGGGGCCAGGGGGAACGGCTTCGTGCTGACACAGGGTGAAATTAGTTAGGTGAAATGCTGGGGAGAAATTGTTCCCTGTGAGGATGCTGAGGCCCTGGCACAGGGTGCTCAGAGAAGCTGTGGCTGCCCCGTCCCTGGGAATGTTCAAAGCCAGGTTGGAGCAACCTGGGATAGTGGGAAATATCCCTGCCCATGGCAGGGGGTGGGATGAGATGAGCTTTAAGGTCTCTTCCATCCCAAACCATTCCCGGGTTGCAGAATGGGGAGATTGTGTCAGGTTGGGGCTCCACACAGGGATTCCTTGGCCAGTCTTGCCAGAGCAGCCAGCTCACATCCTGAAGGCTTTGCTTTACCTGGCTGCGAGGTTTGCAAATATTTGTATTTCTTTTTCCTGTGAATTCTGCCATTTCGTGCAGAATTTCATTTCTTATACAAGACACTGAAAAAACCAGAAAACCAACAAAAGTCAGTGTCTAAGCTGTGTTTCCCAGTAGGAAATGGGTTTAGCTGGAGCTGGGGGAGCAGCTGTCCCACTCAGTGTCCCCCCACCCCATTGGGATGTGGCTGGGCAAAGGGGTGCTGTGCCTGCCCTCGGTGCCTGGAGTTTTAAAATAAACCCAAATTGACAGCAGATGAAAGAAACCACCACAACCACTGCAGCTAGGTCCACCTGTGGCCATTAATCACGCCCCTAAAAATATATTGCTCTGTTTAATCCCAAACCACAAATTTACTGTCTAAAGAATTATCAGAATAAATACTTCTAACAGTAAGGACCATTTAAATCACTCCTGCGTACTAGCAGACCTCAAAACTGCTCCAAAGGCAGGTTTTTTCCTTGCAGATCAATTTAAACCTGCCAACAATATCTTTTTTTTTCCTTAACTAGCACAAATACCCCCTACCCCACATATAACCTGAGTTAGGTAAAAATGGACATTTTCCAAAGAAATATTTCAAACAACATAAAAGAGATTTCCTAGCTCAAAATCCTTTATAGGTGAGTAGTACCCTATTTTTGTTTCTTTTCCCTTAATATTGTGCCTACAACTGACAGGTGAAGTTTGTGCTTGAGATGGGAACTGAAATGAAGAAATTGAATCTCCCATTTATAGAGAATTACAGTATTTTAATCGATTGAGCTTTAGAAAAACTTGTATTCACATGAGAAAAGCAGAGGTTTTTGTTGATTGATTCAAGCATTGTGTGTTGGGTATAATAATTGCTTTTTCAGGGAGAAGTCAGGTACCATCAGTGACATTTCTTGTTGCTGATGTGTTTTCTTCAAATTCTGCCTTGCACAAGGTTTTGGTACTTTTTCCTGCCTTACTCATCAAAATTAAGAAATCATAACTTACAGTTGTTCAGGACTATTGTTATTAAGGAAATAAGAAATGGCAATGAAGGGGAGGATTTTGTGACATGGGGTACAAACCAGAGCTTGAACTCATGGCTGGAGCTGAGCAGTCACTTTGAGCCATCAGAAGCCAGAGACATGATGGAAAAAGTGCCTGGGTCTTCAGGGAACTGATCCTCCTAAAAACTGCCTGAACACTGCAAGAAACTGTTCTGTTTTAAGCCCATTCAGTTTCTTGATCTCATTTACAGAAAATCCACCCAAGGCATGGAGGGGAGCAAATAGGTTGGCAGATGAGGGCAGGATTTTGGTGATAATACTGAAATTCCATCTGGAGATGAGGATGAGGATGGAGCATCTGTTAGAAGAGAGGAAGGTGGCAGGAGCTGATGTGGTGGGTGGATAGGAGGTGTCATGTTGAGACTTGAAGTTACCACACAGCGTTTTTACCAAATATATTTGTTTTCCCTGTCCTCCAGGCCAAAGATTAGAATAATTTGCAGAAATAGAACTGTGGAGAAGATCTTGGATTTGGAGTTTAGCAAAGCCTTGGAGGAAGGAGGTGGCATCTCCTTCCCTGGGGGTTGGTAAGAACAGATGAGACAAACTGTGTTTGCTGTGGGCACGTTCCAGCCTGTGGGTCCCCAAAAACTTTCCTGTGACCACAGCCCTCACACAGGGAGGTTGGTGCAGCCTGGAGAGCTTCAGTCAAAATCCAGCAGAGTAACCCAGATTATTTTATTTTTTTTGTCCATGTGATGCCACCCACAGCATCCCTGGGGGCCTTGGTGGATTCTTTCCCTCGCTTGTTTGCCACAGAAGTGACCAATTTGTGGTCCCTTAAGGACTGTCAGTCTTGGGTTGTGTTTGTCACCTCCATGGGCTCCAGTCAGGATCAGATCCCATTTTTCCCAGGCTCTGTAGCATTGCTGCTGAAAGACAAACTTTGTGTCAGAGGGAAGATAAACTAAAGGAGGCTGAGCAGATGAAGGACAGGGAGAGGCTGATATAACACACAAGCAAGTGGCACTGGGGCAGAATTTATACAGCATTGCTAAATATATGCTTTGGATGGATTTCATTTTTAACTTTGGGCTGAGATAAGGGCCAGCAGAACTGATAGGGAAGGAGTTTCCTCACCCCTCCACAAGCTTCTACATTGCCCTGAAGCATTTGCAAAAATGTTAACTGCTTGTGCTGCCTGAGCTGGTAGGATAAAGAAAGTGATGCAAAAGCCCATGCTGTCAAGGGGTTTTAATTATTATCTGTGCTTGTAGTGCTATAATCGCTATTCCTCCTCAATTTTTTTTTTCTTTTATAAAAATAAGTAAATGTCAGGAGTCTCCCTTTCTACTTTTTTGATCCGGGGAGGCAGTGAGAGGGAAGGAGGTGTCTGCACCACCAGCCAAGGCCACCACTGCCCACCCTTGGGGTGAGGATCCTCTTCCATGCCTGTGGGAGACCTGGGACCTGCCCCTGACTTCTGGGATGATCCTGGGGTTCAGAGCTCTGTGAGCAGAGGGAGGGTTGTCCTTACTGCCCATGTCTAAATTCCTGCAGCTACAGACAGCCCTCAAAGGCTTTAAAGTCTCCCACCACATAGGAAATTTTGTTCCCTCTTTGTCTCTCTCTCACCGAGTTCAAGGAGGCTTAACAAGTCACTGGGGACAGAAACAATAATATCTCTGTATCTAATGCTTACTGTAAGCAAAAGATGGATTACAAAATAGGCTGTTTATTTTTAATTATTAATGTGTTTGTGCTAGCAAACCTTTGCAGAGTTACACATTGTTTGTCACGGATGGGAAAGGGGATGAACTATTTGGCAATAGTATTAAAAACAATAATTATTCATGCTGGGCATAGCCATTTTTTTCCCCCTAGTGTATAATAAAAATTTTTCCAAGCATATGCTGAGGCAAGGCCAGAAAGTGTTGTCCTGAAACAAAGGGTGGCAGAAATCAGAATTTTCCTCCTAGTTCAGAGAAAAAACTTTGCTTTACCTCCCTGCAGAACTGCCCTGCTCTCCTCTCCCCAAGGATTCACCAGTTAAAATGCCTCCCTGGACTATTTACAGCACTCCTTGCACTGCACCAGAGGAATTATCTGCCTCCTCCAGCCCTCAGCTAATCCCTAAATTGCATCTCTACTGCAAAGCTGAGTTTATTTTCATTCCATCATCTAGTAGTTTTAAGTATTACGAGGAATAAAATGGACATGCAAAGTGGCGCTTTAATTTTCAAGGGCAGTAAAGTGTTTTATTTTTAGGATGCTCTTATTGAGGAAAGAATCTCTGGCAGGTCTTATCTGGTGGCTAATAATAGTGACCTGGTGTGCCCTGAGTGCTGCTGCCCTGCCCTTCTCACGCCTCCTGCTTACCCTGGGTGCTTCTGATCAGCTCATTAGGGCTGCCAAAATTACGGGCTCTAATATTGTAATAACAAGGTTTGCTCACGGTAATTAACTCCTTGCACCACGTGTTATTACTGGAAGGGTGATGTTGGTAATTAGAGAGCACAAATATTTACTGTAAGCAGGTTTTTCTGTTCAGGCTTTAGGAAGCCATCCGTGTGTCACCCTGTTGAATATCACATTATAAAATATTGAGAAGGGGCAGCTCGTTCTGAGAACCCTTTTTTTTGGTATAAATACCCCGTTTTCAAGCTGTTTCTGCTCTCAACTTCAATATAAATCTGGCTTCCTGGGAGCTTTTTATTTTCTGTGTGGTTTGTTTATGGGTAACAAGTGGATCCCATGCTGAATTCATTTCACATCATTAGGTACAATTCTGCCAGTGACAGTGGGGCTGCTCCTCCCAGTTTATGGTTATGGTTTTTCCCTGAACACAGGAGATAAACATCAGCATCTCAATGCACCAAGTGCATTTAAAAAAAACCAAAAAACATATTGAAGTTTGCATCTTTCCTAAAAGCAGACTTTGCTCCTGCAGTCCAGCAGTGTTCCTGCAGCTTGTCATCAAAGCAAGAAGCATGCTGGAGGAAGTATAAATAGAAATTCATTTTAGTAATGCAAATCCTACAGTCCTATTTTGGGCAAGGAAAATCCCCACACCATTTTTTCAAAAAAGAAGTGTGATGGTCTAGTTTTAAGACTGGGTTTATGAGGGATTTTGTCTACCAGTGTGTTATGGTGGAGATTCTCCTCTGCCATTTAAATATATCTGTTTCTGATTAATCTAGCTTTTACATGCTATAAATCCTTGCAAATTAGCTTGGGGTATGACCTCCTCCAGCAACTCACTCTGTTTTATTTAGTGGAGTAGTTTTGGCAGATAAGTCTCCTCTCTTCTGCCTTCTATGACTCCACTGGGAAAATAGTGAAGAGACAAAAACTTTAAAATAGTTCACACCCTCATCTTCTGCTTTTTTTCCCTTCAGAAGTGGCGTTTTGCTTATAGTGCCCTATAAACTGCTCGTGTGAACCCTGCTGCACTGTTTAGTGACTTTGCAATGCCTTCTGTCTCTAATAGTTGGTGAGCACCAGCTGACAGGGCACAAAGTAGCAGTGAAGATACTGAACAGGCAGAAAATCCGCAGCCTGGATGTGGTGGGGAAGATCAAACGAGAAATTCAGAACCTGAAGCTCTTCCGGCACCCTCACATTATCAAACTGTGAGTACCCTCCCTGCCACCTCTGTGCACAAACACCTCTCAGACACACTCAGCTGGGTTTCAGGAGATGGATTAGAGCAGTAAAAAATATGTTTGGTCAAGTTTTCGTGTGTTAGATGATCCACTGGCACAGGTTTTCCAGAGAAGCTGTGCTTCCCCATCCTTGGAAGTGTTCAAGGCAAGGTTGGATGGGTCTTCAAACAACCTGGGATAGTGGAAGGTGTCCCTGCCCATGGCAGGGGTTGGAAATGGATGGTCTTTAATGTCCCTTCCAACCCAAACCATTCTATGATTCCATGAATTGCAGCATGGTCAGGCTCTGAGAGTGAAACCTTGGCCTCCAGTCAATAGGATTTATGTTTTAATGGACTGATTATCCAGAGCTTAAAAGAACATTTTTTTTTTTTTCAAAATTTATTATTCAGACATAAGTTTTGAAAGTCACCACTTTGATGAACCTGAGTTGGGGTTGTAAATCAGCACCTGCACTGCAGCCTCTGGGATTCCTGCTCAATCCCCAGTTTGTGCAGCCAGCCCACATTAATGAGGCACTCGATAATATCTTTGGCATTCCTATAAAAGAAAGCTGTTGAATGGTAACTGCAAGGGTAAGTTGACATTTAGGTCAGCCTTAAAACTGGCATGAGATATAGCAAATACCTGGGACTTAGAGGCAAGGGAAAACAAATTCTCTCTGCAGTTAAATAACTAACCATGCAGCAACTGTTGACTTTAGAGTAACTTCACAGTTCCATGGATTTATTGGAGAACAGATTGGTATTATTTCATGAAAAAAGCGCCAGCAAGACTCCTCAGCTGTGTGCCCAGCATCCTGCAAGTCAAATCCTGTTCACACATTTGTCAAAGCAATAAAAATTAAATCCAGTTTGACAATATCTGTGTCCTATGATACATGTTGCATTCGTGAAATACAGTGATAAAGATGTGAGGAGACTGGGGCACACAAACCTCTTTCAATAAGTTTTTAAATGTATATAAAAGAAATATTGGGGAAATTAACTGTAACTTAGATATCTGGATCCAAAGCTGCTCAGAAAAATGAGGTTGATGCTATTGATCTTTATGGGAGTATCCCACATTCCTGTGCCAGCCTCTGGAAATTGCTGAAATCTCTGTGTTTCAAATTACAGCCCTGTAAAAATTTATGAAATTCATCTTAAAAAAAAAAAAAAAAAAAAAGCAAATAACAACAAAACAATGAATCTGAAATAAAAGAGAGGGAGGTCCCAGCTGGTGCTGCTGTGAATTCCTGGGGCTGCATTGACCTCAGCTGATTACTGGCAGTTTATTCCAGCTGGGACACTGGAATGTCTTTGCAGCACTCAGGTCATTTTGAAGGAAAGTGGAGAATAAATCTGTGAGTTTAAGTGATACTCTGGGTTTTTCCCCCCATTCTAGAAGGATTTTTTCCCCCATTCTAGAGAGATTTAATATCTGAAAAATAAGTTTAGGGGATCTCCTTTTCATTTCTGTACCTGTCCAGAGGAAGCTCCCTCTAGTGCCTAGAACTCTTTATCTTCTTTTTTCTTGCTATGAGGGACAGCAGATGGATCCTCTCCTTGCCCCCAGCTAACCAGGACTTCATTTCTAAAGCTGTTGTTGCAGATCTTACCCAAAATGGAAATTTGAAAGTCAAGGCAGTCCTAAGTGTGGTAAGATTGCCTGGCAGATATTTCAGAGGATTATTTAAAGGGCTGAAGGAAGATCATAGGTCTGGAAAAGATGTGTTTTCACAGGCAAGTGAAAGATTGTACTAGAAACAAGTGACAGCTTTTCAGCAAGATCCAAACAAATTCTTATTTGAAGTGTTGATTTGGAATTAATAATCTGTTTAAAAGCCTTTCCCTGTTCTTAATTGCATATTTCTTCTATATCTGCTTGTGTTTTTGAAGGTACCAGGTCATCAGCACACCAACAGACTTCTTCATGGTCATGGAATACGTGTCCGGCGGGGAATTGTTTGATTACATCTGTAAGCATGGACGTGTAAGTGCCAGTCCTGAGTCAGCCCAGACATTTGTGTGGGAAGAGGATGGTGTTCAGGAGCAAAATGATTGCTCAAGGGAGCACAGTTAAGGTTAAAGCCCAAAATAGAAGTTGCTTCACAGCAACCCCGTCCGTGGTGTCTCGTACTGGCTCACACGAAACTTGTGTGTGATTTTCTGCAGCGTTCTCTGGTGTATTTTCAATCCTGAAACCAAAATATCCAAGGTAACGTGTTGCTTAGGGCAAATATTTGGAAAACTGGCATATTTTTGTGATTTTTAGCTATGAGTTGCCTGTCAAAACTCCCACGAATCAGCAGCCAATTTATGGCATGGGAGGGGAAGACCACTTGGTGTGGTCTCTGCCCCAGTCATTCACCTCTCCCAAACCCCCCCTAGGCTCCACGCCAGGTCCTTTGAAGGCTTTTCAAGGATGTGGCTTATCTGAACAACATTTTCGAATGCCAGCAGTCCCAGTGGGTATAAATCACCTGAGGTGGGTTGAGCCCATGAAATGTGAGATTTTGGTTGCAAGGAAAATCGCTGGTGTCTGCCCTGGGCAGGTAAGGAGGTAAAAATGGGCCAAAGTGGACATCCAGAGTAAGGGTTCAGGTGCAGGATCAGCCTATCACAACTTCACTCTCTGTGCTACCAAATCAATACATTTACAGCAAATTGGGTTAGATTAGTGCAGTGCTCAATGCAGCTGACTCAATTTGCTTTTCTGTGTACAGTTCTGATTTCTCACACATTTTACCCATCTAAGTCTTTTCAGTGAGTGATTTGGATCTTTTCTGAACTTCTGCATCCATAAACTCAGTCTTTCATGAAGGGAGTCTTTTGGAATTCATCAGTAAAAATAATAATTGAAAATATAGTTTCTCTGATATAGCTCATGGAACTTTGTAGCTATACAGATAATTAAAATCACCACGATATTCCAGCTTCACCTATTGCTTCCAGAGGAAGTCCATGAGGAATTGCTCCCAGCAACATCCTCTGTGGTGTTTTGTCCAGCCTGGATCTGTACCAGTCCCATTGGGACAGCTGGCTATTGTCTGACAGGTGCTACCTTTAAACTCTTGTTGACATCTCAGCTAAACTAAGGTCTCACCTTTCATCTCTGGGCTGTATCATTTTCAAACACTGGCACGTTGTAAAACACCAGGGTGAGAAATCTGCTTTATTTGCTGCTTCTGGTCGCAGACACTCTGGCATTTTCTCTCTGCACCCTGGAAACGTTTGGCTCCTTGCTGATCCAAACCTCGCCCTGCACACCAACCTCCAGGGCTGTTCCCTCTGCTGTTCCCGCAGGTCGAGGAGGCAGAAGCTCGGCGCCTTTTCCAGCAGATCCTCTCTGCAGTGGATTACTGCCACAGGCACATGGTTGTGCACAGGGACCTGAAGCCAGAGAACGTGCTGCTGGATGCCCACATGAATGCCAAGATAGCTGATTTTGGTAGGTGACCCCAGCAGCATTCCAGAGGCGCAGCCAGCGCCGCCGGAGCGTGGCCGTGGAGCAAACCCAGCCACCAGCAGCTGCTCCAGCTGGAAATCCCAGCCTTGGAAACACTGCCCTTCCTGCAGCACCAGGGATTACTTGGTGCAGGCTGCTCCTGTACTGGCGCTGAGAATGGAGCAGAGAAGTAATTTGTAAATCTCTGCTGTGTTTTAGTGTAATCACCCCACGGAAAATTTACCTAATTTATGTTTGAGGCAGGCTCGGTGCAGCTAATTCAGGGTGAGCTGGCTGTGTGTGTTTATTTTCGTGCATGTTCTCCCTCTGTTTGGCCATGTGCTCTTGGCCTTGGTTCATTTTACAGAGAACAGTAACAGGAGTCTCTAAGTGGCATTAGGGATTGAAATCCATTAAAGTACCTGGGCTACCAACCCTGTCCCAGTGAGTCCTTTCTAGCAATATAAATCCTGAAAATTTACTCATTCCACACAATTGCCATATGAAGTAAGTGCTCTGTGATGAATTATGTCTCTTCTCTGTGCTCTGGGGTTTGCAACTTAAAGGAGCAAAATTAGCCTGGAGTGAGTATTTTTGGTTGGAAGTGGAAAAAAAAAAAACAAACCAAAAAAACAAACATCAACAATAGTAACAAAAGTAATAATTTTCAAATCAGTTCAGAGAAGTCTACCTAAATTATATTAACAGTTCCTTTCCAAATATTCCACTCCACTTCCCTGCCTTTCCTCTGTGTGGCATGGGATCCAGCCTGCCTGGACCTTCAGATCACACATCAGTGTATAATAAGCATTTTGTTTTTAGGACTGTCCAACATGATGTCAGATGGTGAATTTCTACGCACCAGCTGTGGTTCCCCAAATTATGCAGCCCCTGAAGTCATCTCTGGAAGGTAAGGCATTCCATTTCTCATCAGAGTCTATGTGAGCACACGGACTTTAAATTTGTTCTTGGTATTAGAAACAGCTTTGCACATCTAGTAAAAGTAGCTGACTCCTTCCAGCCTGGATTTTGTGTTTGGGTGAATCTGTTGGCAAAGATCTGAAGGTTTTCTTGGTTATTTTTGCTTCTCAATAGCTGTAATAGCAAACCATGTTTTGCTACAGGTGTTTACTTTGGAGGAATTATTAATACCAGATGTTGACTGTTTATATTGCTAATTAAAGAGGGTGTAAATGACTCTTTGGATGCAAATACTGAGGTTCCAGGAGGAAAGGCTTTTCCAGGCCACCCCTCCTCTCCTGCTCACCTGCAATAAAAAACACAGCATTAATGAGGAAAACCATTCCCTAACAAAAGAACCTGGAAGATCTTTAATCACTTCCCAGCATTTGTAATGAAAATCCTTCTGGTTCCTTAAGCTTGGGGTTTTGGCTGTGGCAGTAGGTTCAACCTTCAGAACTTTGTTTTGAACTGATTAATTGAATTGACAAACCTCCTCTGTGGTTGCATCTCTCAGCATGAAACATCTGTACAGCACATGCAGTGTTGAACACACCCCACAAGGTTGAATTGGACTTCCATGTGTTGATACAGAAGTGTTGCCTCCTATATTTTGCTGTCAGGAACAGAAATTATATAGAATGTACATTTTTTCCTGATTCTCTCTGTAATATCTTAGCAAAGTTTGCAAATAATAGATTTTCAAATTTTCAGTCCTGTGAATGGTCCATCAAACTGCCCATCTCATTATCTATCCCCTTTTTTTGAATCTCCCTTTGCCATGAGCTTTACTTTTCCTAATCCAGTGTAATTTTGCCTATATCTGTAGTTTCTGAATAGGATATTTTGTTCAGAATGTCTTTGCTTTGATTATGATTATTTTATCCCTGTTTACACCAGAGCAAGTGTTGGCAGAGCATCCTAGGAATTAGACTAGCATCCAAAAACCCTGTTGTGACTACAGCTCAGTGTGGGAAATGAAACCAAGTAAATCCTCATTGTCAAGAAGGGGACAAAGCCAGAAACTACTGGGATTCCAAAGAAATATTAATGGTATTTCCATCTCAGTGAAGGCCAGACACGTTTTTCAATTGGTGTAGGAGACAAGGCACATGGCAGATCAGCAAGGATTTGGTCCCTGAGTGTTCCAAGGGTACAGGCAATGCAGCTTAGTAACAACAAAAGGGAGAAGGAAAACCAAAACCAAGGCCACATGTTGTACTTTTGGGCTGGCTGTAGCTGCATCCCTCCCTCATCACTCCCACCTACAGGCTCAGGGCTGCCTGAGTTTCATGCCCTTGCTCAGTGTGCCAAGCTGGGCTCTTATCAGAGCTGCAGCAGTGTGTGAAAGCTTAATTTGGGGGGGACAGGCACAATCCACCCTCCCTGCCTTGCTGGGGGGTGTGTGGGGCAGGGGGGAGCTGGCTCCTGGCTCCTGTCCTCTGTAGAGTGTGGCAGCTCAGCTTTCAGAGCCTTACAAGTGCATCTCATTTGGGATAAAAGGTCCACAAGACTGTTCAGGCAGTCCCACTTTGCTGCTGTCCCTGGCCTCAGCAGGGAAAGTCTCAGCCTTGGACAAGCAGACCAGGTGTTTTGGGGGTGTTCAGACAATGGCCACAGCATGATTTCTACACTGATATATCTGCAGTGGTGCTTTTCAAGAGGAGCAAGTGCAGGATGCTGAGGGTTCATGACGAGACTTCTGTAGTTGCATTTCAACTTCTGTGTTTCGGTTGGGCCTTACAGCCCAAGGGCAAGTGTTGCCTCCCAAAATCTCTCGGGAGGCATCAGTTGTGGCAAAAAGAGACGAGCAGGAGCAGCAGAAATGTTTATTTGGGGTGTCCTGAGTTGGGGATGGCAGAGAGCACATTTGGCAGCTTGTCGGAAGCGGGAGCACTGATACCAGCACACCAAAAATAAACACTCAGAGATAGAATTCTCTGTTGCTGTTTGATCTCCCTCGTTCAATGAATAGAAATTTCTGTCTGAGCCCTCAGGGCAAAAGAGCCTGGCAGGGCTCTTGGAAATGTGAGGTTTGGCTTTTTGAAGAGTTTGGTGGAGGCAGGGTTGTACACAGGAGTGTGGGCAGCCAGTGCCAGCCCTGCCATTCCTTTCCCTGAGCAGTTTTGGCTGAGGCAGATTTGGTTTGGGGAGAGGCCCATGAGCAGCCCTGGTGTGGGCTGGAGTTCTGTCCCTGGTGGAGCTGGCAGGGGGTCCCCACACCTGAACCCTGGCTGAGGAGAGGGTGGGAGTGACAGAACCTGCACCATGGCTGAGGAGAGGATGGGGTGACAATAGAACCTGCACCTTGGCTGAGGAGAGATGGGGTGACACAGAGCCTCCATTCTGACTGAGGAGAGGATGGGGTGACATCTTTCTCCTGCCCTTGTCCTCGTGCAGGCTCTATGCTGGCCCAGAGGTGGACATCTGGAGCTGTGGTGTCATCCTCTACGCCCTCCTGTGTGGCACTCTGCCTTTTGACGACGAGCACGTCCCCACCCTGTTCAAGAAGATCCGTGGGGGAGTGTTTTACATCCCTGAGTACCTCAACCGCTCCGTGGCCACGCTCCTCATGCACATGCTGCAGGTGGACCCCCTCAAGAGAGCCACCATCAAGGACATCAGGTCAGCTCAGGTGGGCTGGGATGGGCTGGATGCCTCTGGGGGTCTCTGCTGACTGTCCTGGGGGTCACCTGCTGGCAGGTGGGCAGGGTGGTTTTCAGGACTAGTCAGCTCATCCGGATGGTTTTTGTCCCGAGTGATTCAAGGAGCAGCCCTGCACCCCTTCTGTGCTGGCTGGAAATGGGTGATGATGAACAGCATGAGGATTTTATGTATATATATATTATATACAAATATTTAAAATTCAATCTTACTGCATTATAAAATAGCCTTAAAAATCTCTTAACAGCACTTAGCAAAGCCAGCTATAGCATGCAATAATCTCAAGAACTTAATATCCAGCAGCCATTTTTCATTACTTTATTTCAAGACTATATCCCTGTGGGTACCAGATAAAGAGGGTAATCATTGTACTTACTGTATATCCAATAGGAAAGGAGGAGAAACCTAAGAATTACTAACTTATTATGTAAGTATTGGATATATTACATCTAGCTATGTGCTAAGCATAAACATAAATGTTACTAGGGCTTCCAGGAATTCTCAGGTTTTTAATGCATTTTCAATGGACTGCCTTAATTTTACCCTTGAATTAAACCCATGCAAACTTCCTTTTTTATTTCTTAATTCCTTAGGATTAGAGGATTTAATTACATGTTAGAGAGGCAGCACATGCAGCGAGATTACTGTCAATACATGGAACCTGTAGACAAGGCACTGTATGAGTTTTAGACACTTAGTTATCATTCACCTCATTGGAAATTGGTGGGAATTGGGTAAGTTTGATGCTCTGTATCTCCATCAGGCCCATGGGAATCCCAGAGTGGGAAAGTCTTGGAGGTGCTGAGGTCTTACTTCAGTGTGCAGAGTGCCATTGCTGCCCCTGTACCGAGCTGGGTTTTGCTTCCAGCTCATCAGGGGATGAGCTCATCAGGGTTTTACTCTTGGCTGGTCATAATTTCCCCATCTTGCTTCTCACAGAGAGGCTCCCTGTCACTTTTTATCTTCTTTTTTCTCTTCTGCCAGAGTCGGGATTAAATGCACGAGAGACATTATTTTGTGTTTGGACTCAGGTGTTTATTAATTCTTATCTATATTACAGTGAGTGCTACAGCACTTCTAGTTAACAAGCTAAAAATGAAGAAGTGGCAATGTATCTTTCTCGTTACAAGGTCTTTCAAGGCCTAATAGTCCAATTAAAAACTAACACCTAAATTATTTTTGCTTTTGACTCAATAACCAACCACCCGTGACCCGCAGTGCAGCATTTTCTATCCAATCACAAAAGTACCACCTAGACCCGTGAAGAAGAAAGAAACCTCTGCCCTAAAACCTCCATATTGCTCTCTATATATTGCTATACTCTAAAATCTCAAATTCCAAAACCTCCATCTTGCTCTTTATATAAAATCCCAAATTCCAAAACATCCACCTCGCTTTCTATATATTACTATATCCTAAAACTCCAAATTTCAAAATTTCCATCTTGCTCTCTATATAAAACCTCAAATTCCAAAACCTCCGTCTTGCTCTCTATATGTTGCTACATCCTAAAACCTCAAATTTCAAAATCTCCATCTTGCTCTCTATATACTGCTGTATTTTAAAACCCCAAATTCCAAAATCTCCATCTTGCTCTCTATATAAAACCCCAAATTCCAAAACCTCCCATCTTGCTGTCTATATAAAACCCCAAATTCCAAAACCTCCCATCTTGCTATGTATTGCTATATTCTAAAACCCCAAATCCCAAAACCTCCATCTTGCTCTCTATATAAAACCCCAAATTCCATAACATCCACCTCGCTCTCTATGCATTACTATATCCTAAAACCCCAAATTCCAGGACATCCATCTTTCTCTCTATATATTGCTATGTTCTAGAACCCCAAGCTCTGAATTTTTCACCTTGTGATATTACACACTTCTATTCAAACTACACACCAGCGATTTTAGTTCCGTCGTTCCATTTTGGAAGCCTTCTCCACGGCCTCATCTTGAGAGGGTCAGCACAGAAAGTCTAAAATTCTCATTATCCAGTGCAGTGGAGGAGAAATTCTCCCCTCTCCTCCCCCAGGGAGCACGAGTGGTTCAAGGAGGAGCTGCCCAGTTACCTGTTCCCAGAGGACCCTTCCTACGACGCCACGGTCATCGACGACGAGGCGGTGCGGGAGGTGTGCGAGAAGTTCGAGTGCACCGAGTCGGAGGTGATGAACAGCCTGTACAGTGGTGACCCCCAGGACCAGCTGGCCGTGGCCTATCACCTGGTCATCGACAACCGCCGCATCATGAACCAGGCCAGCGAGTTCTACCTGGCCTCCAGCCCCCCCACGGGCTCCTTCATGGACGACAGCGCCCTGCACATCCCCCCCGGCGTGAAGCCGCACCCCGAGCGCATGCCGCCCCTCATCGCCGACAGCCCCAAAGCCCGCTGCCCCCTGGATGCCCTCAACACCACCAAGCCAAAGCCCCTGACTGTCAAAAAGGCCAAGTGGCACCTGGGCATCCGCAGCCAGAGCAAACCCTATGATATTATGGCCGAGGTGTACCGGGCTATGAAGCAGCTGGACTTCGAGTGGAAGGTAAGGAGTGTGCTCAGGCTGGCATTCCAGCATCCTTTATCCCATAAGCTCAGGGATTTTATCACCTCTTTTGCCTCACCTGTTTCCAGATGAATGCCCTCACCTTCCAGTCGTCCCTCCTATTCCTTGTTAAGGCAAACTCACTGAATTAGGGCCCTGGCTGTGCTTCAGTGTCTGTGGTGTTTATTTATGGAGTGAAATAAGGGGTTTCTTTCTGAGTGCTCCAAGACTGGAAAGATGATTCTGCCTCGTTTAGCTGCAGGGATAAGAGGAGCTGTTCACATTTCTAATTTTAGTGGCTAATTCCTTGTGAGGTCATCTTGAGTGCTCCTGAGCAGAGGAACTCTCATTATTTCTGCCTGGTTCTGTCAGGACTGAAGTGGCACAGTACGAATTGTCCTAAAGGATGCACAGATGAGGGGCTGGGGCCTTGGGTGCAGGATTTGTATCTCTGATGTACTGGTCTTTTCCTTGATGGAGCTTCAGCAGTGCTTATAGACCAGATGTGTTTTCAGACACTTATTGCTTCCTCAGTTTAAGGCTCAACTTCTTGATTTAAACCCAGATGTTTTAGCTGACAATACTCACTGCAGGTATTTATGGTCACTGCAACATGTAGTCACACTCCTTTTCAAAGATGGAATAATAAACTCCTAAGTTAGCCCTGGATCTCTGCTGCTGTGCCTGACTCCCCAAATCCTGGTGCAGCCCCTGAGGTGAGCTCTCCTGGCTCGTGGCCTTTGGCAGCAGCATCATGTGAGCATTGGGAGCCAGGTAAGGAGAATTTCAGCCCAGATACTTCATCACCAGAGGAGCTCCCCTTCTCCCTCCAGGTCCCAGGCATTGTACTGTGTGAATCTCACTGTGCTGCTTCTTTAGAACCTCCTGACTCCTCCTTATTTTTGATATTATTACGTCTTTAAAGCCAAGTAGCTTCCAGGAACCACATTTCCCTGCACCAGGCAGGAGATGGACTGTGGCCAGGTGCATTTACCCACACCAGCCAGACATTTGTTAGCTGTATGGTTTTACAGGGAGTGAACAAATCTGCTGTATTTCTGGTACAGCCTCAAAAACCAATTCAGCCCAACATCTCTGTGTAGGCAGTGGAGCTTATTTCATATGAGGAGGTTTCACAATAGCCTTTCCCACCCTAAGAATAACTTAAAATGTGACTCTTCATCAGAATTAACTCTCCCATCCACGCAGTTGCTTCATAAAAATAGCACAGAGAAAAGATCTCATTGTAAATGAGATGCAGCAGATTGTGAGGTGGGAAGCAGCGAGGGGAAATACTCAGCTTGAGGCTGATCCACAAGTTTGGGGTTGGTTTGATCCATGGGTTTGGCTGTGCTGATGGGAGAGGCTGCTCTGCCCAGTTTGATTTCATGAACACTGTCCATGTATGTGGGTCCACGGGTGGACTTCTGGCTTTGTGTGGCTATGGCTGCTGGTGAGGGAGGAGCAAACATCAGGTTTGTGCCTGGCAGATGGGTCACTGCAGCTTCCTCAGCCAGCACCTGGTGAATCACAGCCTTGAGAAGAATATTTAAAGATGGGAGGGAATGAAGCCATTTGCTTCATCTTACAGGCGTTGTCCTTTTGAGAAACTGTTTTTCCCAGAAAATGTCTTGCTGGTATGTAGAAAAAAAATAAGGAAAGAGATGCTGGTGTTGCTGTTGCTGCCTGGATTCTCCCTGCTGAGGGCAGGTTTCCTGGCTGCCTGGAGTCTGCTTGCTGAGGGCAGGTTTCCCATTGCAGGTGGTCAATGCCTACCACCTGCGGGTGCGCCGCAAGAACCCCGTCACCGGCAACTACGTGAAGATGAGCCTGCAGCTCTACCAGGTGGACAACCGCAGCTACCTGCTGGACTTCAAAAGTATTGATGGTGAGTAGGACTTGGAGAACACGTAGAAGGGCAAGGCTGGAAGTTTCAGAACCATCCTGTGCATTTTGAAGCGCTTACGTGTGTGTCGTTTCAGCAAACGCGCTTTGGAGCGCTTTTCGTCTTTTCATCTCTGCTGCTGTTCCCATTTCATTACCGCAGCTGCCAAACTGACCCCAAACTTCTTCTCTCTTCTTCCCTCTCTTGTTTTTTGGCTTCTCAAGACGAGGTGATGGAGCAGAGGTCGGGCTCCTCCACGCCCCAGCGCTCCTGCTCGGCCGCGGGGTTGCACCGGCCGCGCCTGAGCATCGACGCAGCGGCGGCGGCCGAGTGCCAGTCGCTGATGGGCTCCCTGAGCGGCTCCTTCGTGGGCAGCATCCCCTCGGTGCCCCCACGCCTGGGCAGCCACACCATGGACTTCTTCGAGATGTGTGCCAGCCTCATCATGGCCCTGGCTCGCTGATGGCACCGGTGTCTCTGTGAGGATCTGCGCTGACTCGTCCGCCCCTCCTTTCTTTCGCTTCCTTGTTCTTCCTCTTCCTTCCCTCGCCTGCCCCTCAGCCCGTGGCACAGACCCAGGTCCAGACCCAAAATGTGCTCCCTTCCAGCAAGGCACCAAGGAAATTAATGTCATTTCTCTCCTTGTGCCTGGCAAAATATATCCAATACTTTTTTTTTTATTTCCTGGTGAACCCCATGGGATATGTCAAGGCTGTAAAGTAACAAACATATCACTGAGTTTTTAGAAAACACCTCCCCCCTGGTTCATCCTGAGGTGATGGAGGCATAGCCAAGCTTCCTGCAGGGAGTTTGGTGTTTCCCTGATGCTGTGCAGAGCAGGGGCAGGCTGGGCTGAGCCGGGGCAGAGGGTTGACCAGGAGCTCTGTGAAATGGAGTGGAGGGTGATGAAGCAGCTCTGCAGTGCTCACACCCAGGTACCAGCCTCTCTAACACTTTTCTCCCCAGAGCAGCAGCTTTGCAGATGCTTCTGCACTAGTGCAATATGACCTCCCTCCCCTCTCTTTTTCCCTCTGCTGAAGATGGGGAGGGAAGGTGGGATGTGCAAAGGTCCTGGTGCACACCTGCCCTGGGGAGGCCTCCCCGTGCCCAGTCTTTGTCCCTAAGGTGCTTTATTTCCCCCCAGGAGCTCTGGACAGCACTGACCTGCTCACCATGCTCAGAGCTGAGAGCAGGTTGCCTTTTCCCCAGCCCTTAATCACCACCTCCCTGCAGCCTGCTCCCCCTGCCCTGCCTCACCACGGGCTCCAGGGGCTGAATGCCAAGCAGGGCTCAGGTGAGCAGAGGACAGGATCTGGCTCACCCACCTGAAATCCCAGCGCTTCCCCCGAGGGCTGGGATCATCCCTGATGGGCAGGAGCTCCGGAGCACTCACTTCTCACCTGTCCCCTAGGAACCTCTGCCTGTTGTCACCTCCCCAAAATCACTGCCAGATCTGCCTTTCCTGCTGCTGGACACTCCCTGCCCACTGACTGTGACCTTCGCCGCTGACCAGGCAGGGACATCCCAACCCAGAATTTTACTGCTCCTTTGCTACTGGCTATCTGAAGGATGGGATTTTATTTTTTAAGATGAACTGCAGGGATTTTTAAGGTTAAATTCTTGTTACCCAAGGGTAAAACCCTAATGCATGTGTGACTTCTTTGTTTAAAAGACTTATTATTTTTTATTACACGGGATTAATCTAATGGGGCAGTGTTGGCACCTGCTTGGCTTTGACATGATATTTAATTCCATTTACTTGATTATGAAGTAATAGTCTAATCAAGGAACAAATGCTTTATGAAAGCTTTGCCAAAAAAAAAAAAAATCCTGGGTGGAGGGTTTGGTTTTGTTCTGATTTTTTTTGTTTGTTTTTTGTTTTTTATTTTTGTGTTCTGTTTTAAGAAACAAAGCAAAGAACTTTTGCTGGTCCCAGGTATGCAGTCATTCAATTTGAAAAAAAAATTTAATCTGCCTTTTTGATAGCTTGTTATGACCCCATGAGGTTTTTTCCTAGGTTTTTTTTTCTGTACAGTTGCACTTTAGTTTATACTTTCTGCAAGTTTGTACGAGAAGCAAGGAAGAGAACAACACAGTAAGCCTTTTTTATTAATCATTTAAGGTAATCAAGACAAACACGGGATATTTTTGCCATCTACTGGCAGTTACGTGGACTTTTTCAGCTTGAAGTCCCTTTTTTTTAAAGAAGAACCACAAAATTGCCTTATTTTTGTTACAGATTGTGCTTGGATCCTCACAAACGTGACTTTACAGCTCCAATTTTTCCAGAAGCCACACGAAGTAGAAAGCTTCCAAAAAAAAAAGAAAAAAAAGAAAAAGAAAAAATCAGTTTTGCTGTTATGCTCTTGAACACTAAATCCAACACAGCAGCACAGCAGTGGTTGGACTGTAAGCCCACAGCAGAACAGCTCTGTTTTTAAAAGAAATACTGGAAATATTTGTAGTGCTCATAGGTTTTGTAACGAGCCTTTTATTACATTATGATTATTTAATAAATACTCTGGGGTGGAGGATGGCTTTGGTGCTGTGCCTGGTGCCTGCCAGGTGATTTGTGTCCCTAGTGCTGTGGTGTGAGTTTGGATAGAGAATCCAAAGTCCTGCATGCAAAAAAAACCCCAAACCCCACCCCAGAGTCAAAGCTGAGGGGCATCCAGCCCTTCAGCAGCTTTTGGATCAAGGCTGAGATGAGCAAAGAGCCCTGAATTATTTTGGGGTAATGGAGATTAACCCCTCTGCAAAGGAGCAGGAGCAGCTGTAGGGCCTGGCATTAATTTCCATCCAGGAAACAGCAATGAGTGAAATGTATTTGAAATGTTAAAAGCTTTTCAAATCTTCACTCCCAGCTGAGCATGTGGCCAAATCCTGGCAGCACCTGTACCCACCTTGCTAAGGGGGCTGGTGTGTTACAGTCTGGGGCTCAGGGGCAGGTAGATGTACTGATTGTCTTTTTTAAAATTGATTCTTGTCCTCTGGGATTCCCTTCCCAGCAGAACTAATAGCATTAAGCAGCAGCAAATGCCCCTGGGAGGAAATATTTGCTTCCTGGAGGCGGGTGGGATTTTTAGGTTGTAGAATAAGCCCCTTGTGGCACTTGGCATCTTCTCAGACCTGTGCAAACATTAACTGCTGTGTGGATCTGCAAAACCAGTCCTGCCTGGAGGGCAGTCAGAGTTACTCAGCTTTCCATATGGAGAGACTCAGAGAGGTGAAGCATTTCCCTGCTCAGGGTCAGCAGAGGCAGGGGAGGGAGCAGCACTGGTGGAAGCAGCTCCTCAGTGCCCACCTGGGTCCGGCACAGCCTTACCCAAATCCGTGCTGCACTTTGAAACGCTCCGAGGACTTTAATTTCTTTTTATTATTTATTTTACCTTCAAATAGGCTGTATTCTGTTTCCCAGCTGCAGAGGAGCTGCTGACCTCTAGTTACATTTTCCAGAGGAAGAGTTTAACTTTCACACTGTTACACTGTGGTCAGCTCTTTTTGAGTTATGCTGGTACATGCACAAGCCTCGGGAAAAGCAGGGTAGACAATATTTGAACTACAGAAACTTGAATTACTCCAAGTGCAATTCTTCAGAAGCCACTGGACAGCTGTGCTTTGCAAGCCACAAACTCACCCAAATTTTGCTTCAGCCCGAGGGGGAGAGAGACAAAATGCAAAGGATAAAGAGTTCAAATAGGCTCCAACAGAAACATCCAGCTCCTGGATGAGTTAATTCAGAAATACCTTGGGCTGTTCTTGTTGGAAGCTATATATATGTAAGTATTATATATGCATACATGCATATATATAAAATGCAGGTGGCATCCCTGTCGTTGGCCTCTCAGCTTTATTCTTCCAGCAGGGCAGGTGTGTGCCCTGGACACTGCCACCACTCACTAATCCCAGCCTCTGAGAGGGCCTGGACAAAGGGGATGCTGTTTTTACACACTCTTTTAGGTAAAGCCCATGAGTAGTTTAGCTGAGCCATGGCCTTGGCCAGGGACGGGAGGGGAAGTGGGATCACTCACAGGAGCTGTGGGAATTCTCCCCTTCCACCCCCGCCCCCGACCAACGCCCTGGTGCTGATGGCTTTGGGGCAGGTTTATTTTCAGGAGCTGGAGCTGAGCAGGCAAAGGCAGCAGGGTATTTTATTTTTCCTTTTAACGGGTCAGAAACACATCTTGAGCTGTGTGTCCAGTTTAGCATTTCATGAGGTGTGCACAAGCACAGGGAATATACGGGCAGTGCTGTAAAAACGTGAACCAGCTGGTCAGCGTGTGTTGTGTATACGTTCTTGTGTGTGATTATAGTGGCATTGGTGTTGGAATAGATGAGGTTTGAACAAAACAACCCTTCTGTCTACTCCTTTTCATTTCACTGCTCTTTGCTGTCAGCATGCAGCCCTGCAGGAGGAAGAGGGAGCTGTGTGCAGGACATGAACTCGTGCCTTCGCTGCGCGTTGGGACTGCTGGAAGTGGCAGCTTTGTTTCACGAGGTGCACAATTTCCCCAGCTCATGCAGGATCCCCCCACTGAGACATGCAGGCCGTGTTTCTCAATACTTGAAGTACCATTTGTTGTGCAATTATTTGGCTTCACCCTTTTATTAGCTGAGAGGAGAGAGGGAAGAAGAATCGCACATCTGGATGAGCCAAACCAACCCCTGCTGTTTCTTTCCTGGAAAGTTTTAGGATCTGGTTTTGTTCCAGGTATATGATGTACCTTACTAGAGTCACCTTTCTTAAGGTCTTACTTTGGTATGGCCTTTTCATTTAGTGCTTTCCTTTGGCTTCCTTAGCCCTCCCCTTATATATCCCTTTTTCATCATTCACTTATTAAAAAAAAAAAAAAAGCAACAGCTTCTTGTAATTCTGAATTCCCAGTCTGCCTCCTGGCCATGGAGTTAATGATTCAGCCAGAGGTACCTCACTCCCATGCCTGAGAGATGAACTGGGTTTCAGAGTTCCCACATGACACCTACGGATGGAACACTGACTTTTGCAGAGAGCACACCTGGTATTTGATGCACAGAGCCTTGCTCATTTTATTCATCAAAATTAGGAGAACCAGACTGTGAATCAGAGCTCTACCTGCAAGCACGAGTACACTTTTGGTGTTAGAAAAAGTCTGTTTTCAACTAAAGCCTTGAAGTTCCTGCTGAAGCTGCCTTAATTTAAAAATCAAAGTTTATTTGTAAGACTCATCTCTGATTATATTTTTTTTTTCAAGTTTGGAAATAGTTTATTTATCCTCATCTCACAAAGCTGTGAAGTAGATCCTGTAGCCATGGTAATATTTATTGTTGCTGAAAGCATGTTCATATGTTCTGTATCATGTTATATTCACGTGGTTTGTACCTCAAGGCATTTGTTTTTGTTTTTTTTCTTTTAGAGGACAAAGCAAAACTGAATCCCAGGATTTCTGTGGTGTCCAGCATCTTTCCTCAGCTTTATGAGAGAGGTGAACTGGACTTGTCCACTGCAATTCTTAAATTCATACTCTAAGGAGTATTTATGATTTATAATGTAATCTATTTATGACTTTTAGAAAAAGATATTGAACTTTAAAAAGTTCTGAATAGAGACACACCTTCAAACATATCATTAACATGAAGCTCAGAAAAAAACAAAACCTGAGCTCTATAACCACTCCATCCTTCTCAATATTTTCTATTAACTGAGGGCTTGGAGATGGTTTTGTTTTCCAGTTCATGGCTGTGGTACTTTCTGATATGGAAGGGCACAGAGCCCTGGTTCAGTTTTGTCCTTTGTGCATTAGATAATCACAAGGAAGCCTTTTTCCTTCCATTTATGGTGTGGAAAGTGTTTCTCTGTGTACTGCACTGCATGTGATAGCTGTCTCCATGGTTGACATTTGCACTTTAATAAACTCAGAGATGAAAAGAGATAAAAGCAACAAATCCTTTGGATTTCCTTACTGCACAGTCCCTTTCTGCAGGCTGGGGTGGCTGCTGGAGTTTCCCTCTGGAGATCCTTGCACATCCCAGCTGCAGGACCACAGATGCCCTCAGGGCTTGGTGGGGGCAAAGGGGCAGGGGGTGGAGTGAAAATATCTATATAAGTAATTTAAACACCTTCCCCAGCCCAAAATCCATGTATTTACACTTGTTCCTTACAGCAAGGAGTCGAGAGAATAATTTTAAAGACATCATGCAAAAATAACCTTTCACTGCAGGAAAAAAGTGTTGGGGACAAAACTGGGCACCTGTTTCCTCTGTGCCTGTGATGCAGGAGGATGTAACTCCAGTTCAAGCACACAGCTGCAGGGAGTGCTCCACATTTATCCCTATCCTATCCCCTTCTTACACAATTTCAGCTCTCCATCAGACTCATCAACTCACAGCTGTTACCATGATTATTTCTCCTTTGAGGAGAAACGTGGAGGAGCAGGGCTTAACACTCACATGAGAATTATTTGAAGTTTTGATGTGGTTAGGATGTACCAATAAGACTATAAAAGAGGAAAAAACAAAACAAAACAAAAAAGGATGAGTTTAATTTCCTGACCAATCTCTTGACCTAAATATAGACAACCTGTGGTTTAATTGAGGAAATCTAAGTTGCTGTATCTAAGGCATTTTTGTATTATCTGGAGTCAGCCCATAGCAAGCTCTTTTCTTCTTTGCATGCACTGGAATGTGTCCATGAGGAAAATAAAAAACCACATTTCTAAGGGTATTGCAAGGCATCCTTGCATTAAATCAGCTGCCTCTGGCAGTGCAGAAGTTTGTGTTTCACAGGGATTTGGGGCACAACCCCACAAGGACTGTGTGTCACCACACTGGGATCTGCATCACCTCCGTCACAGGATACAGGGGGAGATTCCTAAAAACACCTCTGTTTAAAATAAGGAAATCTTGTTAAATAACTTCCTTGGGAGGCAAAAAAGAGCTTGCACACGTGGCTAATGTAGGATTTGCCCATAGTGCTTACAGAGGGGGTGATGAACAGACTTCAGGAGGAGGATGAGGAAGGAGTGGAGGAAGGAGGTGTTTTCTTCAAGGTTTCAATCCTAAACATCACCATGGGAAAAAAAAAACCCACAACCTGTGGAGAAACCATCTCCAGAACTTTCCTGGGGCCAATTCCCTGCAAAGGGATGGAGGTGAAGGGCACAGAGCACGTCCCAGCCTGTACCAAAGTCAAACACACACTCCAGCTCCCCAAACTCTGCCTCTCCACCAGAAAAATCCAAATATTTGGGCTGGCAGGGCTGCAAAGCTGCGCATGCTTACAGGGGAGTGCTTTATTTTTTTTTTTTAGGTTTTTTTTTTTCCTGCAAGGATGGATGCAGGCCAATGCACTTAATAGTAACCACATGGTAAAATAAATAAGAATGCCTGTATAGACTTAAAAGTAAATGTTAAATATTTGCTCTGGTTTTTTTACTGATGTCTCCTATGCCAGCTTTGAAATGGCCCTGTGGCAAACAAGGCTTTTATTTTTCTTAAGCCTGGAACATTTAATAATTTCTAATTAAAACATCTTACATTTTTAGGATATTTATGAGCAAACTGATATGGGCTCCTAAAATGTGCCAGGAAGGGGTAAAAGCTGTACACTACAGTCACATTTAAGGGTTTATTTTCTTTCAAAGCCATGTAAAAACTTTATCCACATTTTTTTCACTTTTGAAAAGGTATCTACTGAACACATGGAGGAGAAGCCATTAGCAATTTATATTTCTCTTCCTACTTTTAGGAGCATTTTTCTGGAAATAAGTAACCATCCTCCAGACCCACAGTGGAGAGAACAGCCTGAACACAGGGGCAACTGTTGGGTAATTCCCTATTGCTCTGAGTCCTTGGGAGCCAGGAGTCAGCCTTTACATATCTGAGATGCCTAAGTTAGCTTAAAAAAATAAAGTAAATTTTGACTGAATGCTTTATTTACTCTCTTTTTTTCATATTTTCTTTTGCAAAGAAATGAGTCAACTTTTCCACGATTTTATATATTTAACACAGCAAGAGTGGTGATACATACTGCTTCTCCTAATACTTTTAAGACCAAAACCAGTTCCAATTTATATGGTTTGCTTTTTGAAGAGCAAGTATTTTGGGGAAACTTGCAATTCTGACAGCAATGAGATCGAGCAACTAAAATGCACCATCTTTTTTCTTAAAATGTAGAAATATAATGGCTATTTCAGAGCTGACCAACAAGGTACTCCAAAAAGTGAGAAATACTGAAAATAACTAATAATCAGTGAAGACATACACTAAATGGCAGGAAAAAAAAAAAAAAAAAAAAGAAAGAAGGAAAAAAATCTCTTGCACCTTAAACAGTGTAAAAAAAAAAACAGCTTTATTTACATTCCCATCATCACCCCACAGCTGACCAACGTGGGCTGTCACGGTTGCAGGAAGCACAAAGAGACCTTCAGGGATGCTCCAGGGGAGAGCAGCTCTCAGGGTAGTTAGCACTGTCTCAAAGGAAAAGAAAAAAAAAAAAAAAAAAGAATTTTTCCCAGCAAGGGCCACCTGGGTAAGAGGAGGCTCGTTTGTATGAATTATGCATGAGCATGCAAGGAAATGCTGCAGCAGGGAATTTCAGGGTGTGTTTTGGCAAGGCAAGGCACACGGAGTGGCCCATGTTTGCAGCAGATGTGGATTAATATGGCATATCTGAAGGCAAGTCAGGAATCTCCAATTTATACAAGTCATGACTGGATGGGGCTTTTTTTAGCTGCAGTTGGCCTGGAAACTTGTCCAGCAGCAGAGCAAAACTGGAAATACTTATTTAATATTTAATACTGGCTGTTTACATTAACTCCCCCTACCTTCAGAAGTTTTTAAGTACATTTCTCCAGCTATCCCCCGCACAGGAAAGAGAGGAAAACACGCGCCACAATAAATAAAAACCTGACTTTACCTGAAGCTCAAGTGCTCCACCAGAACGTACCCATCTGAGGGGAAGAGGGGAGAAGGATTAAAATCTGAGCGAAAGCAGCACGGAGGGACGTGTTTTGGGAGGTGATTTGTCACCTTCTGCGGGTTGCGGACTCACATCTGCCCCGGGCGTTGCGGCAGATGACGGCGTGGCCGTGCGGGACGGCGATGACATCCAGATGTTCGCCAGCTGTGAGCGGCAGGTCGGCGCGCCGCTGGCTGGGCACCGAGCGCTCGGCCCTGGCCCTGCCGAGCACACGGATCTCCTGCTGGAACTGCGGGGTGCGAGAGACAGAAAACAAGCCACGCGGGGCTCCAGGAGGCTCTTTACAATGCTGTTTATTGTACGCGGATGGTGCGGAAATTCACGGGTGGGGAGTGACAAGAGCCCAGCCCGCAGCCTTTTCAGCCACAGCTGCGGGTTCCTCTGAAGCCACCTTTAGTTCTGGTTACAATGCATTGTTTACTTTTCATTACAGAGCATCTTCATACATGACGACCAATCAATACCTTTACTATCACCTATAGCCCATCCTAACTGCTAACATTGCCATATTCATGTTAATATAGTCAAATCACAGAAGGTTAGTATGTTACAGTTTAAACTAGAAGTTGTTTTTCAGTTCTTTTTCATCTTTTCTCTACTTGCAACATTGGCTTTCTTGTTTGTCTGTGAAAATTTTTTTGCTTGGTAAAAACATCTTTTGTTTCAGGCGGGTTTATCCTTTGCTCTAAGTCATAAAATCCCCTTCCAGCTCACTTGCTCTTTGCCTTCTAGTTACCCAGTCAGACTGGCTCAGCAATTCTTTTCTTCTATATCAAAACTTGCTATCATTTCTATTCCTTCTTCAGATTATGTATTCAAAGACCTTTCTGTTATACATACACATCTGTGAGACCTTCCTGTCAAATCCTTATCCCTCCCAACAGCGAGACAGAGAGCAACCAGCATCATTTGGTTTCCCTGGGATGTTTTTTTTTTTATTATTTTATATTTACATGTATCTCTGTGTGTTGATTGAATCGATTGAGGTTGGAGACGTAAACCTGAGACCCTGGCACAGCAGGCACCGTGAAGATGCTCATTAGGACATTCCAAAGTAAATCTTATTCCTAGCCCTGATTCTCGGTTGGTCTGAGACCTTTGCCATGAAAGGTCAGATCCTTTAGGACTGCACCTTTGCCCTCAGGTGTTCCCTATGTATTGTGAACCCAATGCCCTGACCCTTGTCTTTGGTCACTGCCTCTCCTTGGAAAACATGGCTTTTGGAAACTGCTCCGCAGACCACGTGGATTAAAGGAGACCCTGGCAGACCATTGCACCCCTCCCTTTATTATTCACAGCCATGCTGTCACCTGGCTAAGCTGGTAATGCTGTCACAAAGGGGAGAATCCCCCAGGATCACAACATCTGTGTACACAAACAATGGGATGGGAATGCTGGAGCAGCTGTTTTGAAGCTTTATTCCATCAGTCTCATTTTACAGAACCAAGCAAGGGAGATGGAACAGCTTCAGCTGCTATAACAGCAGACGAAGTTTGCTTTGTTACAAAGTCTTTTAACAACTTTTTACTCAATAGCAGAATATTAAAAGCTGACAAGCATTTGCTCAGGCCAATTAGTAAAGCCACATGTACATCTTGCTTTGAACAATGCTTGCTTGTAATAGCTTAAAACAATGGATAAATCTTCATTATTAAGTTGACACATGTCTACTATCTTGCTTAACATATTTTCCTGAGGCCTATCTCTACACAGCTCACAGCCCTATTGTTTCTTGTCCTTGCATCTTCAGCATTCGTGCATTTCTCCATCCTGAGATTTGCTTTCACACAGCTTTCTGAGAGTTTTATACCTTTTCTATTTCCCACACAGCATTTATTCTACATCTGTGTGCAACCTCTGTAAGGGCAGCAGGGAGGGAGGGAGGGGGAGAAGAGATTTCAGGATGGGTTGTGAGGCTTTGGGGAGGAGGGATAAAAATGCCCAGCAATGCCCCTGATGAAGATCCAGATTAGGGGGGGAGGGCAATAGGTGAGTGGGACTGATGCCTTGAAGAGGCTGCCTAAAAGAGAAGCTAGAGAAATTTAGGGGAATAAAAGTGGGTATTTATTGAAGGCCTTCAATAGGCACACCTTGGGCAGCCAGAAGCCTCCCAGAGGCCACTCCCAATGGTCATGAGTTTTTCAGACAATTAAAAGTTTGGTCCATTTACATATCAGAGGTTAATCCTCCAATTCCACCTTCAGCTAATGAAGTCATTTACCCCCAGTTTGCTCCCCCTCAATTCACTTTTGTTTATACTTTTCAGGGTCTGAGGCAGTAAGGTGAATATCAGGCTTAGAGGGATTGTTTTGCCTGACCAAAATGTGAAGGCAGTTAACTAACACTTTTTATGGAGTTTAGAGTTATGCACTAATGCAGTACAGGGTTTGAAAAATACAAAATCTAAATCCTAAGGCATCAGGACAACTTTCCCAGCACGGCTGAGGACCAAAAAGGTTCCACCAGGTGTCTTTTAAGCAAACCACAGAGCTGCTTTCCTCCCCTGACACAAAGACACTCACCATAAATGTCTCTCTAAAGAACTTCTCTTCTTCGTCCATCTTCTTGTTCTTTTCTTCACTGCTCTTCTTGAATTTGAAGATATTTCTGTAACAAGAGAAACACACACACACACACACACACACATATGCACTTCTGAGCTCCATTTAAATAACCCCTGGCACATCTGAAATTGCAACCAGAGCCTAATTCCAGCCTTGTCTGCAAGGAGCCCTTGGAATAGTAAAGCACGTTGTTCACATCCCTATTTCTCAAAAAAGGATGAAGAGACAACTCAAATTTGTTAGTGAGGCACAACTTGAGCCATTTTGTATCTCCATTTGGGATAATTTTTGTTTTTGGTCTGTAAGCAGCGTGGGAACAAACAAATTCTGTATTGAGTGTTTCAAATCAGCCCTGATTTTATGGAAGTCAACAATTCGCTTTTCCCCCAGCAGTTTGTCTCCTTCTGGTTTTATTTATACTCAGAAATAAAGGGTCCCCAGATAACTCTCATCCTGAGTCATTTATGCAAGTGGGGTTTGATACAGCTCTCCAGATTTTCTTTGGGTTTTTTAACACATGGAGGAGAAAGTCTCCCAAGCAGACATTTATATGGCACTGTAAAGTGGAAAACAACTTCTTATAACCCACTTAAAGGGAATGGGGCATTCCCTGCATATAGGAATGCCACTCTCTCTGGACACGAAATTACAGCTGTAGCATTCATTTTAAAACTAAGACAGGAAACAAACACCAAACAAAAAATCCCCTCACCCATTTGTAACAAATTATTAATCCTTGGCTCATTTTGATGCACTTAAAGAGGAAAGGAAACAAGAACTGAAATTAGGGACTTTTAAGCTGTGAAGAGGTTCCTCCTTAGACAGGACCTGAGGTCTCTAAGGGAAAGTTAAAACTGCATGGTCTGTAAAGTTATACCTGTGACTTTGCACAGCACTACCAGTGGTGTTTGAGCAGCTCCATGCAGGAACTCTGTGGTGAGAACCTGAGAAATGGGTCTCTGATTTACAGTCAAAGTCCCAGGTATTAGGTCATGAAAGAGGTAATTGTGATGCACATTTTTGTGATCTAAAAGGGAAATCTCCCACTTCCATGTGAATTTTTGCAGCACGAGTAACAAAAAAACAAAAAAAAAATTTAAAATTGCTTTTATGCACAAATGGCACAGCAAGAGTCAATGTAATCAGCTCAAATAACCAACACTTTAAAATACAAGGCTCTTGCCAAAATAATGGAATCTTAGAATGGCTCCACCCCTGCCATGGGCAGAGATACCTTTCACTGTCCCACTCTGCTCCAAGCCCTGTCCAACCTGGCCTTGGACACTTCCAAGGATCCAGGGGCAGCCACAGCTGCTCTGGGCAACCTGAGCCAGCATCTCATCACCCTCACAGGGAGGAATTCCTTCCAAAAATCTAATCTAAATCTACTAAAATAGCAAAAAGGAGCCAAATATATAGCAAGTAACAACTTTTGGCTCAGCTCAGTGGAAAGTCATGACAAGACTTCAGGATAAGACCTTTGGGTATCCTCCTCTCATGCTCAGTTCAGATCCAAGAGTTTGTTTCACCCCTGAGATATTTTCTGCAAAGATTCCTGAACTCTGTCTTCAAAGAGAAAGGACCATCAACCAACACAAAATATCTCTGCAATCAGGGACATCTTGCTCCTGAAACCACCCAAGAGACGTGCACAAATTCAAAAATGGGAACACAGTGGGAACCCAGACCTTTCCACGTCGTCGATGCTTTTCCTTTTGTCCTTGTACTCCTTCACCATCCGAAGCTTTGGCATCCAGACTTTGCCCTTCTCCTCCTTCCCTCTGAGAGGAACAGACAGGCAGGAATCCAGGATTTTTCCCAGCAGATCGTGTCCCCTCCCCACACCCATGTACCTAGAGAGCCGTGATTTTTCTCTGTCTGCCCCCACAGCACTGAAATGCAAACACTTGCTGTGATTTACACCAGCACGCGCAGCCACCGCACTCATCTGGCAGCAAGACACCACGACATGCTGTTCCCATTAAAAGTAATTTTTCTGACAAGGAGCCTGCCAGGACTGGGCTGATAATGGGGTCTGGGAGACAGAGTTTTCCTTCCTTAGGAAAAAGATCTGATTTTTTTTCATGTGTTTCAGGGAGCTGGCACTAACTGGGTAACAGTGAGGAAATATCCTGCCAAATTAAACACACACAGGGAGGGCAACTGGACTGTCTCCAGAGGACTGAATCCCAACCAGCTCACGACCCCCAGTGAGTTTTGTGCCAGGAGGAAAATCTCTTTGGGTTGAGGACAATCCCAGGACAGGGCACCCTCCTCACCTGGTCTCTCTCTGCCCCACCTCGACATCATCATACACGTTGTCCTCCTGGGAGACAGATGCTGTCAATCCAAATTCAGGACAGAAAATGATTAAAAGATGTCACTCTGAGCCTGCTACTCCAAATAATCTGTTGCAGAGGAGAATTTGGGCTGCTGCTCCTCACTCAACCCAAAGGAGCCAAGGAAATGCAAAAGGAGCCTCGGGGCTCCCAAACACCCAGCAAAGGTCCAGCACAAGGAATGATGCTTGGGTTGGTTATTTGTGTTAAGCTCTTCTTTAAAGGAAAACCACCCAAAAATGAGCAAAACCCCCACCCTCAAAAGAAACACCAATCTCTATCAAGTCTTCAAAGCTACAATTCATGATTTTCAGAAAGGCACAATGCACCCAGCTGACTGCACAAAACATTTGTCTCTTCAAACACACACAAATCCCCAGGAGTCAGGTACAGGCATGTGCTTACCTAAATTTGGCACTGAAATGGAAACCAGTCTGTGGATAGAGAAAAAGCTTTTAGAAACAAATCTGCACATCAGCAATGCCCCAAAAAACCACGAGGTGCCCTAAAAAGCTGTCAGTGATGCTGCTGAAGGGACAGAGAAAGGTCGAGGCTCTGTGGTACCAACAGCATTTCCCAAAACGATATCTCCTGCTAAATAAGCATTTCCATCCTGACAGCAATAAGAACCATGTGCTCATCAAGCAGGAAAGATCTCTCTGCCTCCAAAGAATCCAAACTCCTGCTGCCCTTCTCAACAGCAAGGGGGGTTGCTGGACAGTTGGAATTTTTAGTCAGTAGTAATCCCTTCCTGTAAGTCTGCCAACATCAGGGGTTGTCCAGGAATTCAAAGGTGAAAATGTTTGTAGATATCGAAGATGATTTCAGGAGCTTTAAGGTTCTTTGAGACAGGAGAACAGCACAAAATCTGTTGGGTCTTTCCCTATAATGATATTTATATTTGAAAGAGCCACTGCAGGACATCTAATGTGAAAAGATTTGTAAGGAAAACAAACCTTCCTGACATAAAAGAGGAAAGGTTTAACCTGGAATCTCCAAAGAAATAAGAAAAGGCAGCATTTTCCTGGAGTTCAGGCACCGTGCTCAGGGTGAGACACTCACTGGCAGCAGTGGAGGACAGGTTCTGCAGGTTCTGCACACTCGAGGAAAAAGCAATTTCCCTCAGTTCTGAATATTAAAGTACCCAAAAAGGGCACTCCAGAAAGTTACACAATGTCCTCTACCCTGTTAGAATGAAAACTCACTGTTAAACTTCTTCAGCAGATGCTCTTGCCAGCTTGGCTCTGAATGGAACTTGGAATAAAACCCCACAGCAGCAAAGCTGTCCCTAATGCTGGCTCACAGGTCAAGGCAGCAGGTATCACCTTTCTACATTCCCTTGTGCACCTTGTGTCATGCTGAGGTATCAGAAAGGTACCAAAGGCAGCAGAAAATCTGTGAAAACCTGGAAACTGCTGTAGGACCAGCTCCTGGAGATTCCCAGTGCTGGAGGTTTTGGAGAAGCTGCACAGATGGACCATTGGCCACATCTGCCACAGTAGCTCCTAGTGAGTTGATAGAAGCACTTTTGGCCTGATTTTCTCAAAAAGCTGTATTCCTTACTCCTAGACCTGCTCTCAAATAATTGCCAGGAGGAATACTCATGTTTGAAGGGGGAAAGGTGAGACCACCAACATTTTCTTACCTTAGGTTGTCCTTGAGCCTGAAGTTGTTCAGCTTCAACTTCTCTATCTTAAACAGGTTTCCAAATCTCTTTTGTTTTTCTGTTCTGTCCAAAAGAGAAATAGGTTTTAAATTAAAAGAGACATGAGGTGCAGAAGAGACCCAGAGATCCTTGTGGCAGGGAAAGGAAGAGCAGCAGACCCTGGACCTCAGCTCAGAAGAAGAATTAAAGTGTAAACAGCATCATGGGGATGACAGACTCACTGGGATAAGCACCAGCAACAGGTGCTTAATTATCAAGTCCAAGCTCATATCTTTGCTTTGCTTTAAACTTTTCTGTGTTAATTGAAGTTGTTCTCCTCCAACCCGACAACTAGAGGGTGATCCAGGTTTCTTTGGAGTGAAAATTCCTGAGGAAAGGGCAGCATAACCCAGAAGCATTGCAGTGACCATTGAAGGAGACACCAAGGGCACCTTCTGAGCCACCCTCCATCACACATTTCTACTGTGTGTGTCCTTGAGGAGGATGGCCCATGGCACACACTTCTCTCTGAAGTTTACAAAAGGCTGCAAATCTACACAGCAATTTTCTTGTAAAGCATCTGCAAGCAACCAAGATCCTCCCCTGGGGGTCATTACCCCTGCACAAGGACCATTAAAAACCCTTTATGTGTCTCAGCACACTTAATCCTGCACGTGGGATCAATAGAGAGATCACAGAAAGGCTGGTTTGGGGATTAAGACCCTGACCTCTCAATTTGGTCCCAAATGGTCTTGAAATTCCTTTGCAGCCCCAGCAAGAGAGTTTAATTCCTGCACCCATGTGCAGAGGGGTAAAGAAGAGGCATGGATGTGGTGCCCAGGGGGTGGGGATGTGCAGGATCCATCTGGGAACACAATTCCCTCTGGATGGAGAAGCTGGTGCACCCCACCACACACAGACAATTTGCAAAGAAATGACACTTCCTTCTTCTAAAAACCACCCTGTCACCTCCAGGGGTTCAGCTTTTCCCTCTTTCCTCCCTCTCTGTCACACACAGGCTCTCCATCCACATGGAAGCTGGGCTGGGATGCAGATGCAGGCCAGTGCAAGCCTCCCATCCCGAAGGGAAAAGCAGATGGGCATCAACACCTTATTATTCCTCCCACTTTGCTCCTCAGGAGAGAGCCACCAGATGCACTCCAAGCAGTTGTGTGCCACACATGCCTCTATTCCTCACAAAGGCAACTTTTTACTGCAGGAGGGCAGGGAACCTCACAAAACACAGCTAAACTTCACATTACACCTCTTAATCTATTTGGGAAGCTCAGGCAATACACAAACTCGAGGCTGCAAAACTCATTGGTTTTATAACACAGCCCGTGGAAGCAAATATCTTGAGAGGCTGCATAAAAAAGAGCAGGTTGCAGGTTAGTTACAGCACATCAAACGTGAGCATTTTGTCCTGTTTCACAGGGACAATTTGTCCCTTGAGCACACAGAAAAAAGGTGCCAATTCTCAGCTACAGCTGAGCAACACTTTAGATCAAGAGAAGGCAAGTGAGACCGTCCTGTGTGCTTGATGCAGGAAGAGCAGTGCTTCCAAAGGATGGAGGGTGTCACAGGAACAAAGTTCCCCCTCACTGCTCTGGGATTTAATTTGGGTAATGACTTTTTGCTCCCTAAGTGTTAGCCAAAGGGGAAAGAGGGAGGAAGAAGGGAAGAAACCCACCCACACAACAACTTTTCTGCAGTTGAGTCAGGAAAAAAAAAAAGGCTTCCAGCCAGTACCTGGCATGTGAGATCAAGGCTGAATGGTCAGAATTTCAAAATAGAAGCTAAGAAATTGCAACTTACTCTGTTTTTGCTGGGTTATCACCCCCAATCTCAACATCTTCATATGTTTCCTCGTAGCTGTTTCCTGAAACTTAAAACCAAGGCATGCCATTAAGACAAGCTCTGCTCAGTAGCAATAAGGTGAGCTTTGCTGGACAAATTGCACCCAGACCTTTTATATTTTCCTCTTACAGAGGCTCAAATGAATTCCATGCTAGACATGTAGGCTACTCCCCACTGGTTTTAATGGGAATTCAGAGCAACCCCACCAGAAGGAGACACTGTAGGTGCTGAAAGTGAAACCAAACCATTCCCAGCATCTCCCAGGGACCAGCCCAAATTAAAAGCAGCTTCTGTTGGAGCTTCCCCACTTACTGCTGTCTGAAGTGAAGGAACTTGAGGCATCTGAGCCGTGGCTGCAGGAAGACACAAGTGTGACATGGGGGTTTGCTTTAGGAGAGGTTTTAAATGGCATTTCAGAGGCACAGGCCCTGCAAGAGCCCAGGTCACACTCACAGTCTGTCCTGCAGCTCCTCAACATCGTCATAGATGTCCTCTGGTGCCTGCAGACCCTGCCAAGGGCTTTGGTCCAAGGCTGCTCCTTCTGCCTTGGGAGCACCAACACCCAAGCTGGGCCCTGGGAATGAGAAAGGATCTTTGCTTTAGGAGCTTTTCTTAGAGAAAGGATAGCTGGTGAGGGGAACACAGTAAGAGCCTACAGATATATTTTCCATTCCAGGAGTCCGGGAAATTCTCTGCTCCGAGACACCTCAAGAAACAGAGGTGAACAATTTTCAAAGTTTTTTAGCTTTAGAACTTTTGAAAGTCATAAAAATATTTTATGCTTAAAGAACTTTAAATGTCTGTCCATTTTTTTTCAATTGTAGCAGCTCTGACTCAAATCTTCCTCACCTAAAAGCATCCAAGAGATTATTCTTGGATCTCCAGAGAAGTGATTGCAGGGAAAGTTTGGTGTGGTTGGTGGAAATGTTAAAATCGAAATAATGAACCAGTCCATTGGAATACACCTGTAAATCAACATCTTGGAAAGGACCCAGGGAAGATGAGCATCCCTGAGAAGGATTTCACTGAGGGCTGGAATCAAGCCTGAGAGTTGCACCTCATGAGGTTAGAAACAGATTATTGCTGGAGAACTCTTAAGTGGCAATGTTAAAAACTTAAAATTTATTTAAGAGAGTTGGAGCAATGCAGAATTAGAGCCACACAAATGAAAGCAGCTGGTGTTTGTAAATGAACATGGGGAATGTGCATGGCCAGGCTGGGCAGGGCATGAAGCAACTTGAGGTAGTGGGAGGTGTCCAGATTTTCCATGATGGAATGAGAGGATCTTTTAGGTCCCTCCAACCCAAACCATTCTGTTTCATGCAGCAGAACTTGTTGGACACAGACACCACCTCAATGTGGCCCAGCTAAAGACCAAAACTTCTGCAAAACATCCCAATTCAGAAAAGCAGGCAGGGGTGGACCAAACAATTCTCCAAATCAGCCTCTCTGTTGAAGCAGGAGGCTCACCAGGAGTACTTTGAAAAAAAAATCCCAACAGAAATTACCTCCAGCTGTTCAAAGGTCAAGCAAACCAGCAAGATCTTTTACAGAAACAGACACCAACCAAACCAGAAAATTATTATGAGGTGATTTAAAATAATAAAAAAAAGAAATACCTGAGAACCACACCAATAAAAATAACCACGGTCACAGTCAATTTACACTTTCTCCTTCACTCTCCTGGTCTGTCCACAGAGCCCAACAGAGCTACTTTTCTCTCTTTCATCTTTGAAATGCTGCCATATCACACCAGTGGCTTGCAGAGCCTTTGCAGAATAGGACCCATGAACATTTAGGGCTGAAGTTGCAAAACTGTGCTTAGAGAGGGGAGGAGGCTTGGTTTAACTGTGCAGCTGAGGTGGCTCTCAGCAGCTCTGGTCACTGCCCCAGAGTATCCTGAGGGAAGGAGCCCAAAGTCAGCCTGGCACCACGAGGAGATGGAGCAAGGAGCCATCATCCACCTCAGAGAGGGACAGAGGGAGACTTCAGGCTCTCATCCTGCTTATTTCTACCCCAAGCCTTAGCCAGCCCCTTTCCTGAGACTCCATAAATTCAGAGGAGCAGAGGAGATGGATTTCAGCTCTCACGGATAAGGGCAATCTGCTAGAAAAACAAACACCTTGGCTGGAGTTATGCAGATGGTTAACCAGCTTAGGAAGCTATTTGCACAGCCAAAATAAATGACTCAGGCCAGAATACAAATGCTCATGCAACCTTTTGCCCTGGTTTAACTCAATTGGTTCAAGAGCTGCATCCAAGTTTAACGTTATTTCCCATATGGAAGAGACATTTGGGCAGCAGATGGGGCTGGGGATTGAGGGAACACTCCGTGGTGCAATGAGATACTCACAGTGCTCTGCTCTGTCTTTTGCCAGCCCTGGTGGGGTTGGATGTGCTGCAGTTTGGGGACTGGTCACATCCTGCTGGCCTTGCAGAACCTTCAGCCCACCTCTGCCACCTGCCCTGGCGTGGCTGGTGGGAGACATGTGCCCATCTCCACCTGCCTGGGATCAGACATTTGGTTTGGTCAATGCAGTCCTCAGAAACAGCTTCCTAACATGTATTTCTATTATACATCCATCAGAATATCAATTATCTGTGGGCTTAAAACAGTTTCACACCCTTCTCCATCAACCTTTCAGGCTGAAGCAGCTGAGTGATGAACAAGTAAAATAGAAGGTGAAAACCTCCTGGGATTAAGGGCTCAAGTTTCAACTGGTTCCGAAAGAGAGAGAGGACAGAAGGAAAAGAAACATCCTACAATAATTATTAAAATTAACCTCGAGCATACAATACCTTGAAAACTTTGTTCTCTTCCAGTTTCGTTCTTTCATGACTTGGTTTTCCCCCATTTTCATCCTCTGTTAGAGCTCTTTCTGGACTGAAAAGTTCAGAAATGAGAGAGACAGCACACAGACACTTCAGCAGGCACATTGCCTTGTGACAGTGCCCAAATAAATAGTTTATTTTCCCTCTGAACGAGGAAGATGCCCAAAGGACCATCAGTAAAGTAAAGGCAAATCCAAAGGCCAGTGGTCACTCAAGGATACTACAAATCACTCTTGGAAGAGAGACAAATTAATATGATTGTTCCCTCATAGCAGGAAAGGACAAAATGGATTCATTTGTGGTGGCAGCTGGATCACACAACGTGCCTCTCACCACACTGTTTGAGATTTAGGGAAGAAGAAACAGCAACAGGATGCAGGACTTGATTTATTCCCAGCATCACAACATTTCCCACAAAGGTGACCCCTTTTTATAACTCTTCAATCACCACCAAAAAACCCAGCCTTCAGACAGTGACCATAAATACACACCACAGGGAGCTCAAAGTGTGACAATTGTAGGGTGAAATTCAGAATGGACCTTGCCTTGTCTTGGACCTAGAACCAGCCTGAGAGCCTCATAACTCTCCCTGTTTACACTATTCAGGTTTCAGTAGGAACAGACAATGTAATTTTTTTACAATCTCCCCTCCACATATGCTTTAGAGTGAAAACAATCTTAGAAACTGTGAGTGCTGGCATAGAATAGCATCATCTATGCTGTCTTGGTAATGAAATATATGAAATTTCTTTCTATTTGCTGAGTGTTACAATATTCAATTCCTAACCCGAATCAGTTGTGGGGATAGAAGAAGTTTGAGAGAGAGGAAAGGAAATTACCTGGATTTGGCAAATGGAAAAATCTTCTGTTTCTAGAATAAAGAAGAGGAAAGCCTTCAGCCACTGTGCTTTTCTAAGCAGTCAAGCTTTCATACAAGGCCTCAACTATCAACCAGCATTTGAAGAAATATTTCTTTAGAAAGCCCAGAAGTATTTTATGTTTGGAATAGTCATCAGACAAGGATATTTCATCTACTTTTCAGGACAGGGAATACACATATTGACAAACTATACAGGGATAATAAAACAGTGCTAGGGTTGGACCAATGAAGCTACTGGCCAGCATGGAAGCTATTACAGAACAGAGAGCTTGCAGAGGAGGAGGAAGTTTTTAAAATGTAAATAAAGATTTCCCAGCCTGCCATAAAATGAGACTCCAGCCAAGCCAGAGAATCTCTCTGCAAATCACACAGAGATAAATATATTTGGAAAGCTGTGCTATTTCCCAGGAAGTCTGATGGCTTTGCAAGCCAGCACTCGAAAGTGGAGTCTGTCATTTTACACAGAGCAGTTTCCCTGTTTGAGCAGGGCCAGAGCTGATGGCCAGGACATGGACATCACCTCCTGAGCTGGGCTGTGCTCTCAGCTGAGCTCAGCCAAGCAGGGCTTCTCCAGAACTCAGCAATTCCTGCTTTCCCTGCAGAAAGGAGTGATCTGCAGCTCAGACATCCCTGCAGCAGGGGATGAAAGCCCTGCAACTCTGCCCACCACACTCGTCCTTACTCATGAGCCAGAGCTCCAAGCCTGCTGCCCAGCCAAGCAGCCTGGCTCAATTTTGCTTTTACATCTTCACAGAAGGATTACCAGCACCAGCTCACCCTTGGCAGGACATTCCAGAACATTCCAATGGATTTTTTTTCCTCCAAAAATTCACGTTCTTGATATTGGTGCTTCACACTTGGTCTACCTACCTAGTCGGTGTTATCACTTCCTTACATTTCTGCAGTGGAAGTCAAGGGAACTGACTCTTCCCACTGGTGTGTTTGGGAATCTCATTAGTCTTTGTGCTCCCTCTGCAATTTCTTATTTATTTTTTGAGAGTCTTCACAGACAACACACAGAAATTCTTGGCAGTAAGAAAAACAGATATTAGAAGTCTTCAAGACACTTACCTTGTGTTTTTGAGGCTCTGCCTTAGGTACTAGGGAAGATATTTATGAACAGATATTAATTTTTAGCCCATGTTAAAGTCACTGAACTTTTATGCAAAACTCAGCTCCAGTTGGGATGCTCAGCATCCAGGCACACATTCACCATGGACATTCACCATGTCCTACAGCCCCTTCCCTCTGCTATTTGAGCATTTCTGCAGCACCAAGCCTGACTGGCCACATTTTTCAGGGATCTATGAAATCCCAGGGGGCTGTGGCAGTGCCCTCCTTGGCTCCTTTCCCACTGGGAGACAAAATCCATGCATGTGCAGAAAAAACCTCCCCAAAAGAGGCAACACTGGAAAACGTAAAAGCAGAGCAGGGGCACCTTTGATGGAGAAAATTATACTGGGAAAAAATATTGATGGCCCAGGAAAAGTCTTGTGGTCTGTGCCCTTCTGTTGCCAAGAAGAAGCTGAGGTTTGCCTCACTATCTTCTTTTTATTCTCCTCTACATGGGTGATGTTTTATGATATTCCCAATTGAGTTTTACTATAAGCATCTTAAGCATTTACTCTAAGCATTTTAAGCATTTATAAGAATTACTTTATCATTTATCCCCCAAATTTTAACGTTTTGTCATTGTCCCAGAGCCCTCACACTGCACAGGGGGCCAGGACAGTCATACTTGTTCTCCCAGACCACTGTACAGTTGCTTTTGTCAACAAGAAACTCCATTATTTCCTATTTTAAAGGCTTTTTTTCCCCCAGCTAGCACATAATTCACCTCACAGCCTTGCCTTTCAAAGTACCTTCAATGACACACAAGGTTGTGGTGTCCCCAGACTGATTCAGGTACATCGGGGTTTCTTCATAATTATTCTGCTCTTCAAGTTGAGCACTGAAAAGATGAAAAAGAGAGAAAGGATTTTTTTTTCTTGTCCCTTTTAGTAGTACGAAAAGAAAAAAAAATCAATCTTAAGGACAAGGAAATCAAGTGCTTTGATAGTGAGCCTACAATAAAAGCAAAGTGAAATCAGGAATTCCTTGGAGGGAGAGAAAACCTGTGGCAGATGAAGGGAACCTTCCCCCCAATTCCACACTCCCACTGCTTGTCCTTTGGGAGTCCAGGCTGCATTTAGAGGGCTCAAAGCACATCAGGAGACTTTCTACCAGGGTGAGAGTCTCCTGCCTACACCAATCCCTCAAGCAGAAACAGAAAAAAACCCAAAAAAACCCAACAACAACAAAAAACCAAAAACAACCCAAAAAAAAACCCCAAAACAACAAAAACCAACAAAAACCAAACAAAACCAACCAAACAAAAAACCCCAACAACAACAAAAAAACCCCAAAAAAACTAAACAACAACAACAAAAAAACCCCAAAAAACAAAAAACAAACAAAAAAAACCACCACAAAAAACAAGGAAATCAGAGCACAGCATTTTTCAAGCGTACTCAGGTACTTTGACGTTGATAACAATTCCCAGCTTGGCACGTGGCTCCTCGTGGAAGGGAACAAGAGGGAAAGCAGAGATAGCAGAGGGGATGTTTAAAGGTCCTGCTCCTGAGCTTATCAAGCCACCCACCCCACGGCAGCCCCAGGAGCAGGGAGAGCACCACAGCCCCAGCACCAAGGGATGGGATCCCCACTCCAGCTCCCATCTCCCCGTTCTCCCTTTTCCTTCTCTCCTCCAGAAATTCACCTTAGTGTCATTTGGGAGTAGGTGCAGGGAGAAAACCCATCATTCCTGAAACCCAGTGAACCCACCAGGCTTCCCCTCCACCCACAGTGGTGGAGATTTTTGGCATTTTAGGAATGTGCCAGGAAACAAGACACAGCTTGTAACACACGTGGGGGACAGGGCAAGGTGGGGAGGGAGCACCAGGAAGAATTCTAGCAGGAACTTCCTTCTTCTGACTCAAAGGCTGTAAAAAAAACCTCAGGGAGGATTTGTATCTCCTGGAATCACCCTGCTGCCACAACTCAGCTTCAACAGAGGAAGGACTAAGGGCAAACCAAGAACCTCAAGGTGCACTTTGACAGCAGTGAAAACAGAGAAAGGAACAGCCCCTGGTGTCAAGCAGAAAGCTGTGCTGCTAACAGGGGCTGCCCCAGCCCCCCAGGGTCCCCTGCAGCCCCCCAGCACTGGGGACACTGCCTCGCTGGTCCCACTGCTTCTTTATCCCCACACAAACCATCAGAGCTCAAGAAAAGTCAGCACAACAAACTATGGCAAGGGCTCCAGCAGACCAGACTTCATTCCAGGTGAGGCTTCGAGGAGGGGAATTCCTGTCCCCAAACTGCTGTTATTTTGCTTTTACGCCAGAGCTATTTAATTAATTTCTCCTGTTATCACACAGTTAATATTTAACAGGTGACCTACTGTAAAGACCATATCACAAGTGTTGGAGCAAGACAGCTAATCCTGCTGCATTACATTGCTAGAACAGCTCCCTGCAGTGCAGAACAGCTTGGGAGGAGGTTATTTTTTTGACCAGTTCTCTTCTGAGAAGTACAGGTTAAAAGTTAGCAGCAGCCCACACTGGCAGGAGCACCTCATGATGCCAAGAACATCTTGCTGTCGATAGCTGGAGGAGTTGTTTGGGCACAGAAAGTATTTTAAGAATTCCCCTCTCTTTGCTTTGGTTCAGCTGTTCCATTTCCCCTTTTCACAACTATAACAAAACACGTGCATGAATATTTCCCTCCACTTTTGCTGCTCTTGTTGTACAAAGCCCAGGCTGCTGCAGAACCACTCATGACAAATCAGAGACCAGAAAAGTCAGGATCTCTCTGCATACAAAAAAATTGTGTCTGCAAGATTTTGAGCTGTTTTGGACCACCACTCAATAAAAACCTCAGTTCAGCATGTGGAGGCAGCTGAAGGGCTGGGATGGTGAGGGAGGGCAGTGGCTCCTGTGCCCCCAGCTCCTGTGCTGGCTGAACAAACACAGGATCACAGGAATAAAAATTCCTTTGCTGCTGGCAAAGAAACCCCCAACACCTGCTGGTTATGCCAGGGCTTTGTTTCAGCAACAGTTTTGAAAAGCATTTCTTTTCTAAAAACACAAAACTTGAGTACACAGCAAGCAGGAAGCAAAAAACACACAGGAGGTGATGACTGTGCAACTAAAGCAATGGCAGCTTCAGTTCTCCTTCCCACCAGCTAAAACAGACCTCAAGACACATGGACATGGCTCTCCACGAGGATTTAAGAGCCCACAAGGGAAAAGAGGGGTGAAGTTTTCTCCATTAGGAGAGGATCATCCCAGCCAGCTTTGAGCTTGCCATGCAGGTTCACACAATCACAGAATCCTAGAATGGGTTGGGTTGGAAGGAGCCCTAAAGATGATCCAGTTCCAAACCCTCCCTCTCCCACAGGCAGGGACACCTTCCCCTGGACCAGGCTGCTCAGGATCCCATCCAACCTGGCCTTGCACACTTCCACTTCCTTCAACAACCCCTGGAGCAAGCTGCTGCCTCCAGGAGTGGGACATTCCCTCCAGGCTGAATGGGAAATGGCATGGGCGTGCTGCCATCACCTTGCCTCGCCCCAGGCTCACCTTTCAGGGGTCAGGTAATCCTCTTCTCCAGCAGCTGCACACAAAGACACAGAGGATTAGTGTTGGAAGGCAAGCCCACAGAGCCCGTGGGAGGTGTGACAGGGACACAGGTCCTGTGTCCTGGCTGCACACAAAGGACTGCCAGAACAAACTGGGGACGTGGCTCTGTTAATATGCCTTTATTATTTCACATTTCCAGGCAACAACCTCAGGCCTCCTAGAGATAGATAACATTGGGAGAGCATGGAGAGGATGGCATATAAATGTAACTATTTCCTCCCATCAGATTAATATATTCAGAAAAGGCAAGTAGGCTAGAAAAAAGTTTCAGCAAAAAACTCTCCCTCTCATTCTTATCAAAGCCAGGGCACACCAATAAGCACTGGCACTGCAAAGCCAAAGAGACTTTAGCAGAGCCCTTCTTACAAAAGCAGCTCCCTTTGAATGAATCAAAAGTTGTGCCTAAAGATCTGGCTATAATTAAGGCTGTATCTATAAAGAAACACCACTTAGCAGCTTAATAAGTGGTCCAGAATATTCTATTATGCAACATCAATAGGGTTTTATTATGGGAAACTGAACTTTTGCATTTCTTGATGTAGAAACACTTAACGACATTGCCCTCTGTTGTATTTAAAACAGAAGTGGGGGGGATTAGCAGACTATTTTCTAACAATTTTATTGTGCCTTCCCACAGTTGTGTGCTCCAGAGTCAAGGCATTTCCCATTGAGGAGGAGTGATAAAGATCAGCCCAGCTCACAGGCAGCTGCTGCTGCTTTACAGCCAGCTGTAAACTGCTCTCAGCACGCTGCACTTGGGAGGGATGCAGGGTTCTGAGCATGGGATGGCGTCCAGCCTGGAAAACCAGATCCCTTTTCCAGATTAACAGCAGAAATCGGCCCCACTGAAACTGCTGGGTTCTTATTAATGTTTGAGGAAGAAGTTATAAACAAGTAACAAAGTCTGATTTCTGCACGCTGGAAATCGCGGCTGTACAGATGTCAATAAACTGCACCTTTTAATTCATTTTCTGTAGAACAGATCTGGGAAAAAAAAAAAAAAGAAAAAATAGTAAATATCTCTTACTTGTTTCATTTCCTCTGTGGACCAAAGGCAGGGTGCTTTGGAAAACACTGAGATCAACCTTTGGGGGTCTTGGAGGCTTCCCAGGGGCAGGACCCAGGGATTCAGCTGAAGGGAGAGGTTTAATCCTTGGCCACTTGTTCCCAGGGCTGTAGGACCATTTTCCTGCTCCAGGCTGGCAAAAGGGAGGCTCTGATTCTGCTCCAGAGAAGCACAAGGACAGGCAGCAATTAGCCCTGATTTAAGCAAAAATCCATGCAGGATCATTAGTTTTTACACTGACATTTCTAACTGGCTCTGCCTCCTCCCAGTTTCACTTTTCCCATCACACAACAAGTCTCTCACCAGAACAGGAGAACAAATGGAAATTTTTACCATGAGAACTGTATTGAGGTCTCAGCTCTCGACAGCTCCCTTCCTTTGGATTATAAAATACCAGCCCAATTTTCTGTGCTGGTAAGAGTTTAATCCACCAGGATTTAGGGCCGTGGCTGTTTGCTCAGTCCAGGTGAGGTGGCTTTCCAGGGTAAACAAAGACTTAAGGTTTTCAGTGTCCTGTCACCCAGTCACGTCAGCAAGGGGAACTTCACAGCCTCTGAGTTTCCCAGCGCTAGTTTCTCTGAGAAATACCTTCTCAGATCTTAAATATGACCTTTTGCAAAGCTGGGAGGGTGCAGGGAGGGGGATTCAGGTTTAAGCTCTTTTAATTAGAATGAAATTGTCTTTGCAGACCAGCCAAGCTTTTCACATCTGTGTGAAGTCACATTTACCTTGGGATTTCAAACACCCAAAGCTCACCAAAACGAAGAAAGTCTCCTGTCTTCAGTTTTCATCCTACTATTCTCAAAGGGTGAGCAATTTCTTAGAGTGAGTTTTTTTTAAAAAATTGTTGGATGTGGATAATCCTCCCTTTACCCAAGCAGAACAGCAGTTTGAGACCCATTTCTTATCTCCAGGACCTCCAGAGCAAGAACACAGCATTCCAATGGGCCAGTTCGAGGGTCCCAACCCTCAGCAGCTTTTCTCCCCTGCTGCTCTATCCTGCACTTCCAGATCACCTACACACTCCTGTATTTCCATATTCAGAGTTAAGATTACACCTCACCTTTCTGGAGCTGAGGTGGCTCTCTTGGTGCACGACACGCAGGTGTCACCACACCCTCAGCACCTGCTCCATCAGAGCTCCTGTGTCCTCTGGGAGCCTGAGCAAGAGTTATCCCACTGCCATGCAGAGCATCCTTCCTCTGGGCACGCCAGTCCAGCCCAGGGGAGCTGCCAGGGGCTGGAATCCTGTCCCTGCCTGATGCAGCAGCAGCTGAGTTTGCTGCCCGCTGGGCTGGGACTCTTGGACTTGTCTTGTCCCTGCGGGATAAAGTCTCTTCCCAGATCTGCAGCACGTGCTGGAAAGAATCCGGGAGCTGAGGGTCCTCTGGAGTTGTTTGGCTGGATCCTTGGTGGTCAGTGCCACGGGACAGCTTTTCTGAGCTGCTCTTGGGGGAGCTCAGCCCTTGCTCCGAGGCGCTGCCCCTGTGCCCCTGAGGCTGTGCCAAGGGGATGTGCTGGGTGAGCACAGGGGGCTGGGAGGCGGGATGGGCAGCTTTTGACGCCTTCACCTCTCTCTTGGCCAGGGGCAGAGGGCTGGATGTGGTGCTCCCTGCAGAGCCAGGCTTGGGGGGGATCTCCACGGGAGGTTTCTGCCCCAGCTTGATGGCCAAGTCGGAGTCATTCTGAAATTTTGCTCGGAGGGCTTTGAAGTCAGTCACACCTTCCTGGGTGAGGGGACAGAGGAGAGCACAGAACAGCTGCTTACAGAGGGGGCAACAGGCAATTTAAACAATCGTGCTTTTTCAGAGAGAAACAGGCTGCACGCTCAACCTTGGTCACCAACGATATGCTGATCCTGGTGAAAATTTAAAAGCAGTGGAGGAGAATTTACTCTTTCAAAAGATTCTCCAAAGGCTCACAAATCACTGCTGGTGAAGACAAAAAGAGCTGAAAACAGGGGGGAAATGCAGGAGCACAGCACAGAAACCAGGCAGGACCAGTGTGGCCAGGGGAAATGCCTCCTTCTCCCCAGTGTCAGCCAGTGACAGAGAATTTCCCTCGGGAGGATCTGGCAAACACGGAGTTGAATGTTAGAGCTTTCCTGGCAGAGGTGCTGCAATGCTGTTTATGCATCTGCTGGGTATGAAAACTGCACTTTATTTTCAGTACACAAGCAGCAAACAGGGAGAGGCCAGTACTGTTCCAGAGATGCCCAGTCCATCCCCATCCTCCTTGAGAAAACTCCACCATGAGAAGAGAAGCACTAAATATCCTCTTTGGTGCTGCACTCCTAATGACCCCTGGGACAAAATTCTCCTCCTCCACAGTGCTGGTTCAGCTCAGGGCCCCCAAGGCTCTTTGGATGTTTCTGCCCTTGCCTTTAATGCCTCTCCAGGAAGCAGAGCACACATAACCCAAACATGGGGCACCCAGAGACATCAAGAGCATCTCCCAGTGCAGGTGATGGGTGCTGGCCATGACACTCAGTTCCTCTCCCACACCTTTACCAGACCCCAGGTTCTTGAAGAAAAGGAGCAAATCAGTGACAGTGCAGTTTAAAAGGGCACTTAAAGAACATTTTGTTTCAGTCCCTCACTCCCCTGTGTCCCACCATCCCACGCTGGAGAAAAGGGACCACAATTTTTGCCTGTAGTGCCATGGCTTAAATTCAGCCCTGAGCTGAACTAGGGAGAAAATATGAAGAAAAATTTATGAGCTACTTAAGTCCTTGAACTGCTCTATAACTTTTTATATGCCATGATTACATTAGGTGCTCTGCTCTGGCAGCTTAGTTCAGTGCAAGGCTTCACGAGAACCTGTCTAATGAGGAAATTGGAAAAAATTATCTAGGACAGAACTTCGTTATTCTGAAAAAAGCCTCAGCCTTAAGTGTTAAGACAGAACAGATGAATAGCATACTGAGGTTTTATTGCATTTAATTGCACAATTTATTAAACACTGACAATTTCTCTTGAATAACCCCTTTCACTGACTTTATTACTTTCACAGGGTAGTACATGATGTAAAGAACCAGCCCTTGGGGGAGAGGTTTGAATTGCTCCAATTATATTTCATATTAGTGGTCAGCAGCCTGATGCTGTATGAGCTGCCCAGACAGGTTAATCTAGCAGTGAGCCATGGCAATGGGAGCTTCCAGAGGCACACGGAGGATGAATCAGATTCTGGGGGGGAAAAAAGAAAAACTAAAAAAAAAACCCCACATGCACCCAATCCCTGCAGCAATGCCAGACAGGAAATAAAGCAGTGAGGTGCCCTAATGCAATTGCAGGGAGCTGCTGCAGCAGTGGTTGAAGAGTTCAGCACTGTTTACCTCCCTTGGCTGATTTTCTTTATTGGAGCAAACAGTTCTTCATCAGCGCCCTCACAGACAAAGAAAAGAGAAAGGAAAAAGTACCTGCTTGTCTCAGTGTGCCCCAGGCGAGGCAGACACGGGGTTTTTGGTCAGGCCTCTCCCTGGCACTGGCTGTGACAGAAATGGGCTGTGACAATCACGAGCTCGGCACTAAGTTTAATTAAAGTGGGTTGGATAACAATTTGTGTGTGGGGGAAGAAAGCTCGTACTCTTCTTGCCTTGAAACAACTGATTTGCCTAATTAAGAGGGAGATTATCTGTGCTCAAGGCACTCTCAGTGCCCCTCACTAGGTTCCTCCAGAGTGCAGCCTGATGGGATGCTCAAGGCAAGGAGGGACAAGCACAGCCCCCAGCCAAATACAGAGACCTGCTGGGGTGGATGGGGTTAAATTGCACCCCATGGCCACCTCCTGCACACCCAGCTGGGCAATCCATCCCTCCCCAAAAAGCTCCTGCAAATGCTGTTTCCTTGCACAGGGCTGAGCTTAGCCAGACCCTCCAAGGTGCTGTGAGCTCTCCTGGTTTCTGCAGGGACGATTCTCCATCAGAGCTGGGGCTGTGTCAAACCACAAACCCATCCAAGCACCTTCAGCTGGCTCAGGGAGATGCTCAGCTTGAACACAGTGCTGAGCAGGTCACAGGCAGGACACACATGGGGTCCCAGTGTCCCAGGGAGGGCTCAGGTCCCCTGAAAATCACACCAGCTGACAAGCAGGGAGAATACACTCATAAATTCAAGGGCCTGCCAAAAGCTCACAATGTGTATTACAGCTACATCTGGCCAAATAATTGACTGTGAATAATACTACATTTGGCAAAAGCCCACGCAAGATGAGAGGGGAAGAGAGAAAAAAGGAAACAAACTTCCACTGGCCGGAAAGCTGTGAGCATTAAGGAGTCAGGGGACAGCAGCATTACACAGTCAGGGGGCAGTGAAACTTTCCATATTTTCTCCCTATAAATAAAGTGTGCTTCTAACATCGAAATCAGTCTAGGAAGCAGAATAAAGCTCAGCTTAAGCCCGTGATAAGGGTGCCTTTTAGAAGGAATAGCAGCAGGAGGTTTGTGCTGATACCTTGGACTAACCAAAAGGAATCTGAATTACTGAATCCCACAATGGTTGGGATTGCAGCAGACCTTAAAGATCAAATTGTTCCAGCCCCCTGCCATGAGCAGGGACACTGACCAGGGTGTTCACAGCCCCATCCAACCTGGCCTTGGACACTCCCAGGGATGGGGCACCCACAGCTTCTCTGGGCACCCTGTGCCAAGGCCTCTCCACCCTCTAAGTGAGGAAATTCTTCCTAATATCTGATCTAACCCTGCCCTCTTTCAGTTTGAAGTCATTCCCCCTTATCCTGTCATTTCAGGGCTTTGTCAAAAGTCTCTTTCCAGCTCCCCTGTAGCCCCTTCAGGTACTGAAATGCTGCAATAAGGTCACCCCAAAGCCTTCCCTTCTCAATTAATTAACTAAATCAACCTACTTCCAATTAGTTTCCTCAAGTTGCTTTCCTAAAATGAATCAACACAGGCAGATAAACCCCATTCAGGACATGGCACACCAGAAAGCTGGGAGGAAGCACTGCCTGTTCCCCTCCTGGAATTTTTCTGGCTTACTCCATTCTTTATCTTGATTCCCGAGGGAGCTGTGGTGGGTAAATGTTTAATCTGTGCTGCCCTCTGCCCTGGCGTGGGACTGCTGGAGCCAAGCCCAGGCACCCGGGGCAGGCTGAGGAGAGCTGCAGATATCATCACCATGGACTCATTAACCCGCCAGCTTCTCCCAAAATAAATAAATAAACCCCAACCCGACTTTTTGTTCCATTTAGAGGCACAACAGCAGCTCGTGTCAGAGTGAGAGGGGAAGAAAGCAGGCGGTGGGAGCCCCTGTTTTGGGGCAGCAAAGCAGAATCTGTGTGGTCAGCACACAGAGCAGGAGCAGGGATGGGAGCACACCTTACTCCCAGGATAAACTGCTCCTGTTCCATGGAGAGAAGAGCCCCCAGCTATGAACCAGCAGCAGAAAACCCAGCAGAAATGTTTCCCCCGGGCCAGGTGCAGAAGAGGCAGAGCCCCAGCAGTTACCAGCTCCATCCCAGGCTGCTCCATCCCATGGCAGCTCCAGCGGCTCAGCCCGGCACGGTCCGTGTGCTCGGCTGCTCTGCGCTGCAGCCACGCCAGGTGAGGCGGAGCCAGCCCTGAACACACCTGGGCTGAGGCTGGGTCTGCCCCCGGGGCGGGGAGAGCCTCACCTGGGCAGGGCTGAGCCACCAGTGCCAGCACAGGGGCACTGGGCATGGCAAAGGGGTGGCAAAGGGATGGGAAAGGCAGAGTTTGGTTTGCTTTCTGAGGGATGTGATATCCACGTCCGTGCAAGTTTACAGAATCTTGGAGAGGTTTGGGTAAGAAGGGACTGTAAAGATCACCCAGTTCCAACCCCCCCAGTGAGTTCTCAGGTCCCTCCTCACACCTGGGGCAAGCAAAACTGAGGAGACATGAGGAGCCCCATGATGTCCAGCAGTAATTCTTACCCCAAATTTTGGGTGTCCCCGTAGGTGACACCCACCTTTCTGCACCATGCTCTTCCCCACAGCGATGCCAGAGATCTCAGGGTGATTAAACCAGACATTTCCCCGGAGGAACCAAGTGTTTCCTTCCTCTCCATCATCCTTGCTGCAGCTCTCACACACTCCCTGGTGAAGCAGCTCCTCTCCATGGAGAGCTGTTCCTCAGGGTCCTAAGGACAGCCCAGATAAATTAGGGCAAACAAGACTTCTCCTATCACTGGGTATTTCTGCCCTGGAGAACAGACTGGAACTATCTGTCCAAACACGAAGCCCATGTTTTTACAGAACATGTCTCCCAGGAAAAGCAAGGCTGGTTAACTTGGCAAGAAGAGAGCTGGGAGCCCCAGGACTTCCTTCTTCCCTCTGTAACTGGTCAAATATGATTTCATTTCTCTCTCAGGAGTGCTTGGTGTTTTCCTTGGAGCAGGGACAGCTGCTGCACAGAGCCTGGGTGCTGGTGACATTCAGAGGTGTTGATGAGGTCTGGGAGGGCAGGAAGGCACAGACACCCTGAGCAATTCTCGTGAACTGACCCTAATCCCACACACCAAGACTCAGCCCCTCTCCTATAGATCATTCCCAATAAGATGCCTGGAAAAAAATCCATGAAGAGACCTTAAAAATCATCCAATACCAGCCCCCTGACACTGGCAAGGACATCTTCCACTATCCCAGGGTGCTCCAAGCCCTGTCCAACCTGGCCTGGAACACTTCCAGGGCTGGGGCAAGCACAGCTTCTCTGGGCATCCTGTGTCAGGACCTCACCACTTTACAGGGAAGATTTTTTTCTCTAATATCTGCCCTACTAAACCTGTCCTTTTTTCAGTTTGAAGCCATTCCCCTCTGTCCCAGCCCCCTCTGCACATTGGAATTGAGCAAAACCCTGCCCTGAGCATCCCTAATGCCTTCAGGAACTGACCCTGCTTTCCAGAAATGTGAGGGGAGCTGAAAAATAACAGGAAGGGAAACTGAGGAAAAGAAAAAAGGCTTATTTGTCAGAGACATGACTCGAAGCAGGAGTCTGGTTCCTCACCACATGAAAAGCCCTGCTGCTGCGTGGAGGTCTTGGAGAAGAAAGGGGGATCCTGCTGAGCTGGAAGCTGGCAGGGAAGTCTCCCAAGGCAGTGCTGGAGTCTCAGTGTGATGGGAATCAATGCCAGCTTTGTCCACAGGTAGCTGGGGAGGATTTATGACCCGCCCAGTGGTGTGAACACAGACCATGAATTAAAGCACTGTTGGAGAATCAGGAGGTTCTGACTTCAGAGCTGCAGTCCTGAGGAAAAGGCCAGGGTAGATTCCTCTGTGTGCACTCTAAAACGAAAGTAAAAGGCCAAAAGTTTCTTTAAAACATGCATTTTGTGAGTGCTAGCCCCGTGGGACCCCACCAGCCCCACCAGGGCTGCCATAAATCACACTGGGCTACAACAACTGCACAGGGAGCACGGGGCAGCCGTGGTGTTGGCAGCATCAAACACTGCACAAGTGAAGCCAAATCTTTTTTTTTGATGTCCCAGAAAAACAGAGTGACCCCCTTCTTTGGGCAGGAGCTTGGGGTTTGCTCTGGGATTGCATCTCAAAGGCACCAACCCAGGGTGGGAATTCCCAGGCACAGCCCCAGTGGGAATAAACCCAAACACAACTGCTGAGAGCAGCAGCCCCAAACTCTCCCTTGCACATGCACAGCCTCCCCAGAACAAACCATCTCAGCCTGTTTTAAAGTTTTACATTTCATTTCTTGGGTGTTTGTTTTTTTTTTTTTCTTTTCCTGCAGTAAAGCATTTAGTACATTATGTATTTGTGTCAGTTTGAGGGCTGCAAGCACGGCATCCAGCTAACTTATTTTCCCTGAATTTTTCTTTTTATCTATTTAGTGGACTGGTGGAGTTTGTATATAAGTCTGTTATAGATATTTGGGATTTTTTTTCCAATTTTTTAATCCTTTTTGGATTTTACAGAGCTGCTACTAGAAGCCAAGAACAACAGCAGATCTTGGGAATATGTTTTATTCTTAATATTTCAGCTTTTTAGAAAGGTAGGGTGGTGAGACAAATTTTGGGGCAATCCAGTCTTTTTTGGAAGATAACAAGATTTAAGTATTGCCCATGACATAATTGGTGATAACATAAGCCCAGTGTCAAGATATTTTAGATTGGGGATGGTCTGACAAGTTGTTTTCCTTTGTCACAGCTACTGGCCCCACACGTGGGACAACACTGGGAAAAGGCAGTAGGGTCCATATCTCTGAAAAAACCCCACCTCAAAACCCCCCAAAATGGGGGGAAATGGAAAGCAGGGCACAGCCTTGTGCTAGGCAAGGATTTGGCTCAGTTTTAAAGCCTTATTCTGTTCCCAGGAGGGCCAGGACACTGCCCCAACCTGGCTCCCTGCACATCCTGTGGAATTCTAGAACGGTTTGGGTTGGAAGGGACGCTAAAATCATGTAATTCCCACCCCCTGCCATGGGCTGGAATCTCATCCTTTTCCTGCCACGGGTCATTCCGTGGTTTTCCAGCAGAGGGGGAAATAGGATCACTTGTTCCACCACCGAGCTGCTTGCTCTGTCTCCTTGCTGGCAGGAGGGAGGGATTTAGGAACATGCAGTGTTATTGATCCTTGCATTCCAAAAGCCAGCACCTGCTGTGGCTGGACAGGACAAGTGTGTGGAGGTACCCACACAGCTCCATCACAAGTTTTAAGGTCAGCCTCATCAAAGCAATGTAGGACTCAAGAAAATTCATTTACAAGCCTTGCAAAGTGTCAGGTATTTTATCTGTCCAAGCCACAGGGTTGTCTCTGCAGTATGGCCCTGATCCCACACTTAAGTGCACACCTTTTTTTTAGCAATATAGCCACCTAATCCCCTGTGTGTTTAAAGCTAGGTGTTCACTCTGGTGGCAGATACCTCATCCGAGCAGTTCTGGGCTCAGTGGCACCAAATGAGGACAGGCAGGTCCAGCACCAGGGCTGTGCTCATCTGCTGCTCCTTTTCCACATTTCTGCACAGCCGGGCTCAGTAACTGAGAGAGGAGCTCAATGCTGCATGGAGAATTTAAGGTGGGGATGAAAAGCAGAGGAAATGAGGTGCAGAAGTGGTGCAGAGAGGAGGAGTGTGGTGGTGAGAAGATGGGCAGCAGCATTTTTTGTCCCCTCTGACAGCAGTGAGGAGCAGGGTCAGGCACAGCCTTTTCCTGCTGTAATGAAACTTTCCAGAGTGCAGCAACATCATCACAGCTCTGCTCTGCAGGGTGAGCTGTGCAAACCTCTTGTCCAGCCTCATGCTTCTACCCAGAGCTCTTACTTGCTCTACAATAGAAAGGCATCTCTGAATCGAAATCCTTCTCCTGGTGACATCTGCGCTGTGATTCTGATTTTTTTGAGTTTGGAGATGAAGACCTCGGCAGCCAGCTTGGCTTCCTTGGCCAAAACAGGAGTTCTTTTACCAAGCTGCTGTGCAGAGAAGGAGAGGATGAGCTGAGAAAAGCCCATGTGTGCTGCAAAAGCACGTGTCAAACAGCAAACTTCCCAAGGGCAGAGCTCCAACTGCAAGGCACAGCTTCTTCATCTTGCCATAGCTCTGCATAACCTCTGCACGTTGCCACAATCTGTGTACTGCTCAGAAAAACCCCCACCACCCCAGAATAAAAGGCTGTCTGCTCTGCCCTTTTCCCTGGTGAGCCACGAGGCAGCCAGTCACATCAGACTTTGTGGGCAGGATGGCTCCAATAGAAGGGGAAAAAACAGTAATTAATATCTAAAGGCCTCTCTGCCTTTAGATGTTCACGGGCTTCAAGTAGGAACAAAATTCAGACTTAAAGTATTGCGTGAATAAAATACTACAAGAAATATAAATAGAATATTGGCATAAAAAAGGATGAATTTTTAAACTTAACTGTATCCCCTGCAGCAAAAGCTATATGAATATACCAAAAATAAAAATCCAGATATGAAGAAGGAACAAATGCAAATGCTGGATGACAATAACATTATGTTATATCCATTATAGCTTCACCCTGGGGCTAGGCTTGTGCAGCCAGCCACATTGCCCACAGGCTGCTCAGGTGATACCTGAAAGATCAATGCACTCTTCAGGCAGAAATTAATCCCCTTTGTTGGGCCAAACACATTTGAAGTGGAGGCTTTTTTGAAGTGGAACAAAATCCTGTGTTGCTACCACGGAGTTTGTTTACACTGAGTTAATCTGCCCTGCTTTTAGATAAGTAAGATCTGCGAGTGAGGAATTGTGTGTCTTTTAATTAAAGGGTTCTTCAGTGTCAGGGAAAGAGCTCAGTGGTGGGATAGCCACAAAGTGATGATGTGAGCTCACTGCCCACCCCAGCCTGCTCCCAGCCCTTTTTCCATGCTCCTGCATCAGCATGGACAGCACAGCCAGCACTGCAAGCCAGAGGTGCAGAGACTTAATTTGGGTTTGGAGTGAAGGATCCACCACAAACATTTTAGACACGTTCAGTCCAAAACATTCTAAATGGAACCATGGCTCTATATCTCTATCTGTGTCTGTATCTCACTTTTGGAACCTAGCCCCTCTGAGGAAAGTTCTTGAATTTCACCTCTAATGTGGAGTGCCTTGCTGGCTGCTTAAATCTCTCCTGCACGCCTCTCCCCCAGACAACCTCACCTCTCTGAGAAATTGGTGTTGTGCCTGATTGCACAAACCAGCCCAGCCTTTTACCTGGGAGATGTGCCACAAATAACTTCCATTATATATAGGGAGTGTTTCTGATGCTGCTATCAGAAAAAAAAAAAAAAAAAAAAAAAGAAGATACAATGCTTCGACAGCCTGGCTTAGATGCTGAGGAGGCACTTGGCTGTGCAAAACACCATTTGTATCACAGGACAGCCCAGGTTTGGATGGAAACCAGTGGGGTGCATCCCCACCAGACCTCTATAAGCATGGCCAGAACCTTTTTATGTCCTTCTGCCTTACCAGCCACCTGCACAGAGGCTGTGATGTGTAACAGGGAGGTGATGGGGGGGATCGCCTCGGGCCACTTACATTTCCCTACTTTTTCTCCCAGGCAAAAGCAATTTAGGTTTAATAGTATATTAAAAAAGTATTAAACCCCTTACTGGAGTTCTTCTTGCACAGGCAAAGAGAGGAGAAGGGCGTTCTGAGCCCATCTGCAGTGCATTAGTAGGTAAAGGATTGCATTAAGGTACTCCCGAAGGTCACAGAAGGGCACTGCTCATTTCATTCCAATTCAGAGTTTACCCCTGTGCTGCACTTCTTAGTGTTTAGCAAAGACAGGCCCCGGGGTCACTCTGAACTTTAATTACATGGAAATAACTTGCTAAGAGATCCTTTCATTTTGATAATTTACAATACCAGCTATTGAAATGAGCTTTGCAATTGATTTGGGAAATACACAAAATGACACTTCCAGCCCAGCCTTTTGTGGACACAGGACAATTCACTGTCTGTTTAAAAGCTATAATAGCCCCAGACCAGACCTTCCTGCAATAATTACACTTTCTCTTGAATTTATTGAGGTTCAAACTTCCAGTTGTCTGCTGGGAACACTTCATTTATGCACGAAGCATCTCAGCCCACTTATGCAGAAGAAAAAGCAGGGAGAAACAGGCACTTGTTTGAACACACAAGTCTCCACAGATCTCTTGCTCCTTTTTAAACTGATACCTAATGAAGATACAGATTCCTTGAGCATTTTTTGTGCCTGCCCAGGGCCTTTAGGGCATTTTGGAAGCTGTGAAAGCTTGAAGGAACAGCTATGAGGCAACTTGGGCAGTGACCAACTGTCTTTCCCATGGACATTTTTATTTTCTTCTAACACGACAGGACTAAATATTGTCATCCTGTGACTATTACCTTAAAAATAAATAACCTGTGGTGTTCATGCCACCCAGCTAAAAGCATTAGAGCCACCACGAGCAGATGGGTTTGCACAAGGTATGGCCAAGACAATTTCAGAGGTAGGGGAGGTCTTCCTCCCCCCAAATCACTTCAGAAAAGAAGGAATTCGATTTTCACGTTGCAGTGGCTGTGTAGGGCCATCCAAAAGCCAGGTGATAACTCACATCAGCTTCAGAGGTGGGAAACAGCCTCGTGGGGCTGGCAAGGGGAGGAAGCTGAACTGACATTTCCTTCATGTACACATTCCTCATAACACAATTTTGTGCTAATCTTCAATTTGCTGTACTGGGAAGCTTTTCCCTGGTCAGCAACCAGACACATCAAAATTACAGTGAAGTCACTGTGGGAAATAACACCAGTTTTCTCCTCCTTCAAATTAAAAGGAGGGTGCAGGCTGGATAAGAAACATCCTGCTTCAATAGGACTTGATTGACTTTAATGTGGAAACAGTTGCACAGTTTAATATATTTCCTTGCCAGAAAACCAGGAATTTGTTTCCAAAAGGGCAAAGGCCTCTGGGATGTGTCCTGATTCTTTGTGATTCGATCTGTGCTGCTGTCAATGATTTACTGCAGCATTTCGGAGCCTGGTGGGCTCCGTGCTCCTTCCAGCACTCCTGAAAACTTAAAAGCTTTGCTTTGCAGCTGGTCTGCAGCAAACATTTACATATGGCAGAGCAATGTGGTGGAGCCTGGCTCAGCTCTGTGCCCTGATCCTGTCTGTGTTCCCCCTGGCTCCAACACCAGCCCTGGCCACGGCGTGCAGGGAGCTCCAGGTGTTGCCTTCCCACAGGTAAGTCTGCTCCCTTCCCCAGATTTCCAGACAGGAATTACCAGCACGGCCATCAGCACGTCAAGTTTTATCCTGACTTGAGGCATGTGCACAAAGCTACCAGGAAAAAAAAAAAAAAAAAAAAATTAAAAATTGGCAGCTGTCCAAAGCCCAAGCCAAGCATTGTAATTCCTGCTTAAAGGAATGTTTGCACAACAGTTTTCCTTTTACAGGTGACTATTAAGCCTTCTTAAACTTCCTTACCAAAATTACCAGGCTGGGTTTGGGCACTTGAAATGAATTCTAGATTCTGGATGATTTATGAGTTAATATTTTTCATATTCTTTTGCATTATAATTATTTTACACTCGACAACACGAAGCTAACAAGTGCATGTGAATAACCCAGTTTTCAGTCCAAGCCAGATCCTCATACCTCACTTTTTTTCTCCCATGAACGATATTATTAACTTAAACAAGTGTCACTAGGGCTTTGAAGGAAAGGAATAAACAAGTTACATTTTTTCTAAAGCTATAGTGTCATGATAGGAAACGAGTGGATTTTTTTTTTCTACAGCTATTAATTTCAAGCTTGTTGTAAAGGCAAATATGATTTAGGAGGATCAAAAAAGGTATCAGTGATAATTGGAACATGGAGACAAGGAGAAGATGGAAAGGAAAAAAAAACTGTGGTAGTGATACACTTAATTATGAAGGCTTATTCTGATAATCCCTTTTGAAAATGAACAAAGACGAGATTTTTGATGTTTGATGAACTTATCAAACAAGGCAGAATAATGAAGAGGTAAATGTAAAATCCAATCGAAGGTGAGCCAATTAAGCACTTTGCAAAGTGCTGAAGGATGCAGCCCACAAATCCTCCTGTCAGAGCAAAAAGGCATCAATACCTGCATGTCCTCCAGCTCTGGGTTCACCTGCAGGCTCCTGGGTTTTCATCTCACACACAGATCTGCACCACAGGTTCCCTTCCTCAGCTGCTGTGCCTTTCTTTTAGTAAATCTCCCTTCCCCAGCCTATGATGAATCCCCCATGAGCTACATACCTCTGCTAATTATCAATATTTCTCTTTGGACTGCAGTCTTGTAAGTAAAACAGACTGCTCATTAGTTAATCGCCAAAATAATAATAAAAATAATAATGTTCTGACTCAGAATAAACCCTCAAAATGCTTCGAAGGCTGTGGCAAACTCAGGGTTGTATTTGCATGTCACAGATTGCTCCTCAAGACAAAGAAATGGCTCAAACAAATGAAGGTTTTAGGAGTAGAGACAGAACTAGAGATTGTAATGACTGGGCTGGGAGGCAGCAGAAGTATTTTGTTGTGTAATGATGTGCAGAGAGTCTGATCCAAGAGCCACTACAACACCATGCCTTTGCCCTTTTCTCCCTTATAATATTCCTTCAGTACTTTTCTTCTTCTCAGAATTTGTGTATTTTGCTTTAGAAATACTCAACCAACAAATTCTTAGCCAAGGTCTGTGAACCTTGTTCTGTCAGCACTGTTGGTGCAGCCATTCCCACCCCTCCACAAAGCCCATGGAAACCAGGATCTGATTTCACACTGAAGCCAGGAGTTCTCACTGGTGTAAAGAAAGTGCCATCAAAACAGGCTCAGCAGTGATAAACATCCCTGCTCCTGGAAACTGTGATGTGCTTCTGAAAAGAAAGGCAAAAAATCAGTTTTTCTTTAAAACCTGTCTCTTCACGACATTCCTTCTGTTTACTCAGGATGGTTTAGTCATATATATATATATATATATACATGTTTAATTGCAATCTACCTATTGGAAAAGACAAAGATGTCTAGGGAGAGCAGGAATCCCAAGACAAAATCCCCAGGTACTGCACCTGCAGGCCCTGCTCAATTCTGATGGTGAACACCTGGATGGGACATCTTGGGATGTTTCCCATTTCCTACAAACCAGCTTCCTGGTGGAAAAACACACACACAGAGATCATTTTCTCCCTTCCAGCCTTTAGCCCCTCCCAAAACACAGCTTCAAAGACCTCAGATCACTCTTTCTTCCCCTCCCTAGAAGAAGCAGCAGAGATGTTAATTCTCCAGCTCCTGTTGACTGTCAGCTGAGCCAGTGGTCAGGATGGACTGATTGCTTCCCTTGCCAAGAGAAAAAAGTAAGGATCCACTGTAATGTATTCATTTATCTTCAGATGTGTCTGTGATGAGGATGTACACACATTAATTATATATATTATACATATTCATCATTCTGAAGCATCCAGTAAACTCATCCAAATATGATGGAAATGCTCCTCTGCTAGAGAGGCTCTTATTTACCCTGGTGTAAACGGGGAATAAATTCATTCGAGGCAGCAGAACAAGAAAAGCAAAATCAAGGCAAATGGTGGAAGAATCAGGCCAGAATACTTGCCCAAGACTTTCTTCCTTTTCTGTCTCAGATTTAATTAAGTGTCCCCTGATTCTTAATGCAAGTGAAAAGAAATTAGAAGCAGCCTTCATGCATCAGCTGCTGTTCTCATATTTTTATATCATTTCACATATGTCTTCATAGTTTGAGAATTTATTTTCAAATACCTGACATAATTCTGCTTTCTACTGAGTTTGTCTTATCCCTGCCTTTTTTGTTCCTGTGCTTATAGACAGTATATTATCAGTAAATAATATGGCTTTTCTCCCTTTCTTTTTTTTTTCCTCCTTTCCTAGTTTAAAGAGCAGCAATTCTCATTAATAATCCATCAGAAATGTTGCAGGATCAGTGTTGTAATTAGCGTCTGTGTCCATCTGAGCCTGGTGCATTGCAGGACAAAGCAAATGCAGCTGGAAAAATGCCATATTTTTCCAAGGTATAAAACAGAGATATTTTTAAAGCAGCCCTTCCTGCCCCCTCTAAGTCCACACGTACGAACTCCAGGCAAATCTGAGCTCCCAACTCTCCTGCCTTTATCATGCACGAAGTCTTCAAGCCACACACACACACACATAAAAACAAGAATGCCTATTGAAGTGGTAGTTTTGATGGCTGTATGGCCTGCGGAGGGGATGCCTGGGAGGGGGACACACCTGGCTGTGTCTCTGTGCAGCACAGGTACCGGCGGCTGCTGCAGCCAGCAGCGTTCGGAGGGCGACGCTGCTCAGGACACCTCTGGGATGAGCAAGCCTGCCAAGCTGGGACAACGTGCACAGGGCCAGCAGGGTGTGGAGAGGACTTCCAGTGCGAGGGAACAGGTGAGTGAGCCAGGCACAAAGCCCTGCCACAGAGGTTTTGGCCCTGCGGGTATCAGTCCCCTGCCCCAGGCAGCAGGAGGGTGAACCAGTACAAGAGAAAGGTGGAAATTTCCCCCCCACACACTTTTACAGAAATCCATCCATGTTACACTCAGATTTGGGTGGGAAAGACGGCTGTGTGATATGGAGAATGTGAATTTTTCAGTAGAACAAAGAGAGTAGGAATATTCTGCTCCAACTGCTGTGCACTCACACAACGCTCCCACAACGCTCTGCTTCTCCCCTGCTAGAGACAGAGTTCAATCATCAATCCAACCAGCAATCTGTTGGGGTGATTTAGTTATTTTTAGCCACCTCCAGCTCTGAGGATTAGGATATAAAATGGCTGTTCTCTGAAACTTTGACTAGCCTTGACAGATTTTTTTTGTTTCTACACAAATGGCTCAAACTTCCTCCCTGAGCATTTAATGAAAATTCTGTCGAAATTTGGAGCCAGAGGTCAGCTCTGTGACCAGCTCATCAGCTGGAGCAGGTTATCATCAGTCCACTGGGGTAAATTAAGCAGTGCCAGTTCCCTCCTCAAGGCTTTCTCCACGCTCCCAGAAGCAAAAACCCTTCCACATTGCCTGCCCTGCAAATATCCATACTTGCACATAATTATTGCATTAAACTCCCCAAATGCCTCCTGCAATGGGAAGAGGAAAACTTGCATTTTAATAAGATGGAGTTGACTTCCTTAAGCCAAGAGGTGAACCTATTCCTGCAGCAACTTTCCAAGGGTGAGATTTTATAAAATAAAGTCAGGACAGCGAGGTGACCTCTCCTTGATTGCCGCCCACTAAAAGCCCATGGGAGTGGCCAGCTTGGACTCTGTGCTGTGTTCAGGTCCCAGAAGCTTGGAAAATCAAATTCCTCATGGAATAACGGCGTGTTTAACAGCCAGCATGACTTCCTGTGGCCCTGAGATGTGGGTGAAAACCAGCACAATGAGTGCAAGCTGCCAGCCAGGCTTTCTGGAGGGCGGATAAGGCACCGCCTGCATCTGTGCACTTTAGGGCGCTGCATTAAACGGCATCTCGTGTGCAACGGGGACAGAGACTGCAGAGATGGCTCTGATGAGGATAACTGTGAGGATGAAGATAGTGAAAACCCTTGTCAACATCTGTTCCCAATCCCAGGGGTGGAAAAAGCAGTCCAAGGGTGAGTAATTAATCAATAGCTGCTCCTCTCGCAATCAAAACAGGATTATGTTTCTTATATTGCTCTTCCTTAGTAACAGTGGTGATCCATGAATTGATAAGAGGCTGTGCAAAACCCAGAGGGGAGGTGCTGTCCCATGTGACCATGGGTAGAAATGAGGGTTCATTCCAGCTTTTATTTCAAATTCTGTGTCAAATCTATTGCCTGACCACAGTGCTTGTGATGCCCTTTTTATACTCCTGAAAAAATAGATCCCAGTTATCTCACAGCTTTCTCCAGTTGTTAAAAGTAATAGACTAAAGCAAACAGCAGACTTTGGAGATGCAGCACAGTGCTGGCATTCATTCCTCAGGAGATTTAACTCCAGGATTTAGGACTTCAGAGCACAGATTCAAGGCAGAGAGCCTGAACTCCACAGGAGTATCTGTAAATACTCCTACCCAAAAAAAGTGTTTCCCTGTTCAGTCTCAAATTTTGATTAGGTAATGCAGGCAAAAGAGAAATCCAGAATAAAATGAAAGTGAAAGGGAAATTGTGACTGTGACACTCTTGTTGAAAACCTTGTATTTTAACCAAGCTACTGCTCAGTTTCCCTTGGAGAACAGGGCCCTGCCAGTGGCAGAGGGATTGGAATGAGATGACCTTTAAGGTCCCTCCCAGCCCAAACCCTTCTAGGATTTTATGAACATGGAGCCAGCCACTGTGTAATTTCCCCATCAGCTCAATCCAACACTCTCTGGAGTCCATGAGATAAATGTCTCTCTGGGCCAGAGACTGGGAGGGTCCATCAAAAGTTTTACAAGACATGCATTAATTTTCACTGAGAACCCTAATTCTGCTCTCTGAGGTGTTTCTCCTGCAGAACACACAAAAGCAAAGGAATTTGCTGTCTTAGTCCTAAAGATGGTTTCCTGTTGAGAAGAGCAGTGCTGCTGTCTAGTTTGAATAACGCTTTCACTTTGGGCCATGGAATTACATGGAATACTAACTAATAGGAGAGATTTCAGAGGGCAGCAGCTGTGAGGGCTGGAGAGCAGGAAGAAGGAGGAATAAGGAAATAATAAGTGACAGACTTGGCAAAGCACAGCCTGCATGTCTAGGGAGGGTGTTAACTACCCTGAGAAACGGGACCATTATTAAAAAGAAAGAGATGAAATTAAGATAGAAAATAATTGCAGAGTATGCCAGGAAGCACTTTGTGACAATGAGATGCATTAGGCTCAAGAGGAACCTGGAGGAATTCCAGGACTTTGGGACTTTCATAGCTGTACTTGCTGGGAGGGGCTGGGCAACTTCACTGATTTCTTCCATTTCTTGCATGTGAGTCCAAACTAATGCCTTAGAAATAAAATGGCTGTTTGTCTCCTGGTAGCTTTGGGAAGGAGACAACAATGAGATAAACCCAATCCAGCTTTAAGTTCTATTCCAGTTCCCCAGAAGACCTGAGCACAGATAACCTGTAGTGTCAGGAGAACCTGTGACCGAGACTGAGGAAATAAAACCAGACCTGTGGATAACCTCAGTAATTTCCTGGACGCTTCTTCTCTCCAAGATACAACATCCTGACAGAGGAAGGGAGACAGAACATTTACGACCCTGGGTTTTTTGGGGGGCTCTGTGAGTATGTGTACAATGGGGAGTGGAGGGAGCTGCAGTACGACGCCGCCTGCGAGCGCCTGCACTACGGCGACGACGAGAAGCATTTCCACAAGCCCTACAACTTCCACGTGTACCAGTTCCTGGTGAGTGCCCCAGGAGGCCAAATTTAGCTGCAGTTTCCCAGCAAAAAAGCTAAATTTACCACCAAGGTATCAGGCACATTCTGCTTGTAGGTTGCCTTTAAGGTACCTCAGCAGGCACTCGACGGTGTAAATGCTGGTTCATGGCACGTCAAGGAACTCGTGTGCTTTATCAGCCAGGCATGCCCACTGCTTCCTCTGGCCCAGGCAGGGCCAAGAGAAAGGAGTTTTCTCTAAATTCTGCTATTAGTGAGCTGCAGAGCTTTCTGCCTCTCTAGGGATGGAGCTGGCCATGTGTAATACGGTAACAATGCTGCTGGTTCAGTCTCTGGAAGCATTTTAAGTCTGTGGCATGGCTGCAAGGGGCACAAATCTGAATTCTGAGTGAGACAGGGATCCTAAAACCCATCACTGTGGATGACAACACCCACAGTCCATGAGGCCACATCTGATGTTGGACACTGATCCAAGAAGAGCAAGGATTCAGTTTGGGTTTCCCACAATATAAGTGGGTGCACTGGCCCCAGGGTTCAACATTTATCATGTTTTTTGACATGAATGAGTGAAAACACCTTATTCCTGGGAAATATTACTCAATGCTGGGAGTAGCTTTCTCCCATCAGGCAGAATCTCTTAGTTCCCAGTTTAAGCATTGGGGCTGGCTTTTTACAGAGCTGGCAAATGGCACAGCCCCAACTCAGCAGAGCTGCTCGATTCCACGTGCCAGCAAAGTAGAGCTGTCAAGGAAAAGGTCACTTCTCTAAAACACAGGCAAAACAATGTTTGTTTTCTAGCCTTGCCATTGTAAATAGCTGTTGAATTTTTCTTTTGCTAAATAAATTCATCCAGAAGCAGGCTGGAGAAAAAAAAATCAGTCCAAATCGTTAGGATTTGGCAGAGCTGTAAAGAACTGGAATGAGGGTTTTACTATGGGAAGTGTCAGGCTGTCTTAATAGGTACCATTACCAGCTCTGTTTTTGAGTAGCTAAACACAAACCTCTCCCCTGCTTGGAGATGGATGAAGCAAAATGCTTGGCTTTATCCACATTTCTCACATATTTCCAAATGAAATGGCACAGGACTTAATTCCTTATTCTACATTCACTGAAGTCAGTGCTGGTGCTGTTGGGAGTATCACAGGCTTTAAGAGAGGTATTCCTTCAAGAAATAGAGATTAAAAAGGAAGGGAAGCACCTGAAAAATTAATGTCTGCTCCTTTCATTTTAGGCTCATGCTGATTCTGGATTTGCTTTCGAGTTTTATGACGATTCAAAGGACCTGCTTGATGCCCTTAAAAGTGATAAATCCAAAACAACGGGCTTCACCGTTGGAATTGGGCCTGGAGGTGGAGATGTCATGTTAAACCTGGGCCTCACTTTATCAGGTGGCAAAGGATCCCTGAGGAATTTCACACAATACGATGCAAAGGTAAAAAAAAAAAACAACAAACCCAAGCAAATCAGTGATGCATCTGCTCCAGTCACATCATCTGTGCATCGCATGGTCTGGCTGTAACTTATGTCAGTTTATTCTCTCAATTGCATTTTTTAACACAGGGTAATTGTACCTTAATTTGTTCATGTAATTGCAAGTGTATGATCGTTAGTAATCCTGTTTGCTGTTCTTGGTATGTCTTAGCAAACAGGGAGTGGGAATAAAATTGAATTACAGAGTGCCACGGCACATCTCACCCCATCCTGTTTCATGGCTACATTAAGCACATAAATAAAAAAATGCTTAAAAGTGACGATGAGGGAGGAGGGAATACCAAGATGCTGATCAAAACAATTATCCTCAAGGAATGATCTCTGCTAGCAAATATATCTTGCTCAAATTAATACGAGCTGCCTCCTGACGGGGAAATAGGCTACTTTTTACAGGAGGTTAAAATACCACACTGAAAAAATAGTACCTGATAATAGGGTGTACTTCTCACAGAGGGTTTACATCATGGACTGGCTGTGATGACCTCTTTCCAATCTAATAACATGAGTGCTGGTATTTCCCACATTTACCGTGCCCCATCTCCACTACTCTCCAGGCTGCTGACAGAAAACAATAAAGAAGAATTACTTCGATGGTGTTCTGAGTTAAAATGCCCTTAAAAGCTGTTTGAAATGAGCACCATTATAGTATTTACTGTGCCCTTGTCCAGACTCACATGATGTTTGCAGCTAAATGATGATCAGTTATTGGAGGAATCATTTACAGGGCTGCTCATGTTGCAGCAGAGACTTGCCCAAAGCAACGGCAAATACAGAGGTGGAGCCTTGGAGCTGGTGGTATATCCAGGAAATTCTCCCTCCATCAGCATCTTCCTGGCCAGGGAATCTCCCCTCTTCTGGGCTGGGCTTGACCCTTGTGCTTTGTCACTCACTGAGTTTGTAAAAAAAGCAAAAAGGGAATAAACAGTAAAGGAAACCAGAAAAAGAAATTGCAGAAACGGAGAATGGAGAGGAATCATGTGGAGCCCAACTCTGATCATATTCACACATCAATAAAACCCCTGTAGTATCCAACCCCCCAAGGCCCTCCACCTCCACAGCACATCAGAAAGAGGCTTTTAAAAAAGAACCACCATTATTTCATTTAAAATCGGGCTTGTTTTCATACACACACTGACAGTCAGAGACTCAGGCTTTCCCCTGCGAGCCTAAAGCCTAGAAATTCACTTGTTTTCAATTAGTGTTGACTGCAGCTCTTCTTTTCTCTCTTTTCTTTACCTGCAGCATGTTGGATTCATGAGGGCTGTGACCAAGGTGCAGACAGCCCGCTTCAAGATGAGAAGGGACAACATTGTTTTGGATGAAGATGTGCTGCTCTCCCTGCAGGACCTCCCAGACACCTACAACTATGGCATGTATGCCAAATTCATCAACGACTATGGCACCCACTTCATGACATCTGGCACCATGGGGGGTGTCTTTGAGTACATCCTCGTCATCAATAAGGAGGAAATGAGAAAGAAAGGTCAGAAAAATCAAAATGTATTCTCCGTTCTCAGCTTTATGCTTTAAACCTGGCATTTCCAACCTGGTGGCACTACTGGCCACATGGCTTGGGGTTGGCTTGAGTGTCACCAAATGTGCTTCCTGCTCTGATTTCAGAAATACCTGGGTGAGGGATTGGTCATTGAGGAAGGAACCTGAGCATTATTTTCTCCATTTTTTTCAGTGTCACTTGCTAATCTTCTGCTATTTCTTGTCATCTTTGTTCACCATGAATGCTTGAAGGCTGCAAATCCACCCAGAGCTCAGCCCTCTCACATTTCAGCCCGTTTATAGCAAGAGCTGCAGTTTTCTGTAAATAGAAATATCACACTGCACTTGGCAATACCTCTGCCACTTTACTCTGCTTAGTGTCACATCTGGAGACTAACAGACCCCTGTTAGCTGCAGTTCTCAACAAATTGGAGTGTATGAGGCTGGAGAGCCCTACCTCTAAATCTCAGTTAGATAAAACACCCACTGCAGATGCTGTGAGTGTGAGAATTGCCATTGCTAGCAAGTCAAAAGTGTAACATTTTTCCTAATCAAAAACATGGGATGCAGAACAATAATGTGGGATTTTAGCTCAATAACCAGGTTGTCAGCTTTTGTAAAGGTGTCAGCAATGCAATAGATCCCATTTCCCCTAAGGGCCATCACTCTGCTGTCTGAGGGTGCCACTGCCTTGGTGCTCCAGGCCAGACAGTGATGCAGAAGGAAATTGTGATCTTGGACAACAGGTGCAAATTGCTGTAATTTCAGTAATTTCAATAATTTTCATGGTTCTGCCTGTGGTCTGAAATGGTTTGGTCTCATCAGCATTAGGATAACTATGCACTCCATATTGCACATTAACCATGCCAAATTTTCCACAAGAAATTACTGATTGTGAGAGTTTTCATCAAGTTCCTGAACCTCTAATGTTTGAAAACATGATGCCTCTTCAAATTACTTCTTCACTTTGAAGGGTGAGTGATATAGAAGTGAACAAGGTCTTGGCAAGCAAGTCTTCAGGAAGCAGACTGCCAATTTCAGAGGAAGAATTAATCAAGAGCATGTGGAGGGAGGCTATTATTTTGCTTTATCTTGTGCTTGCTGTGTATGTAAGGAGATTTACTGCTACGAGATGCTTATCTAAGGAAAGAAGGATGCTGAAGTCCAGCAAAAGACAAAAATGTGCCCCAGTAGAGATGTAATTTTCATTTTAATGCAGCAGCATTCTGTAATTTTCATCTAATCCAGGCTCTGCCAGGAAGTCCACCCTTACCAAGCCAGCAGTGCTCTGTGTCACACACCACTGACCCTGAAGGAGCCACCTGCAGTGTCTGATATGCCACTGTCTGGAAGCATTTACTAAAAAAACCCAGATTTTTCTAATGTTGATCACAGCCACGCTTGGAGGCTGTGTTTGCAAGAGGATTATCCTCCTTCCCTGAGGAATGGTTAGGATCAGGATATAAGTGCTCAAGTCTTAGAATTAGAGCTTCCTAAGATGAGTCTGAAGCTCTGCAGATGCATCACTGAGTCCCCACAGGGCTGAGCATGGCACTGCTTTACATCAACCACTGCATCCTGAGAGCCCACCAGGCTGTTTGCTAAATGCTCTGAAACAGAGAATATTCATATTTTTATAGACCAGTGACTAAAGCACAAACTCAGGAAAAGGATCCCTTGGCTGAGTCCTCCCGAAATGAGACACAGCTTAGGTGGTCACTGAGCACCTGGCTCAGCACAGAGCATTTAGGAAACCTGAGTTTTGAAAATGAAATCACCCTCTCTGTTTAGATATCCACAACTCACTGCAGAGCTTAGGGCTGCAGTTCTGCTGCCAGACCCATTCCCAGCTTTCAGGCTGCAAGGGCTTATATGGATGTGGTCATGAGTGAAATAAATACATATGTCAGAACGAGGTCCCTCGTTGCTCTGCCATCAATATTTTTCATTACTTGTTTTTAAAATAGATTGTTATGGTTCTATTATTTAGCAGAAAACAGTATAATGTGCTCACACATTACAAGAACATTTATGGGAGGAACATTACGCGTGGAGTAAATTAGAAAGAGTCTTCATATATTCTGATTAATTAAAAATGCAGCAGTAAATCTTATCACCCCAGCACATTTAACTATCACAAATTATATCATATTAAAAAAAAAAAAAAAACCACAAAAAAACAACCTATCAGGGCTCCCCCCTCAAGTGCCAATATTTACTGAGGCCACCCTTTTGCAGTGATAACCACTTTTCATTTATCAAGGCCTGATCTTGCCACAGCCAATAGTGAATGGTATCGACAGCCCCTTGCTGAACATAATTACTCAACAGGAACCATGGCAAATCAATTAATCAGGGTGTTCCTCAAGTTTAATTTTATGGCACTCCAGCACCAAGATAAGCAATCACTCATGTTGCTTTGGGTGAATGAACTTTACCCACTGTGTTTACAATTGTTGAACAGTTTAGTACGAGTAATTGAGTGCTGCACATTTAATCTTTCTCAAGGGCCCAGTTTTGCAGGGGGATGCAGTTCCCATTCCAGTCTGGAGCACGTTTCAGCTCTCACCAGTTTGAAGCCAGGACTTGCATCCCTTTTCTCAGGATGCCCAGTGCCTAAGCAGGGTTTGGATCCAGGAGTGAGCATCTCCTGTAGGGTCTGCAGAAGGTGACAACAAGTTTGCAGGTGACACCCTAGAGTGACCTGGACAAGCTCTGGGCCCATGGGAAGGTCCATCATGAGGTCCAAAAGGGCACGTGAAGGTGAAGGAAGGGGATTCTGCCCCTCTGGTGAGACCCCACCTGCAGTGCTGCATCCAGCTCTGGGGTCCCCAGCACAGGAAAGACTTGGAACTGCTGGGGCAAGTCCAGAGGAGGCCACAAAGCTGATGAGTGGAGTGGAGAGCCTCTCCTGTGTGAAAAGACTGAGGGAATTTAGGTTGTTCAGCCTGGACAAGAAAAGGCTCCAGAGAGATCTCATTGCAACCTTCCAGTACTTAAAAGGAAGATCAGAGAGACAGGTTTTAATCAGGGGCTGTTGTGATAGGACAAGGGGTGATGGTTTGCAACTAAAAGAGGGTCAACGTGGATTAAAGTAGAATTTTTTTACAGTGGGGTTGGTAAAACACTGGCACAAGTTGCCTGGAAAGTTTTAATCAGGGGCTGTTGTGATACAACAAGGGGTGATGATTTTCCACTAAAAGAGGGTCAGTGTAGATTAAAGAAGAAGTTTTTTTACACTGATAAAACACTGGCACAAGTTGCCTGGAGAGGTGGTGGATGCCCCATCCCTGGACACATTCAAGGCCAGGTTGGATGGGGATCTGAATAAACTTGTGTAGTTGAAGATGTCCCTGCCCATGAGGGAGAGGGGCTGGACCAGATGGCCCTTAAAGGTCCCTTTTAATCCAAACCATTCCATAATTCCACAAAACCAGAGCCATGAGTGTTTCAGCAATATTTTAAACACAAGCAAGGCAAGGCTCTGCTCTCCAGTGCTGAGCTGAGGCTGTTCAGCAGACAATGCTCCAGGGTGAGACCTGGACAGGAGTTTAAACTTCAGACCATTAAACCACAACACACAAACCCCACTGACCTCTGTGCCTCCTTTCAACACCATGGTATTGATCACCAGGCTCCTTTGGAAAACACTTTAGGATCCTCTGACAAAAAAAAGAGCAATATAAAAGTTACCTATTACTTACAATACCTGCATTTACTGAAATCAATGGACTTTTTAACTACTACAGAGGACAGCCTTATATTTGCAGTACACTGAAGTGCTTACATAAAACCAGGCTGTATGAAATATGCACATTGCTTACCTTGGTGAAACCACCTCATTAGTTCCCTTCTCCCCTCTGCAGTCTCTTCATGGCTCTCCAGTTACATATTTTCATGATGTATGTGGTGGTGCTGGCAGCAGCAGGCAGGAAAGCTCTGGCAGCTCTCAGCACACAGACCTTTTCTAAGTTACTCCTTAAGGTGCTGCTTAAGCCATTAACAGCTGGGTCAGGATCCTGAATTAAGGAAAATTAGTGAGGATCTCCTGATTTCAGCTGCTGTTCCTGGCTTTACTGTAGTTATGAGTTAGTCTTTAAAAAAAACAAAGGTTTGTTGTTAAATATATAGATCAAGCAGGGACATTTGTGTCTGAAACCTTAAGATTTTTATTTTCTTCTAATATTTTCTAAGGAAACCATTTTTACACCTATTAATGATAGGTCCAGTATACCCCAATAAAATATTGGTGTTTTCCACTGTCCCCTGCCCAGAATAGCTTTTGACTTTGAAATACAAGCCATGAAAATAACCTAATCTTTTCTTCAATGATGGAAAAAGAAGTAGGAAAATGAACTTAATCACTGAATTTACCTGTCTACTTTCTGGTTTGCAGACATCAGCACTGAGCAGATAAGTGCCTGTGTTGGCCTGTCCCTTGGCATTACAGTCAGCAAGGAGACGCTGGATCTGAGTGGAAATCTGAAACACTCTGACTGCAAAAAAAAAGGATTCCTGAAAACTGGTACAGCTGCAGGGCAGGGGTCTGTTGAGGCTCTTTGGGTCACTTGTTTTGGTCACTTGGGCACAGAGATTTTTGTAGGGTCACCCAAGGTGGGAGGAAGGGAGCCCTGGTGCCATCCCCCAGACAAGTGGGGTCACAGAAACTTTGGGTCCATATCTCCAGGAGTATTGATCCCTCTTAAAAGTGCAGGAATTAATGTAGCAATACCTGGATTAGGAACAGAGGCTGTGGGGTGGCTGGGAGGCTGCAGTCCTCACCAGTAAAAGACTGGGCATGCATGGCAACTAAAAACAAAACAAAAATCGACTCTAAAAAGTACTCAAAGAGGGTAGAACCCCCAGATTTGTACATTCCACCATGAGCTATAGACAGTGTGACCTGTTGCCCGTGTCCTATGCACAAACCAAGGCTGGAGGAGTGCAGGCTCTTCAGGTCTTACCAGCTTAGAGGATTTGGGATGCTCAACTTGTCACCTTGTGATAAGGTGGCAGGGCTCACCCCACGAGCAGGGAGCACCGAGCTGACATCAGTCCCAGCAGGCAGCTCCCTGATAGCCCCCTGCATGACTGATCTCACCTCCTTTCAGCAGTTTCTGGGGCCTGTGTGGAAACAGCAGTGAATAATACCTGTGCAATTCAACTTTGCAGATGCTGACAGCCACAGTGCAGTTGTGGAAGATATTATTCCTCGGGTTAGAGGGGGAGATACCTCTTACAGTGGAGGGCTCCTGAACAGTTGGGATGGCAAAATGTATCGTCACTGGGGCAGGTCATTAAAATATAATCCTGCTGTTATTGATTTCCAGGTAAGGCTTTTCTGCAGTTGAAGAAACTCTGCAGCTCTAAGGAATGAAAGTGTAGTCGAGCAGATCATTTCGTATTTTTATTGTGATCCCATCACAGAACAAGATTAAATGTAATGGGCCACTGATCTGGTAACCTCTTATTCATTTCACAATGGGGAGTACATCTCCCACTGACTGCATCCACAGGGAGATGGACAAGGAGCTTAATGCTGGATTAGTGCCAGGTTAAGTTTCTGATGTGTTCCCCAACATCTTCACAATGAATTGCAGCTAGGAATTCATCCCTAGTATTCTCCCTCCTGTATAAGCAGGGGGCTCACAGGGGGCTGGGGAAGGTGTTTTGTTACCCAGCAAAAGCTCTGCATAGACAGCCCCTCTCCAGGAGCTCTCTGAGCAGGGAATTCCTGGCTACTTTGTCAGATGGGCCCTGTCTTTCTCCACACTCCAAAATAGAAGGGTCTGTGGCCATAAAAATCAGCAAGGCTCCAGTCTACCTTTTGTTTCACTGCATGCCCCATAAAATGGGAAGATCACTGAAACATCTTATAGGGCTTCTGGAGGAGAGGAGATGGGTGCAAGCAGAGGGGATGGAAAGGGACAGAGAAGAGCAGCCCTACAAATAATCCAGGGTAGAGCTGGCAGAGGCACGAGGGGGTGGCCACAACTCCTCAGCTGTGGTCAGCAGGACCACAAGTACCCCAAGATGCCAATATCACCAGTCTGCTCCAGGAGAAGCTGTGGAATGGAGAGATGATCTCTGTCATGGCAGGGACATGCTGCTATTTCTATCCCTCGTGTCTTCATTTGAAAGCAGGTCTGAATGCTCTGACAGGGAGTGGGAGAAGGGAAAATGGGTTTGGGAATTATTTGTGTTATTGGCAGGGTATGAAGGACTGTGCAAGCCTTCCTGGGCAGCCCCTGGTGGCAGAAAGATCTGATAACACAGAAGTGCTTTCAGTTCCAGCTGCAGGTTATTCACCTTTTTGCACAAATTCCCATCAGTTCTGGGCAAAATTTCTTTCACTTTTCCAGTAAACCATGTGCTGACCTCTCTGTTGGCTGCTCCAGAGCTGAGCAGTCACCCTGCAACCAGAGCTGCCACTTCAGCAGCTCTTATCTGCAGCCACCTCAGTTTGTCAAACAGGCTTGTGCAAATTTGCCTAAGAGCTCTTCCCAAAGCCCAGCTGATCCTGATCCTCCCCACGAATCACTGTCACAGTGCCTTGCACAGCAAGCTGACACCCAGGCCTTTGGAACAAATTCCTGGTCTAGACAGGGAGTTTGCACAGGTACATCAATAGATAAATGCAAAAAAGTGTCCTCAGTCCCAAGCTTTTAGCTTTAATACTCATTGAGTATTAATATTCAGCTGGGCAAGTTATAATTGCTGCCCAAACTGGAGTATTTTTGCTGACTGGTATATAAGAACTGTATTTTGCTGCTGGAAAATATGATGAGTGAGTTACATTCCCAAAGCTGTAGATGACAGTATTATTTCACTACATCAAAGGGCAGAAAATATATAGGCAAAATTCCTCTTTCTCAGCAGTTACTGGATATTTCATGATCTGGCCACTGCAAGTGATAGGATGGCAATAAATTTTGATGATACCCTCTGTCCAAAGCTCTTACCAAAACATTTTCTTCAAAAAGGCAAAAAGCATGCAAGGATCTCAGGGATTGTGACAGCAGTAAGAAATCAGTCAAAACCCCAGGCCTACTGGGGTGCTTTAATTTATCATTTGAATCCATACTAAAACTCCAAAGCATGTCCAGAAAAGCCAATCCCACACAAACCTCCAAGATGAGGAAGGTTTTGGAAGGCTGGTTCCTCACTGGGGCAGCAACACATTTGCATGATGTGCATGCAGCTGTCGAGGAAGACAAATGAGTCCTTCCCGAGTCCTGAATTTATCCAGCAATGTCACAGCATCCCAGTTGATGCCCAGCTTGAAATTGTTTCCATGCCATCCATCTCCATCCCCCTGCAGCTGCAGCCCATCCACGAAATCCTGCGCAGGAGCAACCTGGGCCACATGGAGAGCAAGAGGCAGCACCTGAAGAGGGCTCTGGATGAGTTCCTGCTGGAATTCAGCCCCTGCCGCTGCGGGCAGTGCCACAACAACGGGGAGCCCGTCCTGCTGGGTGACACCTGCTCCTGCCACTGCCGCCCTGGCTACAGGGGACCTGCCTGTGAGCAGGGCAAGCGCCCAGGTGAGAGCCCAGGCTGGGGGAAAGGCAGCAAAAGGGATGGATTTCCTTTTCCACGGGGCTAAACCAACAGCTCCTGGCACCCACACATGGATCCCACCTTCCCCTCTGTGGTTTGTTGCTGGGTTATGCTGAGTAGTCCTGTGGAGACTGAGATTAGCAGCTCAGGAGAGGGGGGATGGCTTTAAATTGGAAAAGGAGCAGGGTTATGATGCCTTGGGTTTTAGCTTTTATATTCTTCAGAATCTCTGCTGCTAAGTGTGTAACTCTGAAACTTCACGTTAGGTGTTAGTAAGTTCTCTTCACAGGGTAGTTAGACAAAACAATCCCTTCCAACTAGAGAATCAAGGACAGCTGGTACCCAAAAATCTTAAACAACAGCAAAGGGAAAGGGGGCAAGGCAGGGGGGCTGAGACTTCATAGCCTGGGGCTGTGGTTGGACAATTGACCCCAATATGCAGATGAACCAAAACTTATAAAAGTGTAAAGACTCGTGATCAGGATCCATCTGGGATTTGATTTGGGTGTAGCCCTGGCTGGGCTCTTGCACTGCCCAAGGTGAATCCTTTCAATGAATTCCTATTTTATTCCTTTTGCTCTGTCTAGTCTCTATTCCAGGTCAGCCTTTCCAGGCAACAGTTAGATTAAGTATGATGATAAAAATCTTCCCTGTGAAGGTGGTGAGACCCTGGCACAGGCTGCCCCATCCCAGGCAGTGTCCAAGGCCAGGTTGGACAGGGCTTGGAGCAGCCTGGGACAGTGGAAGGTGTCCCTGCCCATGGCAGAGGGCTTGGAATGAGATGTTCCCTTCCAAACCATTCTCTAATTTATTATTACTGTAAATAGAGTAGTGGAAATGAGGATGTGTTTAAATGCTGGATTAAATCCTCTGGAAGGCTCATGGCATCCCACTAAGGATGGTTGCTCCAAGGAGGAAAGCACAAACCTCAGCAGGCAAGGAGGGGAGGGAAGGGAAAGGCTCAGGTGAAGCACCTATTCACACAATGTGCCACCAAAAAAAGCCATTTTAGTAAAAAACTGCTACACTTCCAGATTTCCCACCCCCTCCCAGGATGCATTTTGACTGGAGTGTCTATTTTGGGGTGAAAAAATATGTTTTTCCAAAGTGACAGGCTTATATTTATGTTTTCTTTGTCACTTTCTATACTACCCTAAAAATTTAAGTGGGTAGTAAAAAAAGCTGAGGTCGGAACAGGCTCTTTCATTTCCAAAAAAGTTGCAGTTCTCACTGGATATTTTTGTCCTGATTCATGATGATAAAAAAAAAAAAAATCTAAATCTCAGCACATGAAGCTGGCAGAAAAATCCATCTTCAGAGCAGAGCTCTGAAATCCATCTTCCAGCAGGCAGAGCTCCAGGCCTTCAACCGTGGGCTCATCACTGGGGTCTCACCAGTGGAAAATCAAAGCTGTGATGAGAGAAGGAGTTGGAGCAGAGCTGGGGAGATGGTTAGTGAGGCTGAATGCCAAAGCTTTGCTTCAGTGACTGCAAAGTGGGTTGCTTTAAAAAGCTCAGGTTCTTTAAGTTGTCTCCAAATCTCAAGAATTTTCTTGGGATACCCAGGACCAGCCAGCCCTTTGCCCCTTGATTTTAGCAGCAATGGGGACAGGCACATCTCTAACTCATGGGCAGTTTTTAGTTTCAAATTTTCAACTCCAAAACTCATTTAAGACCAAACGAATGTTTTGTTTTTTTAAAAGCACAGTGTTCCAGCAGATGGAAAACACAGCTTCCCAGGCAGCACTGAGAGCACACGCATCCATTTGTGCTGTCTGGTTTAATAAAGTGCCCAAGCCAGGCATGAAGGCCAGATGAGTAAATAAAAAACGACAGTAAATGACAGCCATCAAGCATTCCCATCATTCAGGAGTACAGCCATAATCCATAGTATCGACCACTCCTGACAACTCAGTCTGTACTGTAATGAAAAAGCTTTGGAATGACCCGTCTCCAAAAGGAGATTTTCACAACATCCCCACAATGTTAGGAGACTGCTGTCCCTCTGCCTTGGTCAGAGGTGAGGAAGCTGCTGCAGAGAGAGCTGTGAGCTGTGCTTTGGGAAAGGAAAACCAAGGCAGAGAGTTTCAGATGAGATGGATAAGAAACAAATGTTGGTGTTTGGGTGATGCCGATTCATCCGCTCTGTGCCTCAATCTTAGCCTGGGCATAGAGCAGGGAGTCCATACCCAGAGAAGTTTCAGCCAGACCTGAAATCCTTTCTTTTGCTTATTGTTCCCTTTCTTCTCCATGTCCCCAGATGCTGAGGTGGATGGGCACTGGAGCTGCTGGTCGGGCTGGTCCCCATGCCAGGCAGGGACGTCGCGGCGCAGCCGGCACTGCTCCAACCCTGCCCCACAGCACGGAGGGCAGCCCTGTGCTGGGAAAAACCTCCAGAGCAGAGCCTGCTGAAAGCCCCAGCTGCTGGGATGGGCTGGCTGGAACCTGGCCTGGGCTGTGAATACTCCAGGAGAGCGATGGAATTACCCCTGGGAGAAATAATCGACCGGCGATGCGTTCACTGTGTAAAACCTGAACAACTGCTCCCAAAACTCAGTGAGATTCCAGGGATTCCTGGTGGGGGGAAACTGGGAAAAAGCTGGTAAACACTGGGAAAAAAATCCGGGGAGAATCTGACTCTAAATGGCCAAAAAAAACCCCAAAATCATGCTAAAAACGGCCTTGGGAGCCCTCAAATCTGCGCTGAAACACCCCAAATCTGCACTAAAACACCCCAAAATGGCCCCAAACCTGGCGAGATTCCAGAGATTCCTGGGTGGGGGTGGGAAACCTTGAAAAAGGCTGGGAAAAAATATGGGGGAAATCTGACTTAAAATGGCTCAAAATCCGCCCTAAAATCGCACTAAAAATGGCCAAAAAAATCCTAAAATCGGCGCTAAAAATCCAAAAATGGTCCCAAAACCCAGTGAAATTCCAGGGATTTCTGAAGAAAAAAAGGGGAAAAAAATCTAGAGAAAAATCACGTTTAATGGCCAACCCCCCCCCCCCCAAACCATACTAAAAATGGCATAAAAGTCCTAAAATCTGCATGAAAACACCCAAATCGACCACAATTCCAAGGATTTCTGGGAAAAATATTGGGAGACAACTCCTTAAAAATCCACACTAAAATATAAAAAAAACCCCAAAACAAAATCTCCCCAAAAAAGTGCTAAGATTGGTCACTGGACAGCTGGTGGTTTTGCCCCAGCAGATGTGATGGGAGTCCCAGCAGTGCCCAGCATCGCTGCTGCAGCTCAGGAGATGGCAGAGAATCCACCCAGTGGAGGTGGAGCTGCAGGGTGACCACAGGGCTACAGCAGGTCATGGAATAAATTCACTGTGTTTCCATAACTGAGCTTGACTCTCAGGGAGTTTCTGTCTTTTCCTTTGGGAAAAAACACAGGAGGAAAAGATCATGATCTATACAGTTGGTATTGACATATGTACCAGGAAACTTTTGTGAGTTGGCACTGTCAGATTTGTAAGTCCAGCATATTGGCCAGGGCTGCATTTTAGCAAAGCCATATGCTGCTCTGCTTGGAGAAGGCCTCAGCCTAAAGATGCTGTGAAGCATCCTTGCAAAATGTAAGCCCAAGCTGATGAGGAATTTTAAATAAATAAATGAAGCAATAAATAGAGAGGCTGGAATGCAATGGCTGGGCAGAGGATGTTCCCACACAAGCAAAAGCTTTTCCTCTGTAAGATCAGTGATGAATTGACTATTAGCACGCAGGCATTTTATCTCCCAGGCACACAGAGCCTGAGAAGATGCTAACAGGCTGCTTGATTTAAGGGGCTTTTTTGAATGTGGGACGTAAATCTCAGCACAAGAATGCACACAGTATTGAACTGTGTCCAGAGACCACAGCCAGAGCCTGCAGCTCCCTCTTCTTAATGAACTGCCACAAAAACCTGGGATGGAAGGAAGGCAAATGGCACTTCATTTTACTGAGCTTTTCATTGCAGGGGGAGAAGGGGGGGAAAAAAAGCCCTGAGAAGGAATCAGGCATTATGAACAACAACAGCACCAAAACCTCAAAGCACAAAGCAGCCCTTCTGCAGACATTTGAATGGAGAGAGGGGGTAGAAAGGAATCGTGGTTTAGTGAAAGAAATTGCCCAGGTGCTTGGGAATGCTTGTTTTTCAACCGTGTGTCAGTGGGGATTTACAGGCTGACACTCAGCTGATGTAAATCAGTGTTACTCCTTCACTGCAGCTGATTTATGGCACCTGAAGACCTGGCCCCATATTTTCTTTTGTGGGCATGTTTGCCAAAGGCCAATTCTTTCACCACTTTTTTTGTTGTTTGTAAATGAAACTGCGGGCTGAAAACAACAAACCATCATGTCTCAAACCCTGAGATGGATTGTTCTGTGAAAAATCCCTTTGCTGGGGGGCAAAGCTGTGGCCTTTTGGGCCAACCTTGCTATTCCAGGTGAAGGAGCTGTTCACCCAGAGAGGAATTTGCTCCCAAGGGGTTGAATTTGATGTCTTGTGTGTTAGGAAATGCAGCAGCATGAAGCACCCACGGATCAGTGTGACTTAGACACCCAAAGGAATGTGAAATGTAGGATCACAACAGGTGATTCAATAAATGCTGTTTGGCCAGGTTATGTGGAAACATGAGACAGGACCAGTTATCAAGGACACCAAGGACCAGTTTGGCTCACAAGCAATTCTTACCTTTACATCAGCTTCTTAGGAAAGCTCAGGAGAATGCCAGCGAGTAAACGAGTACAAAGCCACCTCAGTCAGAAAACCAAGTGTGCTTCTGTTTGACCAGAGGGGAGAAATTAATGAACAGAAAGATCTGATGCCTTGGAGGCTGGGAAAAGATGGGGCCTGCAGGAAAACAACCTGCATCCTCAGCTTTTAGAGGTGTTTCTAGAAGGGTAAATCACAGAAGAACCACAAAAATAAATTCCAAGTGATTAAAGAAACTGCATGCAAAATCCCATCGTGAAACATAGAAAAAAGAGCAGAAAAGCTATGTTTTACCTGCAGTTGTTCATTCTCATCACTCACTTCACAGCCCAAGGCACTGAGACACAAACCCAAGGGCTTCCTTCAAACACCAAAGGCAGGTGGGTAGTGCCCCTCTCCTCCACCCCAGGGCTCAAACATGCACATCTGAAACTCAGGAGCAGCCAAGCTGAAGTCAGAAGAAAGGAAGAAGCTGCCTGTAAGGTGTAGGAAAAAAAAAAAAATTATGAGCAATTACACATTTACAATGGCAGTGGAAGAAGCTAATATATCTCATGCTGAAGTGGGCAGCAGGAGAGTTGTGCAAGATGAGATAAGCAGCAAAAATGTACGTTTCTTAGTTAAACTAAAAGCTTAGAGGGTACAATAAAACACTGCAGTTCCACCCAGGTTTTAATGAATGGATTTTCCCCTCTTGCACACTGACATACATTTGATATAGTTATTTATCCTATATATTTCTGGCAGCATATTTCCCAGGAGACCTTGTTTATCTCGCTCATGAGCACATGATGGATGCGTGGCGCTTTGGATAAATGGTATCACAATCAGATATTTTTAAGGATATAGGCAAACTGGGTTATTAACAAAGGAAGGGCAGAGAGGAACCAGCACGCAGAAGAAAATAGGAAATGATTGATGACAATACACCTGAGGTTGCAAGGTGTAGGCTCCAGATAACCAGCTAACAGGAGAGGAGATAAGGGCAGTGCTTGAGACAGAGCTGTTTTCTACCTCGGGGTCAATGTCACATCAGCTGCCCCAATGTCCCTCTAAGCTGGGAGTTTACAGAAGGCAAAAATTCCCTGGCAGGATCAGCTCAAAAGTTTTTACCTTCCCTCTTCATACAGGCCCAGGCAGGTACAAAACACTTAATCCACCAGAAATCCTGAAACAAAAGGAATTCCAGGTTCTGGTGAGTTTGGGGAGGCACTGGTGGTGGTGGTGGTGCCCTATCATGTCCACCACAGTGAGACCTGTGGTGCTGCACTAAAAATAACTAAAAATACTTGTTTATAATGGTAATCATTAGTGTATTCAACTCTAGCTTTTGATTTACAGAAACAGGAGGTATTAAAATGGGATATAAAAGGAAGATCAATCTGCAGGCATGATTTGACCTGAAATCTGGCAGTTGTGTTGGGTGCTCACTTCAGCCACCAGGGTAAAAGCAGGAGTTTGAAACTGGGGACTGCTAACCCCTCTGCATGGCATTTCTGGGTTACTTTTAATAAAACATCCCAATGTGGGAGAGAACCTGGGCAGGAACAACTTCATCCATCTGAGAGTGGGAAAAACAGCTGCACGATGAAGTTATTTAGCAATACTGAGTTTGCAAGTCCCCAGCTGCAGCCTGGATGATTTTCCAGCCTCACAGGTGAAGTGTCTGTGTGGAATGACACAAGAGGGAGCACATGAATCCAGGCTGGAAAGCCGTCCAGTCTGCCACTGCAAAATTCCAGCTGGTTTTGTCCTGGGAAATCTGGATGAGGCAATGACAACTCACCTGGAATCCCCTTCTGGGAGCTCCCAGAGCTGTGATATCCCAGCAGCAATGTCTTCAAGCAGGGAGGTGCAAATAAATACAGCCTCTCCGTGTTTATCCTCTTCTTTTCCTCAAGAAAGCTTGTGAAAATACAACATGGGATGTAGCAGAGCCCACTGAGATGGGTCTCTTAAGCAGAGGAATGGGCTGGAGCAGCAGCAGCAGTGCTGAACACATGCACAGCCTTCCTGAGCCCTCACTCGTGGGTTATTAATCTCAACTTACACAGGGAGTCAGAGTTAGGAACACCAGTAAAAGATGGTACCAAAATTTAATGCCAACCAAAATGAAACAATAAAAGCTTCAGCATAGTATTTTTTATTACCCTCCAGGTTATAATAAATCATTAGTTAGGCGAATCAAAGCACAAAATCACAAGGACAAGATAAAGTTATGTCCTTTATGGGAGGCTTCTAAGCCTACAGGCTGAATATTCAGCCACTGCTGAACTCACACTTCAGTCAGACTATGCTGATGATCTTGACTGTCAAATCCCTCCTCTCTTCCTTTAAAAAAACCCTCCAATCTAAATATACAAACCCAGGTACTGTCACCACTTCAAAAATCTGTTTTCTGGTGTGGGAATGACGGTCCCAAGTCAGGTCACTACTCTCGGCTGTCCTTGCCACAGCAGTGAAGAGAGGCACCACTGCTGTGTGTTTAACCAGCCTGATGATCAGGAAAGGTGGTTAAATTTACAAAAGCCACTCGACTCATCTGAGAAATGTCCTTAATCAGATCACACCGATGATTCTCAAGAAGGGCAGGCAATGACACTGCAGTTTGTGTCCTCAGAGGTGAACCATGCCCAGGGTCCTTCCCTCCAGAGCTTCTACAGACCCCCTGCAAAAACCTTGGGGGAATATCCTACTTCACACAAGCAGTGACCTCTTTGACCATGACCCAGAAAAGAATCTGGAATTGGCAAATTTCCATCACACAAAAGATATTGCAGCCACACAGTGGAAAAGGGAAATGTTTTGGGTTGGCAGCTAAATGATGAAGCCCATAATGAGCACAGAGCCCTCTTGTTTTACATATGCAATGTGCTCTGCCTTTCTTCAAGCTGTCACAGGAGCCCTGTCGATAAGTGTGGAGGCGGCTTGAGGGCTACAACTAAATGCATGTTCCATTGTTCAGGTGTCAGGGAGCCTGAGCTGCTCTCACAGGAATTACATTCAGACAACGTCAGTCTGAAAGGAAAGGAATGGGGGATACCAGCCCACCATCACCAGCTCTGCTGAAACACCCTCAGAAGAAGAGTTTGACCTTGCAGATGTTAGAAGACTCACAACACTCATGAACAACTTTGCACTGGTGGAATTTTGGAGCAAAGCTATTGCTGGTTATTTTTGCAGCAACCAAATGTCTTTGTAAAAATCATTTACCACCAGCAAAGCTGTAGGAAGTCCCTGGAAGGGTGCAGGCTCATGAAATGGTGCACAGTGTTTTAAGGTTCCTCTCTTGTTAGACCTGGACTGTGATGCACAGCTCCAGGGATGGTAATGACAGGCAAACCAGTTTGTCTCTTTTCATTGTGAACTCTCTCCAAGTCAGATGTCCCACCCTGGGTGGACCCAGCAGCAGCTGGAATACTGGATTTCATGGGATCAGATTTATTAACCAGAGCTTGTCTGGGGCAAACACAGCTACTAAGGGCAGAAGACCTCAGGGGATGTGCAGACAGCTTTTTCCAAAGGTTCCATTTGTCCCAGAGAAGCTGTGGCTGCCCCAACCTTGGAAGTGTCCAAGACCACGTTGGAAAGGGCTTGGAGCAGGCTGGGATGGTGGAAGGTGTCCCTGCCCATGGCAGGGGTGGGAACAATACAATAAATTGGGAAAGGAGGGTAGTGAGGCACAGTGGCTCTAAATGTCACGTTAGATGCTGTCGTGCTCATTGAGATTTAGGCTTTAATATGCTGGATTTTGCTGCACATGACACAGCTGCCTTCACAGAAGCTGTGCATCAGTGCACATCCTGCTGCACGTAAGATCAAAGTGTCTCTTCTTATCTCAAAGGAACCTTCAACAACAAGACAGTACAATTTGAAATCACGCAGCTACCAAATACAGACAGAGATAAAGCTTGTCTCATTGCAGTAAAGACAGGGAAGAGGAAAAATATTGAGGTCAGTAAGCACATTCAATCCCACGGGACAACTGCACATCCCAAGGTGTGGTTCCTAACACCCTCCCAGCTCCCAGGGTCTTCTGAAATGTTTCTGATTTGGATGAGACCCATGGGCAGAGAGAGGCCAACTCAGAAGTCCAGTGAGGTGATGTCTTCCCAAGCAGTCTGCCAAGTGCCCATCGGTTCTGTGGGAGCTCCTATGGGTTCCCTCTAGCAGGGAACTGTCTCAGAGTCTGGCCCTGAGCACCAGGAGCCACCATTCTGTGGGGCAGGGTTGTTGCATTCTCTCCTTCTTGTCCTCTGACCTCCTGAGCATGGGGACCAGCTGGCCCAGCACCCCCAGTTTCCATTAATAGCAGCATCTGGGAAAAAAAACAAACAGAAACAACCAATAACAAAGCTGGAAAAGACCATCAGAAACAAGCAGCTCTTTCCATGGGAAGAGCTGTCAGCTCCCATGAATTGTATTTGAATACAAACAGCTCTGCCCCTGTCCACATCACTAACAATATACTGGAGTCATTAACAAGGAGTGATTGTTTCAGAGATGTTAATTCTCTGTTCAGCATTTCTAGTGTCTGTTCAAACTACACTTCAGGAAGACATGAAAGGGGGGAGAAAAGGCAATTAGCTTTTTACTTGCTTGAAGGATGTTTCTCTCTTTGTCTTAGTCCAAGCCTAGATGGGAAACAGACCAACTAAACTCAGCCACATTTCGAGGTGGTAGGGGCAGTGTTAGCACTTCAGTGAACAACAGCTTGACTATTCAGCTTTCCCTCCATTGCTTTTCCTATTACACTGATTCTTCTGGACCCTGAGCATGTGAGTGACATAAATTCAAAATACTGAGAATCACGGAGGCAACACATAAAAGGAGGAAATGGGAGCGAGAAATGAAGTTACAGTGTTGACAAATGGATGGATGTGAGCTTTGGGAGGGTTGGATGTGACTATGAGTGTGAAAAGCAGACTGAAGTAAGGTGTCAGTGACTCCACCATTCAAGGCTCCATGGACTGCCTTAGAAATACCCAAAAATTGACCCCCTGTTCAGTGAAATCTTGGCTTAAAGTGCATTTCAGCCTGGCTCAGTTTGGACACAGCCATGCAGAATGAGTACTGGGTAAGGCTGTAAACAAAGCCAGTGATAAATGCAGTGCATCAAATTGTGGGTTGGTGCCAGAGCTCTGGGTGCCTGGGATCTGGTATTATTTAGCATCTAAATTAATGAGCTGGAAGAAGTAAACAAAATGATTAAATTCATAGATGGTCCTAAACGTGAAGGAGTTAAGAACATCAGTCAGGAGACAGCAGATACATAAAGTGACCAAGAAGCATTAATAAATGCTTCAAAACAACATAATAAGATTTTAAGATTAAAATGCATGGTAGCATATCTGGAGGAGAACAGTTTGCAGCATGCTGGCTTTATCAAAGGGAAAAACTTAGGAAACAGAGCTGTTTCCTAAGGAGGAGACCTGAGGCTTTCCAGGGATTGTGGACTAGGCAGGAATTCCTATTTTGATACAACTGCAAGGCATGTACATGGAAAAATAAAATCTCCTCAGGAGGGGACAGGAATTCAGAAGAGGGCAGGGAAAATACATCTGTCCCTTTGGCTGGGGCACAACTGGGGGCACTGGGCCGGGCAGGCTGGGGACAGCCAGGGCTGGCATCACTGCCCATCCATCATTTGCCATCCCTGGGCACTGCTGACTCAGCTGGGATTGTCTCCTGGGCGCTGGGTCCCTCTCACCTTTCCTGCTGCTGATCTCACAGGCGGAGCCGCGGTAGCCGAGGGGACACAGGCACTCACACTCTGCTCCTGAAAGCAAGCACAGATGGTGGGAATTACAGAGCTGGAGCCACATTTCCCAGCAGGCACCCACTTCTCTCCAGCTGCACTTCATCTTCTGGGAGGAAGGACAGTGGGTGAAATGTCATCATTTTTCTCCTGTGCTGAAGGCATCAATGCCAATAGAGAGGGGAGCTGTGACTGCCCTGCACCCCCTCTCACCTCCCCATACATTTGTTCCTGCCCTGCAGCTCAACCTCAGTCTCACTGCTGCAATTCCACAAGCCAGGGGACCACAGAGTCCTCCTGCTCCTCTCCAAAAGAGATCACAGAATCCTGGAATGGTTTGAGTTGGGAGGGGCCCTAAAGCTCATCTCACCCCATCCCCTGCCATGTGCAAGGACACTTTCCACTGTCCCAGGCTGCTCCAAGCTCTGTCCAGCCTGGCCTTGGACACTTCCAGGGATCCAGGGGCAGCCACAGCTTCTCTGGACACCCTGTGCCAGGGTCTCCCCACCCTGACATCCAGGAATTCCTTCCCAACATCTCATCTAACCCTGCCCTCCCTGCAGCCTCCTCTGGACTCGCTCCAGCAGCTCCATGTGAGTATTTGGGATTTCAGCCCCAACACTGCAGGTGGGGTCTCTGGAGAGAGCTCTTGGTAAAGCTGATAAAGAACAAACTGCAGCATCAAGGAAGAGCAGCCAGGACAGGAATATCCTAACTTGGCTTTGTAGCAGAGGAAAAGCCCAATATCCCTGCTCTGGATGCACATCCCATGTCAGGAACATGGAGAAGAGCTCCCACCTAGGAAAATACATGGTCATTTAAAATCTTTGCTGGGAAGATCCTAAATGAAATACTAACATGGACTCGGCTCCTACAAAGTTATTTAAACAAGGGTCACCATGAGACAAATGCCTGAAGTGCTACAATCAGCTGGCTGGTACCTGAAGTGATCGTTTCTGCATTAGATACAATTTGATGATAACAATTCTCATCAGGACTTTTGCAGATGCAGATTGGAATTAGGCACTTGACAAAATGGTCCCTTTGTTAGAAGCTCTCATCACATCATATATCTCCTGTCTAGGCAGAGAAGTTTTCATTTAATTTGATTATTTTTCCTCTTCATTTTTTAAATCACTGCCTGCTTACAGAGGACGACAGCTTCTATCAGAAACAGGGGGAGGTGGTGGTGGTGATCACTGTGCTTGGCACTTATTTGGTGCTTTTCATCTTCAAAACCCTTTCACAAACACTAATTAATGCTGAGACAGTAGTCACTTCTCCAGGAGGATGCAAGCAATCTTAAAAGCAAAAAGAGGAGACTTAAAGATGTCAAGGATTTTTTTTTTTTAATGCATAATTGAGAAGCAACAAATTCTTCTGTAAAACGGATACAGATAATGGATACAGATAATGGTCACTCTCTTGGCAAAGCCACATCCCTTGACTTTACTGTACTTACCAGGTCTCTACAAACAGAGCAACTTTAAAAACACAGAGTAATTCCCTGATAAAGACATGACAGGACAAACTAAAGAGCAGCTTGCTTGCCCCGTGCTCCCCACAAATTCCCAGCTGATTAGAACCAGGAGGGTAGAAAAGAGGAGCAGGACCCTGTACCTCTGAGGAAGGGGATGCCATTCCCATGGCACGGAGCACAGCGACAGGAACTGGTCTCCAGCTGGAACTCATCCAGAGCCCGGCGCAGATTCTCCTTGATTTTCATGGAATCAGCCAGGTCAGAGGGAGTCACCAGCTCATACAGTGGCTCTGCCTAACGGGAGGGCAGAAACTGCATTAATTCCCAAGCTCAGAACACTGTGAGCATCCCAAGGCTTGGTGGTGGCACAGCTGGAGGGGGAAATGGAGGCTGTGTGGCACCATCTCCAGGTTCCCCATTTCTATTTGCTAAAACCTTATGAACAACAAGGCCACGATGTCAGGAATATTCCCAGGGATGCTCCCCTTGGTTTCCAACAGCAGAGCAGCTGGAAATGTGTAACAAAATCCAGCAGCCAATCTGTTGGATAAGAAACAGGTTAAGTTGCACAGGAGTTTCATCAAATCCTTTCTCATCCATTTTTCTGGTACAGACATTTGTAGATCAGATTTGCTCAAACTTACATTTTCTGAGTGCTGTCTTACTCTGATTTTAAAAAGGTCCCCTAAAAACCATCCACAAAAACCTCGTCCTACAGCCCCCCAGCACAGCCAGAGGCACCAGTCCCAGGGATTCACATCAGCACTTCCACCTTCACCACTCCTGCATTTCAAGGCTGGTTTTTATCCTTATGGAGCCCAGATAAGGGTCTCATTGCCTTCCAGAAGGGAGAGGATTTGATCTCCATCTGCAGATGGGGAGAGAAGACAAGGGTGTGCACAGCACAGTGAACGTGCAGGGACCAAGGAGACTTTGGCTCACTCATTTATTTTCCTCCTGAGAACAAGGGAAAGTTAAAGTGGGGTGTCAATAGTGCCAGTCACCCACTACTGCCAGTGGGATGATACTTCCATGTGCCATCAGGGGATCCATCCCAAATTCCCATCCTCACTGCAGAGATGCAGGCCACACACAGGAAGCATGAAAGATCACCCTCCTGCTATCACAGGCTCAAACTACAAGAACTGAAGAATGTTCCAATACAAAAAAAAAAAAAAAAAAGCTCATTTCCTGCTGCTGTACATCCACTCTTCATCAATTATCTGTGATCCATACTTTGCTTTTTGAATTCAGACCATACAAATGAGGAAATACACTAAGAGTGACCTGCCAAGTCTCTCCAGCAGATGATTTATGAACTGATTTGCTTTAGTTTTCCCTAACTAAGCATTCTTGGGCTGACATTTAGTCACACTCCACTGGTACTTTTGATCTTCAAGCCCCACAGGGATATTGGTATGGAAATGAAGATACCAAATCCAAATTACATCCGCCTGAGGCTTTTCACTGGGCAGCCTGGTCAGTGATGCCAGGCAAGACAAAGAACACCTCAATTCCTCATGGGAGGTTTTTCTGTGTGGGGGATTTGGTGCAGAAGGCTGCATTTCTCTTGTCTCCTGCTCTGAGACCTCCCAGTGCATTTCTGGAAGGTCAATCCACAGCACACCAGGGGCTGCAGCAAGTGCCAGATGGGCACTGGCTGTATTTCCAAATTCCTGATTTTTCCTTGCTTCACCTTTTTAGAATTAACCTCTTTCTTGGGAAACAACTCCCTTTTACAAATATAAAGATTTTTGCCTAAAATTAAATTTTACAGTGAAAAACAACTATAACTCAACTTCCACCTCTACCAGTCCAAACTCCTGATTAAAAGGATGTTCTCGTCCCCCTTTGTTCTATTTCATACTATTTGCATTTCTAAAACTCTCCAGGATCAAAAATCCTTGACCCTTCAAAGCCCAACTCCTGTTTTTAAGGTTCAGCTAAGCTGCACAAACACCCAGGCATGCACAATGAACCACCTGACCTTCTGAACCAGAAAGAATGGTCACTGCTGCTCACAGAAGTTGATAAACATCAAGGAAATCAGAATATTTTATAGAATCTTATAGAACATATGCTGCCAGATACAATTTTTGGTAAGCCATACATTGGTAAAAGAGAAGGTGGATCTGCCTGGCAGGCAGAAAGAAATGACATCTGCACAGCCAAGTTAAAGGGTTACAGCTGTTTACTTTGTGTATTTCCAACCACAGTCCCTTTAAAACATCAAACCTTTGCATTTCTGAACACTCACTTAGAGAAGCTACACTGCAGTAAGGTCTGTTATTCCTGTTTTGGTGGCTTTTTTCCTCTAAATGCTGTTTATTGAAACACAGAGCTCTCTGTGGGGGACGGAGGCAGTGGAGGGGGCAGTACCTTCAGCTTTATGATCTCAGGGTTGTACTGCACAGCATCTCCCCACCGCTGCAGGAGCTCGGCTGTGGGCAGGTCCTTGTGTGCCAGCCTGGTGATGTCCTCGCTCGCCCCACCACGCACCAGCGCCACGAAATCCTCCACCAGCTCTTTCCTGGCTGTGCTGTCTGCAAAAATGCACCCAGGAAAGTGCCCAGCTCTGCCCAGCTTGGGGCTTTGTGGGCTGCAGTTACCAGCCAGCAGCAAAAACGCTGCCGTGCAGGACCCATCCCGCTCAGAGGGCAAAGGGAAAACGCCACCGGTGCTGCTCACCCGGTTTAATGCAAAGTGTGTCCTGTGCTCCTCCTGCTCCCTCGCAGGAATTCCCCATCCTGCCCCCCGCATCCCTCCCCTAAATTCCTTCCCCATGGTTTTAAGCTCACAGGTCCTTCCACAGCCCCATGCTCCTCAGCACCAGGAATATTCCCTGTTCCCCTCCACGTATTTCCAGGTCCACACTTGGAAATGTATTGCATTTCCTCCCACGCACATCCCCAGCTCCCCACATCCCCAGAGGCTCCCACAACACCATCACCTCCCTGTTCTCCCCATCAGGATGCAAAAAGAGGAGTGCTGGGCTGCCCTGCTGAGAGCTGGGGGTTGATATTTAACACAGCACTGGCCAGGTGGGAAATGGTTGATCTGTCCCTGCTTCTCCTTGGGATGCTGAGCAGGTATTTACTCCCTTGACAGAAAATCTTGGAAAAACCCCAGGCTCTGAGACATTCCCCCCTCTGTTAAGCCTGGTTGGGGTTAGCCAGCAGACTCAAAAGTGGTTGTGAGGGAGTGGGGAAATATTTCAGGCAGGCAAGATCACAAAATCTTCCTTCCACTGTGACAAAGAAATGAAATGGCAGAAGTGTTTCATGCTTACCTCCAATCTCTTTCAAAAGGGCTTTACAGCTAGCTGACTCTACTCCAAGCCCCACAGTGACTTTAACAAGATTCACACCAATGTTAAAGCCCTTCTGTGCACATTTCTGGACATCACTCAGAGAAAAACCTTAAATACACAAAAATGGTAATGTTTTAATACAACTGTTTCATGTTGTATGTCCATGTACACAGAACATGAGAGTTGGTAAGTACTTTTGTTTTAGGAAAAGAAAAGATACCATGAAGATTATTTTGGGGGGTTTTTTGATGCTTAACAGAACTATATGAAATGAAATCTCTATATTTTACAGAACTCTGAAGCCAAGTGGAAATGCAAAGTGAATGCTGGAAGAGGAGGATTTTAGTCGCCCACCCAGCTGTACTGGTTAAGCAGAGATGCAGTGGGTGGGAAAATAGTGGGTGTCTAATCACAGATTACCCACCACCCCTCCCCATCCCCAGGATCCAGGTTTTTTAAGAGAAATAGATGAAACAGCTTTTCCTCCTTTTACCAGCTCACATCTCCAATTCTCTGCTGCCTGAAGAGCCTTAAGTGCTTCATGGAAATTTAGACTGAATATCAGGAAACATTTCTCCACCAGAAGAGTTATCAAGCCCTGGAAGAAGTTTCCCAGGGCAAGGGTGGAGTCACCAACCCCAGAGGGATTCACAGGACATGTGGATGTGGCACTTGGGGACCTGGCTTAGTGGTGGCCTTGGCAGTGCTGGGTTAACAGTGGAGTCCATGATCTTAAAGAGTTTTTCCAACTTAAAGGATTCCATGATTCTAAGATGTGGCAGATTGGATCTGTGTGAGAGCAGAGCAATACCAACCATGTCACACAATATGTGACAGCAGATCTGCAAAAGAAGATTTCAGTTCCAGCACAGACAATAAGAATATAATGAAGGATTTGAAGAGAAAAACCTGAATTCTCAGACTAGACCTACAAAACCCTGCTGAGAACTTACAGCCCAGTTCAGCACTTGTGTGAAAACCTTGTTATTGCTGCAGGATCCTGATCTGGGCCAGCAGACACTGAGCATTTTGGTGCAAACAATAATACATTTAGTTCAAACAAACATGGCTCGTGATGGGCCCACAACAACTCAGAACAACAGCAACATCTCAGCAACAGCTGAGAAATTGGGAAACTCTGTTAGAATTTGAATACCTGAAATGTGAATCTAAATTCTGTCCCTCTCTCTGACTCCAAGCTAAGGAACTTCCCACACAGCAGAAGAACAAACCGAGTATTACACAAAGCAGAGCCCAGTAAATGCCTCTGCAAACAGACAGCAGAGGCAGCTCCTCACTGCCCTGCCAATGAATAAATAATTGAGAGTGCAGCTATTGATTAATGTCACACTGCTCGCTCTGTCCTACACAACAACCATCATTTCTCACAACAAAGGGAGCCAGAGCCAAAGAGCAGGAGCAATGTCAGGCACAGGAGTCACCCAGCAAATTATTTACTGTTTCCTACATGCTGGAAAAGCTCTCGAGGCTAAAGGTGTTTCAAAACTGCCATTTAAAAGGCAGTGGAAAAAGAACTTGGGTGAAGGTTTTCAAAGCTAACAGAAGTGCTAAGATCCACCATTCTCATTCATCTCAACATCTTGTCAGCCTTTAAAATGTGTTGTCTAAAATACCTGCCACAGGGCCTTTCTTTGTGAACTAAATCCAGCCCATGATGCTGAGCATGCTTTGAAAACCTCTTTACTCTCTCTCCCAGCAGCACTCCCACATTTCCTGCAGGATTTCTTTGAGATGCTGCTCACTCCTTCTCCCATCATCTCCCTCTCCTGCCCTCAGACCTGAGCCATCCCTGTGTGCCTGCAGAGAGCTTTTCCCACCCAAAATCCAGCCCCAAAGCTCCTCCCCAACCACCAGCTGCACACACCCGCCTTGCGGAGCTCCTCGCTGTTCATCACCAGGGTATATTCATAGATGCCTCCGAGAGTGGCCTCCTGGATGAAGTGTGTCCCAAAATCCCTGTAGAGCTCCCGGTATTCCCCGTAGCTGTAATCCGTGGGGAGCTGCCGGAGCCGCTGCAGGAACTCGTGGTGCAGCATCAGGGCTCGGGGCTTCAGCTTGTAAACACCAACAGCCAGCTCAGAACGGGCGTGGATGAACTTGCTGGACTGCAGGGAAGGCAGGAGAACCCAGCAGCAGTGAGGGATGGCATTCTCATCGAGCATGAATTTGTTATTTGCAGTTAAACCATCAGAGCAGGTCGGGTTTATTAATTTCACTACTGCTTGCAACTGGAAATCTTATAACTGGAAATCTTCTAATTGGAAACCTCCTAACTGGGCCAGTTAATACTTTACTGGGGTAAAGTATGTAGCCCCATACAAATACACTCAGTGTTCACAGAGCTCTGTCCTCATATCTCCATCTAGAATGGTGGAAAGCAACCATTTCACCAAAAGGTGAAACGTGTCATGTAAACATCCAGTGTAGAAGTTCTAGAGCACTCCATCCAGCACTTCATCACTCACTTTACTACTTCTAATAGTAAAAGTTCCTGAGGGTCAGGCCATGGGTGGGACACAGGAAAAGGCAGGGTCCAGGTTCTGATGTGCCACATCCAGAATGCAAGGACACCTCAGCATCCTGCAGGACTGCTTTACCCCAATAAAACTTTATCTCTCACAAGCTCTCTCCTGAAAAGTTCTGACATCTGAAATCATGATTTGTGTGGGAAATGGTCATTCTCTGGCTGAGCCAGATTTCATATTTGGATTTCACAGAATATGCCCTTATCAAAACTGAAAGGCAAGAAGAAAACACAAACACTCTCTCATACACACGCACATATCTATATGTCTCTGTGTAGATGTGTAGACATGGATAATTTTTTTCTCTCCCCTTCCTGGCATAAAAGTTTGGAACAGAAAATGTCTTCCATTATGTTCAAAGGATTTAGTGTTCAGTTGTCTGGGCCAGCAGGACAAGCATATCAGGGAGGGAATCAGTATAGAACGCTGCAGCTTAAATAATAAAATCAAGACTTAATATCTGGTTTCTTTATGGATATCTGTTGCTTCTCATCAACCTCTGATATTGTTGTGAGAAATTCAACTTTGCAGGAAGCAAATGCAAGGAATACTTTGCCATTCCTGAGTACACTTTATACTGAAAGGAGACTCAGATTGGTGATACTATTACACCACTGATATGAGCTACCTTTGCTTATGGCAATAACAGATGAGAAAAAAGAAAACAAAGGATGGCAGTCGTAGGAGTTATAGATTCAAGTTGAACAGGCTTCTTAGTTTCAATTTTTCACTACAAACATTGCAAGGTGGGTGCCCAGCAGGGCAGAGGACAGACCACACTGAGAATCAGAGAACATCCACAGCTGAAGGAACCCACAAGGATCAGAGTCCTCTCAACAAGTTGTGGCTGATTTCAATGGTCAGGCAGCCCAGATCCCAGCTGAGAGCTGAATGGAAAAGCTCCTGGATGCTGCAAACTCAAAGGAAGGCATTGTGGGGGTAGTCAAGACTTGAACAAATGGCAGAATCCAGCTGGGGAAAGGATTTGATTTATCCCAGTCCTGGCTGCTGACCTGAGGAGGAGCCTCAAACCAACACACACACACACACACACACACTTACAGGGAACACGTTAGCAGAGAATTAAGTGGAGCAGTGCTTACACTGGAAGAAAATCTTTTCATCCTTTGCATGAACTTCTTGAACCTCATGTCATTTGAATTGTAACCAAGTTCAAACACTTTTGGTATTTTTATACCGAAGCTGAAGCTTGTCTGCGAAGCTTTTGCCCTCAGGACACTGCTTTCATAATTTGAGTAGGAGTCATATTCAGTCATTGTAAATTCATATTTGCCTTTGGTCTAAACAGAAAGGAAAAACAACACATCTCATTTCCTGCACAGTGATTGTACACCTGAAGCGTGGGGAAGGAATGCAGACACAAATATACTTGTGAATTAATGCTTGCACTTTGAAGATGAAAAGCCTTGTATAATTGCAAAGCACTATTATTATTAACACAGGTACTTCAAGAATACTTGATTTACAGCAGCAGGAAAGCTCCTATCTCCTCCATACTGCAAGGTCCTCAGGCTTTCACTTAATATGTCAATCTTATGCAAAGAAGGTGAAATCTTAAACACAGGCATCAATTAAAGTACAAATTCTGAAAGGAAAAGGTTTCCTAGTGGGCAGCACTCAAAAAACATCGAGTCATCAGAAGCACTAAGGTCAAATATATAATATTTAAAATACAGCTTTGATGAATGATAGGAACAAGTTTTCACACAAAGCATCATGAAGTGCGTGGGGTATGAGGATGTTCTAGAATAGGGTAAAAATCAGCCTGATCCTATTGTGTGTCAAGAATTCTGGGATTTTTTAACAAAATGATTCAGCAATGAAGCTTTGGGCACTAAATCCTTTGGGATATGTGTGTGTAAGTTTATTTGCAGGCACATCTGGCACATACCTCTGGTATGTAGCTCTCTATGTTGTATGGCTTCCTGAACCTGGTGTCTGTGATGTAATGGGGAGAACATCCCCCAGCATAGTACCTGTGATCAAGGACCAACCCTTCCAAGCTGTTTGTGAAGATATTCAACCTGTAGACAAAGAAGAACAGCAATATTTTATGGTTCCATCAATTCAGAGCTAAATATTAAATGCCTTGGCTGAGAAAGGCAAAAGGTTGTTTTATTTGGCCACAGGCTCTTTGTTTCACACTTCTTTATTTTGAAACCTCAAAAGAAAACTCAGCCTCTTTCACTGTCCAACAAACCCAGGTGCTGCAGAAGAACCTGACTGATGAGAAAGCAAAAGACAGAGTTGAATTTTGACCTTTGATCAATATAAATGGCAATTTTCATCCCCCAGCTGTGAATGACACCAGTGTTATTGCCACCAGCACTGGCAGCTTTGTGGCCTTTACTGGAGCTCTCCAGGAAGAGCAGAACAAACAGCACCAGCCAAACCCCCACCCCACCAGGCTGCTCACCCTGAGCATCCCCAAATATCCACAGCATCCATCAGAACCTTCAAAGACAGCTTTGCCAGTCCATGCCATCAATCCAGACTTATTTTTATTCACACTTCTTCATTCTGGTTTATCAGTCAAAATCTTTGCCAGGTCGGTCAAGGGTCAACCTTGAGGTCAGTAGATAATAATAAAAATTGTTGGGGAACAAGAAAAGAGCAACAGCTCAAGTAATCCTTGAAACCACAGGGAGTTTTCCTTTGATTTCAGTGGATGATGGACAGAACCCTTAACCTGTCTGCTCTAAGAAAGGATGCAGCACTGCAGTTTGTGGAGATGAGGAGATGAGGAGATTAAATCCCATCACTTGCTTTTCCCATTGCTGCTGGTGGGATGAAACTTCAGTAAAAAAACACCCCATAAAAAACGATCAGCACTCCAGGACTCTGTTGGATCTGCCTCTCCTGATTTTGGGGAGAGAGGCTTGCATGATAATGACTCTGAAGCTGTAAAAATATTAACTCTAATTTTAGAACAATCTGGAAAAAAAAAGGAAAGTCCACTAAAAGCAAATTACTGAGCAATTGTAGCTTCAAAGAGATGAGAAGCATGTTCCTATAATTGTCCAACATTATTTTTAATTTTGATTAAACTCAGAAGTACAAAGCATTAGCAATGACATGTGCAGCAGCCATATCTCCAGAGAATAACGAGAAAATTATATTTTTCCTTGCAATATGATTTTCCTTTTTTTTTTTATGTAAAAAGCAATTTTTTTCCCTGCAGAATAAGGAAAAATAACCCCTCTTTTCACATGGCCTGATCTTACAGAAAGTTGTCACAATCTTAGCCTGCAAAAATGGAATCAATTCAGACTTAGATTTTAATCCTCACAGAGCTGCTAATATGCAGGTTTACCCTACCCCATTCACACAAAGCACAAAAATTCCACCACCTCCCATGTTCATAGAAGAAATCAAAGGAATTTGAACACCTTTCCCCCTCCCCACCAAACCAATACAGGGTGTAAGGATACAAGCCCAAGGAATCATGGAATGATTTGGGTTAGGAGGGACCTTTAAATGTCATTTAGTCCCACCCCCTGGCACGGGCAGGGACATTTTCCACTATCCCAGGCTGTTCCAAGCCCCATCCAACCTGGCTTTGGACACTTTCATGGATCCAGGGGCAGCCACAGCTTCTCTGGGCACCCTGTGCCAGGGCCTGCCCACCCTCCCAGGAGAGAATTTATTCCCAATACCCCATCTAACCCTGTCCTCTGGCAATGGGAAGCCATTCCCCCTTGTCCTGTCACTCCAGGCCCTTGTAAATCATCCCTCCCCATCTTTCTTGTTGACTCCTTTAGGTTCTGAGAGGCTGCAATTAGGGCACCCCAGGCTGAACAATCTCAATTCTCTGAGCCTTTCCTCTTAGCAGAGCTGCTCCATCCCTCTGATCAACTTGGTGACCCTCCTGACCCTCCTCTGGCCTTGCTCCAACAAGTCAACGTCCCCCAGGCTTTGGATCAGGTTCCTGGATCCCAACTCACTCCTGGATCCAGCAGCTGCTCCAGCTTTTCTCTGCTCAGTGTTTGTCTGAAGTCACATTAATCATTCTCAGCCTTCAGTAAGAGAGCATCTCACCAAAGTCACAGACCTACCCTTTTGCCAGATTCTCTATTCCCCAATACTCTTCCATCTTCTGGTCACATTTCCTGAACACTTTTTTGCAGTTTTTCTCATCTGACTGGTCCCCACAGTCGTCATCCCCATTGCAGAGCAGCCTCCGTGCAATGCATCTCCCTAGGATGGAAGGGGCAAGTCACTCATAAAACAACCTGTGATCACATCCCTGCCATAGAGTCTAGGAGCAAAACAGAAAATTCCTGGAATGAATGGTTCAAATCTGGCTGGAAAAAAAATAATTCTGTTCTATCTGCATGGATCCCCAAAGTCCATCTGCTCAGTTTCACTCAAAGGCGTAATAATCTTAAAATTCCTTGCTCATATTAGGAAAAAACCCACAATAATTAAAAGTATAAAAAGTATAGAATGTTTTTGGTAATCTCTTTTTCATTTGGAGAGAACAAACATGCTGTTTCAGCAGGCCTTGTATATGGTAGTATCTTTTTCTCTCTTCCCATGTCCACAATTATTGAGTATTTTCAATTTCACCAAAACACAGGAAGATGGAGAACAGAGGCTTTTCCTTTGCCTCATCTCAGGTGCTGAGCTCCTGTTGCTGTCACTTGTGCTACAGATTTTGCTGATATAACCAGGTTATAATTTCCTATTTGGATATTCTAAAGGTGGCTACTAGACTCACTCAAAGTCACTGACACAAACACAAGCATGGAAGGAGCCAGGTCAATTCCTGGCATCCCTCTGGCCCTGATGACTCCTGCAGGAGCACAAAGCTCAGCACAGAGGCATCAGAAGTGACACCAGATTATCTGAGCAGCACCACTCCCCAGTCCCCAAATCCTTACTGTTGGAACCCTGGGTACTGGGAATTTTAGGCTTTCTGTGCTGACAGGCACTGACCCCCAGGAAAACACTGCTTTTGACCTGAGGCCGTGGAGAAGGCTTCCAAAATTGAATGATAGAACTAAAAACACTGGTCTGTGGTTTGAATAGAAGTGTGTAATAACACATGGTGGAAAATCTAGAATTTGAGGGTTTAGATTATAACAATGTATACAGGATGGAAATTTTGGGGTGGGGGTTTCTTTCTTCTTCACCTTGTTCTTCATGGGTCTAGGTGGTACTTTTGTGATTGGAGAGAAAAATCCACATTGTGGGTCACAGGTGGTTGGTTATTGGGTTAAAAGTAAAAATAATTTTGGTGCCTGTTCTTAATTGTACAGTTTAGGCTTAAAAGGCTTTGTAGAGAGAGATATGTCACCATTTTTAGCTTGTTAGCTAGAAGTGCTGTAGAACTCACTGTAACATAGATAAGAATTAATAAATATCTGAGATCAAACACGAAATACTGCCTCTCGTGCATTTAATCCCGACTCTGGCAAAGAAAAAAGAAAATAAAACCCAATACTTTACCTGTAACTGCACACACAAACCCATCACACCGAACTCTGTTCCTGCAAGGACTGCCTGTGACACAGTCCTCAGCTTCTCTGTCAGAGTCATCACAGGGATCTCCACCAAACTGAGAGGGCTGTTCCAGGCGGGCAAATCTGTACTGTGATGGAATGAAAAACATTGACTCAAGTGCACAGAAATGGTGAATTTTACACTCCTCTGGTTGAAAAACAAACTTTGTGTCGCCGAGATCTGATCTAAGCACACTCTGTCATATTAAAAGAGAAAAGTGTCAGCTCAGAAGTGTGATGCTGGTAATTTGCCTCGTTTCAAAGGTTTCTGATCTGCGACAGTTTTAATTTTACTGAGGAAAGGTTGGGGATTGGGAGGGATAAAGGAAAGTTTGCTTTTCTTTGACAGTTTGTTTAAATGAGCCTGACAGTGCAGTGCAGGACTTTGCAGGAGTAAGGAAGGATTCAGTTCCATCTCCTCTCTTTCAATTAGTGCTGGTAACGACACCCCTTGTTATTTTCTGTCAGTGTATTTACTTGCCCCTCTGTATCATTAGGGATTTTTTTCCGCCCACAACACTGCTGTGAAGCAGTCAATTACTCTGTCCAATATGTTAGCCCTCCTTTTTTCCCCCCAGCTTCTGAGATTAACTCTTTGATATGAAGCTTCACTCTCCCCCCAACTCCCATCACTGTTTTTTTCTGCTTAAGCCTGGGAACAGCTTCTCCAACTTGTTAGCAGAGGTCTCTCTAGCAACGGGGATTTTGCTCTTCACGCTGTTGGGATCATTACTTTCATTTGATGAGGCTTCTCGGGTGGAAAATGCTGTCTGGCAGACAAGAAAAAGCATCTTAATCCTCAGAGGCACCGAGTGTCTCCAGGTCCCACAGGGGACCATTAGTGGGGAAGGTGCCTCGCAATGATGCTGGAAGGACAGGACTGTGTTGGAAAGTGCCTGCAAAGCCAGGCCTTACACCTTCTCAGGACAGTGAGGCACCCTGGAAAGCACTGCAATAATTTGGGGTGGTGAGCTGAAGAGCTAAAATCCACCAGAAAGCAAAACCCTCCATTCTCACCTGTACAGAGCTTTCCTCGGCAGCCGCCCTCGGTTTGCTCAACCCCACGGACAAAAAGGACAAGGCTGGAAGGAGGCCTCACCTCCTGGCTTCTCGGGGGTCCCCAGACCACAGACACTCACCCTTTTCTTCTGGCAGGGGTCACACTTGCTCCAGGAGGACCAGGAGGAGAGGGCACAGTCGCGGGGCTGCGGTGGGACGCTGACGGAGCGGGCGTGCCTGTCCCTGGGGCTCAGGGACTCCTGGCCACTGTGTCCAACAACACCAGAGCTTCAGGCTCTGAAACTGTGAGCTGTGAGGACCTGGCACCTCAGCCTATGCCTGTGTGAAACCACACACCAAGGACAACTAACACTCACCACGCCTTGCATGCCACCTCTGGATTTCACTCCTAGCCCTGGCGGATTGATTCCACTGGCACTGATTCTGTACAAAACCCGACCCACTCTCCAGTGCCAGCATGAAAATAAACCCATGGTCCACCCATCTGGGCTTCCCCTCAAGCTGTGCAAGCACTAAAACCTTCACCACCAGCTGCTGCCCTGGCTCCAAGGTCAGATACCTCCATGACAAACATCAGTCCCAAGAAAAGGCCTGGCATGCACTCAGCATTTCTGAAAACCAGGCTTAAGTGCCTCTCTTTGCCCAGCAGCCCATTGCCACTAGTCTTAGATTCTACTCTCAGCTCATGAGTCATTATCCCATTATTCCCTTTCAACCCAGTAACAAACCTGAACCCCAATGTGAGCCTTTACTCCTCACCCCAGCCACTCTCTCACTCCCTCATGTGACAGCTGTCTCCAAGGATTCCACAATGCCACAGTTAAAATGCTGCCTCCTCTTTTGGTGGATTCAGAATTTCTGATTAAATCCTTGTCCCAGACAAATGCTCCCTTGTTGCACCTCCTTCAAGTGGGGAGCTTTAGTAAAATGTTGGCAATAAGTTTCTTTTCATACCCAGTTTGACAAGGAAACCACCACAGCGATGTTCCCAATTCTTCCACCCCGACAAGCAACAGCATCAGCTGAAGATTTAAATATGATTTAGTGCCTGGCATGGGGTTCCTATTATAGCATATTAAAAATCACATGGAATAAAGGAATTACAAAACCTCATCAGCTTGCTGAGGCATGAAATCAAAGCTCAAAGTTCAGAGAACAGTGCAAAAATATAGTTAGATTGGAAAGATTACAAGATGTAGTTGTCTGAAACAGCAAAATCTATTACACCAGCGGAGAAAGGAACAGCTCTCAGCCACATTCTCACCATTTCTGCACTTGAAGGAAACCACTCCGAGTGCCCAGCACTCTGTGGGGCAGCCAGCACGGGAGGGGGCTGCATGTTCAAACAATCCCACGTTACAACACGAGCGTGGCAATTTGTCAGCTCCAATTTATCACCAGCATTGCTCCTCTGAAGGCAGAAACGCTGCCCCACGCTGACTTCAACACCCCGTCTTTCACCATCCATCAGAGACACAGGAATCACTCAGCACAGCAACCACAGCCTGGACAGCACCAAAGCTGAGCTGCTCCTGATGGTTCCTGGTGTCACCCCGTGTGTGGGGTGGCTTCAGGAATTGTCACTCACCCAAAGCCACGAGCAGTGTGGGAGCCCAGCAGAGCACAGAGCAGCAGCAGCAGCAGCACTCGGATGGGGCACAGAGCGCTCATCACTCCAGTGAACCCACACCAACACCCCACCCTGCCTGCCCCTGCAGGTCTGAACAGCATTAAACCACCAAAAGAGAAACTGCAGAGCTGCTCTGCCAGCCTGCAAACAGCAGATGACCCAGCACACCTGGCAGGCTCACAAGGTAAACGCTGCTGCTGTTAGCACACGGCTTTCCTGAGCGGGGAGGGAGCAAAGCTCTGACCAGGAGCAATTTGCACTTTCATTGGTAATGCTCCTTCCAAGGGACGGGGGGAAATTAATATTCCAACAAACGAAACGTATTTGAGTCTTGGCAAGAAGGAAGTGGTAAGTAAACTCAAGTCGGCTTTCTAGGAACAGAGTGCAGAATCATTTATTTATTTATTGCTGCTTTTCATGTCTGTCTTCCAGAGGAAGGTCAGACACAGGCACAAGCACTTGTTCTCATGCCTCAGGGAAAGCCTTATCCCTGAGAGTGCCCTTCCCTGTCTGTCCTGCTGCTGGGGAGGACAGGAGCCCCAGCCCTGGCTGGGCCATTCCACAGAGATTCTCTGTTCCACATATCCAAAGTCTCCAGGCCATGAAAGCAGGACCTGTCAGGGCATCAAATGTAATGTCTCTGTTTTCTTGCTGCTACACTGAGTCATTCTCTCTCTTAAATGGCCCTGGCTGGGCTGAGAACTTACCAGAGGCTGGTTGCCATCAATTCAGTTGGCCTTTCAAAGGCAGATCAGACAGAACCTGGAAAAGTTTTTCTTTAGTTGCCTGTTGAGCCTTCATATCCTGCTGCTTCCCCCTCCACGTACAGCTTTTGGATTCTTGAGGCACAAGAGTCTTTCCCTTCATTTTCCTATTAGTCTTAGCCTACAGCAAGCACTTTAGAGAGAGCAAAGTTCTCTGAATCTGTGTTTCCCTGCACAAAATCAGGAATATCACTGTGTTTTCCCATCCTTCCCCTTGCTGAACAACGTCTTTGAGACAGAGCCTGACTCTGTGCAACTCTGCCTTTTAGCAGCACAATCTCTCACCCTGGGATACATCTCTGAGTGTATTTACAAAGAGTAAATACATTTTAATTTGTTCATTATGGCAATGCTGGCTGCTATACATAAAATTATTCACATTCACTAATACCAGACAAACCCAACAACCTCAGTGCCATTACCTGGCCAAGTACTACACCTTAAGGTCTCACAGTTACCTTACAAATGACATTATTCTGCCTGTGGAGCCATGCTCCTGCTAAAGAAGCAACTGGCTGAGGCATCTTTCTGGTTTGGCAGCCTGATGATAACGATTTAACACAGAGAGGCACATTAACCGAGTCCTTGCAGGAATCTGCTCCAAATAAAAGATTGTATTTCAGGCAGCCCTTTTTTAACCCAGAGTTACTGAGCACAGTGATAAACTGCCCTCTAGACATGGAGGACAAACTGTTAGGGGAGATGATTCAGGCTGTGCAAACCTTTCTGTTTGCCTTTTTTGCCTGATTTTTTTCTTCCAAATGACTTTGCCCCAGCCTGAACCCAAGATGAGCCTGTGTGATAGAGCTTGCTCAACCTCTGGCACAATTGATTCAGCTGTTAATCATTTGTCCATGGCAAAAAAGAAAACCAACAAAAAAACCCCCACTCACAGAGAGATCTCTGCATCCACAGGACCTTTGCTGGTTGGGAAATACAGCACATATCCAATATTTCAGCAGTAAAAGATAAACCAGGATTACAAACACAGAGCACCCTCTAGATATAACTTCAAACCATGACAGTGATCCCAGCTTGTGGAATTTTCAAGCTTCTCTCTGCTGCTCGCCTTTGTTTTGCTGCCTCTCACCACACACATCTCAGTGGTGAATATGCACAAGTGGTGAATTACCACAAGTAAGTGAGAATAAAACAGGAGCAAGGACCCAAGAGACAGAATTTCCTACAGCTCAACACACTTTTCAGAGAGAACTAAAAAGCACCATCAGCTTTTACACATAATTTACAACCTGATTTAATTAGAGGGAGGTCTAACACATGAAATTTATGACAGCAACCACGTCATTTTCTGCTTTCTCAGGTCCACGGATCAGGGGAATGTTGCCTTCCCTGTGTCCTCTCCACTGGTGGCTGTAGCAGCTGTGGCTTTCTGATGAGCTGAAGCCCCAAACCAATTCTCTACGTTGCTGAATTAGGATTCACCACACTTGAAAATCAAATGCCCACCATGAAAACGGAGCCTGCAAGTGCAACACATCCTTTGCAGAGTTCATATCCCAAGTTTGTGGGCTTTGCTCCCTGTAAAAAAATCCTCTACAGTTTCACCAAACAGGATGATTCTTTAAATGGCAGTTTCCTGTTAAAAGAAAAACTGAAACACATCAGAGCTGAAAGACCTTCCCTAGGAAAGATCAGACTGGAGCCAGCAAGCAGCTGTTTACAGAATTTACAGAATCAGTGCACTTTGCAAAAAGTTTCTTTTTATCTGATTTTATTCCCTGCTTTGGAACTCAGAACACATTTCTTTAAGCGAAAAAACTCATTCAAAGGTAAAACGAAGCTTCCCACCAATTTTAATTGTGAAGAACTTAAGGCAGCAAATAAATGGTAAAATTTACAACCAAAGAATACTCCCAGATTTTTACAATGAATCTCACTGCAACACCATTTCTGTTACTAATACTGTCATTTTCTGGTGTGAGGCTGGTCTCTGGAAGCCCCTGGGCATAAAAAACTCACCTTGATGAACTTAATTCTCCCCTTCTGGCTTTTGACCCACTAAAAATAATGTCTCATTGTGAATGAGGCCAAATCTGGCATGGGTCCACCTCCTCTGAAAGCTCTCAGGTGCTGTGAAGAGGGTAAGACAAAGAAAACCCCTCCATGTCCCATCCTTTGTGTCCATCTCCTCTCCATGAGACCTCAAGACAACACACACAAACTTGTTCTCAAACTGGAAACAGCATTTTTTGAAGAAAAAGATAACTCATCATCTGTGTGTCAAATAAACAGAAAAAATTTACAAAAAATGCAACATCTCACAGCATTGTAACTTCTGCTCATTTCAAATACATCTCACTTCTGACACCTCTAATAACTGTTACAGAAGACAAAGATGCTACAAAAGGGTTTCTTTTCTTTGCAGCCAGTACCTGGCAGTAATTCTTCCTAATCCTTTATTTTCACAAATGTCTGAGGCTGAATGGGCAGAGATTGCTGCCTGTTAACCTGATTTTCCTTTAATCTATTGTGATTTCCTTTCTTTGCTGGTGAGTATTTATAGAAGTGGTGCTACAGGAGCTATGAAACAGGGTTTAAAAGCCTGCAAATAATTTCAGATCTTAAAAGACCTTATTTTTTTTAAAAAAACCCCAACCTTCTGTATCTAAAAGCCCCTTGAATGGGCAACATCTGAGGCTATTTTTCTCATTGAGATTTTTTCAGGTGCTGATAAAACATTTTAGGGTGATAGATGAGCCACAGGGCAAACACATCCATTGAGATAAGACTATTTAAAGCTCTAAAAACTAATAGCTGGAGAGCTGTTTCACTAATAGACCTGATATTTCCTGCCTCCAGTAGGATAATTTCAGAAAGAGACAGGCCATGTTACATGTACTCAGGAAATCCTATCAGGATATCTCCCCATATTCCTCACTGTCATGAGCTGAAATGTGTAATTCAGTTTCACCCCACATTCAGACAGCAAGTAAAACCAGAAAAAAACCCCACCAAACCAACACCTTTATTATTCCCCATGCCAGTCTTACCTCGGGTATTTAAAAACAACATAATAAAGGTTTTTAATGGGGCTGATCCTAAAAAGCAAACCAGTGTGAGAAGACCCAATTCACAGAAGACCTCAGCACAAGAGAGAAATACTCTTACAAATCACGACTTTTGCAGCAGTAACATCAAAGCAGAGCCAGGAGCAGGAGGCTGAGTCCCAGGATGGCACAAACAGGAGCAGAAGGAGAAGCCAAGGAGCTGTGCCTCCACTTCTGCTGCTCACATGGACTTTCACTGTGTTCCCACAGCACTGTGTGCATCCCACGTTGGCTCAGGGAGGAAATTGCAGAGAACAGACTCAAACCTCTGTGGAAAAATGCCAACAGAAATCCCCTTCCATTCCTTTGACATGATATTCTTCTGACTGAGAACAGCATTAGACAGGAAAGCAAGAAATATAAACCTGACAGGAGTTCTTCAGAAAGAAAAGAAAGGAAAAAGGAAACAGTGCATGAAAGTATATTTCACAACCTAAAAAACAGCCAGAAAGAGGTTACCTGCTCTGTTGAAGCAACTGTCACCGAGTAGTGATTAAAGCACAAAAAACATTGCCTTTAATCCAACGTGAGGGAGTGAAAATTGCATATTCCCAGTCTATACAAGCAGCTGCTTTCCCAGAAGCCACTGACATGGAAAGGAGAGATCTGTCAGCGTTCTCACTGCTGTAAAACCACAGGCTGATTCTGCAAACCGTCTGCTAATGAATTTCTCATTACTGCAGGAGATCATGGCCTTAATTAGCATTGGTTAAATTGGGACCATTTCTTGAAGTGGTCATGTATGAGCTGGGCACTCTCATACAGAATAGAGACTGTGAGTTACAGGAGTATTAATGTGATACAGCACAGAAACACAGCACAGTAAGAATACATTATTATCCCTTCTGCACACACAGAACAGATCCTTCCCTCCCTCCTTGGGATTCCTCCTCCTCACCACTGCCAGACCACACCCCAAACCTCTTATTCTGAATTTTTAACTGAGTTTGTACAGCAGCTGTACAACACGAGCCAATTCTTCTGACTTTTCAACCAACTGCACCGTGAGGGTACCAGAAGAGGATCAACAAGATTAGATTTAGCCTTCACTGTAAAAATGCATTTTAGTTTAAATCCATGCTTAGCTGTGGCTTATTTAAGTGGATGTTTTGTAGCTGGTTGAAAACCAGAGATCACTTTCTTCCTTCCAAGGACACCTGGGTACAGTCAGCTACACACAAATCAAAATGCCATTAACACTGGTGTGCTTTCACCACAGCAGAATAACCTTTATTCTCAGGTGGGATCCAAGTATTTCCACAACGTTCATTGACAAAGGCAAGGAATGTTTCACCATGACCTACTGGGCATTTTGAGGAAGGCATAAGACATCAAAAAGTAGAAATACAGTAAAATATATGTGCACACATCCACACCTTTCTCTCTCTCCCTGTATATAAAACATGTATTTCTTACACTTAAATTTTACTGCATTACTCTCTTGGCAGAGAATGGGAAATTTCCTTCTCAGCTGAGCTTTATTATCAGTTCTGTGCACGTTACTGGAAATTTTGGAGGAGTTCTGCTTTCAAAACTGTCATGTTTAAATGCACATCGTTAATTTCAAATCCCACTTGAATGAAAAAAGCCAGCAAAATTAATTTCAGATTCTCATGCCACAAAGATAAACCAGCTTTGGGAGCATCACACAGCATGGGCTGTCCCAGGAATGTGGGATTTTGCAGATGATACAAATACCTCCTGATTTGGGATGCTTATCCTAAAACACCCAAAAAGAGGCCAAAAAAGTAGAGGCAGCAATTAAAATCAGCAAGTTACACATCTGCAAGATAAGCAACACTTAGTGTTAAAGATTAGTTATTCCCCAAATCGAGGATTTCCTCCTTTCCCACGGATTTCCACTGTCAAAAATAAAGGCCATGCCAGACACCAACACTGCATTTTAAGTCTGGCAGAATTATCCCAGAGGAGCACAAGCTATGAAACAAACTTACTGAAATGACACCTTTTTTTTTAATGTTTTTATTCATAACAGTATTACATGGTGTGTTACAGAAATTAATGGAAAATTTCTAAAAATTTGTCGGTTTCTGTTGTTGTTGCTGAATGCTTACACATAAAGTTAAAAATAATGTGTCCGTGTATGTTAACAAATGGTCATTATCTGAGGTAAAGTTAAAGTAGGTTTAGAAATGTACTGCAACAGTCATTTTATCTTTCTCATCTTTATTAAAAAAATAAGTGTCAGAATGCAGAAATAAAAATGAATGAAAACCACGGAGTAAACATTTTTGCAAAGAAGGTGCCCAGTACGTTATTGAGATGAAAGGTTTCATCAGACACTTGGATGACTACGATCTATCAAAATATCTCTTCATGACAGGTAAAGATCAAGAACCTACGGGGGGGATGGTAACAGGATGGCTGGTGGGGTTCCCTGGTTTGTAAATTTAAAGTGACGAATTTAGTGCTAGTGAAGGATGAGGGATTGAACAATTGCACAAGCTGGATATTTGAGTTATCTACAATACTGGTACAGTGCAGGGGCCCTGCAGCCCTCTCAGCTCAGCATCCCAGCCACGACAAGGACGATCATGAGACCACACAATCCAGAATCTGCTTTTATTCATGGGGGGTTGGCAAAGGTAGGACAGAGGTCCGTGGTGATGGCCCAGCTGTGTCCTGGCAGAGACACCACAATTCCAGCCTCATTCCCTCGTGAGTGATCTGCTGCCTACAAATGTCATCCTCTGACACATCCACCTCTTCTCTTCTCTGTGTTTCACCCCAGAACTGGGAATGCACTGATGACACAAAACCTCCAATGTCTGTGATGAACCAAAACTGGGTTTGTGGTTCCATGTGCAGGACAAAACCCCAAAAAAAAAAAAAAATAAAAGCTGCTGAGGAAGAAAGTAGCACCACTGTGCAAATATCAGGAAAATATTCTGACAGACATGTCCTCCAGAAATGCTTTTACCTCTGCTTTTAATCCTGAAACACTCAATCCACCAAGTTTTAAATTATCTCCTCCAGTTAGAAAACTTGATCTTCCAATGGGAAAGTAAGATTTGCTACACAGCTGTTTGCACATGAGTGAGGAACAAGAATCAAATGACCATGGGTGGGGATAAAATTCTCCTCTCTGCAGGTTCTATTCACAGCTAATTTCTCCTTCACATACATTCTGCAATGCACATTTCTCTAATTTCTCTAATTCAAAATAAAAGAGCAGGATCGTGTTGTGAGATTTGGTTGCACATACCAACAATCACCACCCCAGTTATTCTGCCTGCTAAACCACTTTTAGCCTATAATAGAGATGAAACAAAGTAAAACATTTATAACTCCAGGCCTATTTTAATCATGACAAAAATGTAAATCCTAATGTGTCAATTTAAAAACAAAATCTGCACAATAACCCTAAAAAACTGATTAATCCTTTGATTTCTTTAACCTTTTTTCCTTTTTCTATTTTTCTTTTTTTTTTCTTCTTTTTTTTCCTTTTTAGTGTTAAACCACTAAATTCAATATACTGTAACTGCATAGGAACATCAGGAAAACACATTTGACCTGTATAACAATTCTCTGTAGGGCAAAAATATATAGATTCTTTATGAAAATCATGTGCTAAACATATGAACCCAAACACTGCACTTTTTGCTTCGTAAGTGTAAAAAAAGGAAGTTTTAAATTCTTTTTGTTCTGCATGTAAACAGTTGGATGACTTCTATGCAGAGGTTCAAAGGAATGTCAATGGCAAGTGATCTCTTGTAAGTGGAATTATGTCTGTGTGATAACGCTAGACCATAAAATCAAGTGTTCCCATTAATTTCACTCGTTGCTGACAAGCTGACTGCTTTTGGCAAATGCACTTGAGCTTCAGCCCATTATTGTTAAGCATGTGAAAAAACATATGTGATGTGAGAACCACAAACTGGGTTTGCCACACCTCCCAAGCACTGCAACTTGCTACCTTCTCTACTGTGTAATGGCATTAGTAAAAGAATTTTCATAACATTTATATTTACAAAAAAAAAATGGCAATTTTCATTCGAACTCCTTAAAGCCATTTCCCCTTAAACATTTAAAGAGTTTAACAGTAAGATTTTTTTTTTCAAGTTATAAAATAAAAATCCCATTTGATTTTTTTCTGATGTACAAAAAGTGATAAAGATGAACAATTTTGATCACAGAGTCAGTTTGTTATTCCAAAATCCATGCCGTCCTTGTCCCATTTGTCAAGTCCGCTTCATCCAAACTCCTAAACCAGAAGCATACCAGCATTATTTGGCAAATGATTTTTTTTTTCATCAAAAATGGCACACAGAGAAGAAAACACTTGTCTGCATAGCATTACAGCAGCAAGATACTGAAGAAATAAAAATATTCCTTTTCTGCACTTTGTTTAGAGTTTCCTAGGAAATACTGACTCTTTTGTCTTTCCTCAGTGGGACTTGATGTCCTTTCTCTACCCACAACATGAGTATTCCAACAGAAAGCAGCATTTCTTCCTCATGATGTGCTAGAACTTAAAGGTCCATTTGGCAACATTTTCAGTCAAGGATGGATAAACAACCGAGTTCTGTTCTGTGGTTTCAAGTTGGGAGTCATTTCTGCAGGAGGTGTTTCACTGTTACATCTGTCACTCATACAAAACTACAGAGTAAGAAATAAAAAAAGAAAGAAAAAAAACCCCAAACAAACAGAAAAAAAAATAGGAAAAAAATGACACCACCAGTATTTTGTTGTTGTTGTTTAANAAACTACAGAGTAAGAAATAAAAAAAGAAAGAAAAAAAACCCCAAACAAACAGAAAAAAAAAATAGGAAAAAAATGACACCACCAGTATTTTGTTGTTGTTGTTTAAATATGTCTGCATAGGGGAAAAAGAAGGGCCAGGATCAGCCTGATGTAAATGATGATGAAAAACATGTCACCGTGACATAAAAAGTGCCAACTCGTGCCCCAAAGGCTGCTGAAGGATAATGCCACTGCTACATCCAGACTCTGCTTTTTGCTGAAAAGAAAAAAAAAAAGTAATGTCTAAAGCCCAATAAATTTCAGATGCTCCTTATTTATAGGTGGCACACAGAAGGTGACAAATGTTTAAAAGAAGACGGAGGAGTAAGATTTCCTAGTCTGGATACCCACCACTTGTGGGGACTCGTGGTATGACAAGCAGGGGGAGTTTTTGTTTTGTGCTGCCATAGGAATCTGCCATTGGTTGCCAAAAAAAACCACATCAGGAACACTCGTAGAGCCAGTCCAGGAGGGCAATCTCTCTCCTTTGCCAGACAAAATCAATTGGAAAAAAGCATGAAAGCCAAAGGCCCGCCAGGTTGTTGGGTTTCGTGTGAGTCTTGCAGCACCACAAGCCTGTAACAATGCTATTTCTTAGGTCTGTTAATCTGCGCGTAGAGAGGTTCTGCTTCCTGGGGACAACAAAAATAAAATGAGCAGAGATGTCTCCAGACAGCATTTCCAGAACATTTTTACAACATCTGCTTGAGAGCAGCGATACCTGGTGAGTGAAAACCCACAGGAAGTGTTTGCTTTCTGTGCTGCCTTGAGCGATCGTGGCGCCCCATTTGATTGGTGAAGAAAATGGGAATTATTCCAGAAAATGAGTGTTTTCTACCCATTTCCTCCTCCAGCACTGGCCATGCACCGACCCTCACTGCTGGGCATGGACATATGAAGGAATTAAATGATAATTTACAGGGCTGGATGTTTGGAAGTTCCGAGGCTGTACAAAAAAACGCTGAGATTCCCCCCCAGCAGCACAACAGCAGAACATAACTGTGGGTTTTGCACAGCTCAGGAGAAAACCACTTGCAAACAGAAACCCCCACGGAAAGCTGAGCTAAATGAAGCTGTGATGGGATTTAAAACAATAACATGAGTGGCCCATGAAGAACGAGGAGCGCCAGCCCTGCACAGTTTGATTAGGAGTCTGTGGAACCATTAGTACGATGGTTACAGCTGGGAGCATGTCAACTTGTTAACAGATACTTTCTTGGGAATTTCCTGGATGTGGGAGGTGGGAAAAGCTGCCATGTTATTCAGCTGTTGCTCCACAGCTGACACACCCTGTGCTTTCTTAACACTGCTCATCTCAGCTGCGGTGGGAAGCAAACCATCCGTGGACCCTGGAATCCACTCCACTTCATTTCCAGAAACTAATTTATTAAACTAAAAATGACATCTAAAAAAAAGGAACAAGACAGGCAGAAAGGCTAATTAATGCCACACTGCATTAACTCTCCACAGCCTGATAAATATTCAAATACCACAGCACGACGTTGAATTTAACCACGTTAGAATCAACTCGTGTTACAGCAGCATTGGGAGGAGCTGACTTTTGTGTGAAAAAAACCAAAAACCCTCAGAAGGTTGGCAAATCACTGGGCACTGAAGAGCACAGACAGGCCTGCCAAGGCTGGCACAGGATTTTAATCACTGTTTGTCAAAATGATGCTGGAGAACAGCCCAAGGGTGGATCCATAGGGTGCTCAGGGTGCCTGGCCAGTGCTCCAGGCTCTGCCCCAGCCCAGTGCCCTGTCCTGCCTTAGACTGCAGGAACATACAACAAATCCAAAATATGACCTGTTTGCTTCAGGCCAAGCAAAGTTGTCTCTTATTCCCCAAAACTGCTGCATTTCTGGAGCTTGCAGACACCCTGCTTCCTCACCTCCCTGCCCACATGGAGCTCTGAGTATGCTACAAGCATTGTGAGTGAGAGAAACCCTCTGGAACGATTAAATAAATGCTGCTGAAAATATCCTCAGCAAGAAGCAAATACATTTTGTGACCTTGAAAAACTGAAGGTAATCAAAGGAGGTGACTGAGAGTAAATAACTGCTTTTCACACACTGTGAGTTAAGTCTACCTATGCCAATTTTCACATGCAGACTTGAAGCTGGCAGAATGATCTATCACAGCTAGTTCAGAGAAAATCTGTACTAATTAATGTGTGAACCTGACACACACCAGGCCATTCTTCAGGCAGTTGCTGAACCTAAGGTCATTGCAATGGGAAGTGAAAAGGAAGGAGAAGGAGAAAAGGAGAGGGAGAGAGAACATCCCTTTGGAACAAAAGATGTCAGTTTTTAAAATGCCTTCAGGGAAAAAAAAAAGAGCTTTTCAAAATGTCAAGTCTGCTTGTTAGAGCTGTCCTCAAATATCCTTCAGATATGCTGAAGTAACAGGTGCCCCTGGACTCCACACCCTTGGCAGAGGAGGAGGAGGAGCTGCTCAGCATCAGCAGCACTTCCAACAAGCATGAGACAGCCTTTACAATGAGAAACTTCCTTGATTCATACCCAGCATTTATCTGTACAAACACCTGAAATGGCAAAGGCCTGCATTTCTCACTGATTTGAATAATTTCTCTTCCAGCAGACCGGAGCATTTTGCATGAAAAGTGTGCTCTTACTTCTTCCTTTCAGTTGATTTCTCCCCTCAGATGCCTAAACGAGAAATTAATTGCAGTAATTGTGTGCAGGCTTCCCAGTCAAAGGGTTTGGTCAAGGCCTGAGATTTGTTTTCTAGTATTATTTTGAGCCAATACAAGCATGCTTTGAGCCCGACAATGCAAATGGTGTCTGTGAAATATTGATACTCGAGAGGGCAAAACAGAAATGACAGGAAAAAGGCAAAAGGAGAGTCGAGTGCTGTTGACTTCATGGACAGCTCCTCTCACAGTGCCAGGCACTATTTTGGAGGGGCTTGAAAGCAGAAATAACCTCCTTTTTTTAATATAATCCACACAAAATCACAGGGCATGTTATGAAAAGGCAGGTGAGTGTTAACTCTTCTCACAGCATCTCACCAGCATTTTCTGCCTTCTACTACTGCATTAAGAACAGATGCAGAGGGAAGGGAAGAACTGGTCTTTGTCAGAACAAAAAGAGAGGAACAAATAAAATAGCAGACAAAGCTTCTAATTCACATAAACCCCTCAAATCTTACAGTGTTTTCCTTGCTAAACTGGCCCAGAATCACTTCTGATGTTCTTTCATCAACCCACAGGGAGAAACCAAGACAAGAACTGGAAGCAATTTTTTATTTTTTTTTTTGCTGCTGTATTCCAGAAATACTTCATGCTGCAAATCACTTTATCCATCTCATTTTAAAGGGGACAAGACAGCAGCAAACACCATTTCTGGTATAGTCCACTACTGTGTGAGGCAACAAGGGTGCTAATGCTTTAGAATAACATTATGCAAATGCTAGAAGTAAATTTGCATCCCATTTGAAGATATTAACACCTGCTCCCCAGCAGAACTAATCGCTGGAGAGCATCTCCTGAAAGACTCAGCACCTAGTCGGGCTTGCAGGGGTGAACTCACTCACAAAAACATAACTGTGGGTTAGGAAGGAACTATTTTTACCCTGGCAGCCTTTGATCACTGCGAGGCACCTGCTCCGTGCAGAGCTGCAGGCAAGATGTTCTCAATTGTGGAGGTGAGGCCCGCACAGATTTCCGTGCCCTTTGCAGCCACTTTTACTCCTGGCTGACTGATCAGAAAGGGCAGGCTCAAATGATAAGAGTTTCATGAAATAAGTGTGCTGGAGAGCCACACAAAATGAGCATCTTGTGCTGGGGATGCAAGTGAAGGGGGTGGGAGTGTGAAGCGTCTTCTCTGTTTTTCTGCATGCTAGGCAAAATAGGACAGAGTAAAGTTGGCAAGCGGGGTTGAAATTAAATATCTCTGGTGATAAGACAAGTCATTCCTCTTGCCCCATTAACAGCCAGTTTTTATTTATTACTTATTATTACTTACTAATATTTGGTTATTTTTCTTGCAGTCTCCATTAGCAGCATAAATACAGCAACCTTCTAGTTGAGGATTATGGCTGGAGAGTGCCACTGATCTTACCATAAACCTACCTAGGAATATTTCCTAGTCTCAAATATCCAGTTTAATTATTAGCACTGTAAAAATCTCTGTCATTTTAGTAGCAAGATGGATGCTGTACATCCATGAAATGAAAAAGCAATGACAACTACTCAGAAAGATGAACCTGCTCCATATCTTGGTCCTGATATAAAAATGAACTGCAGCCAAGAAACACTGATTATTTCTGGGCCCCTCTCCCAAAACAGTAGCCACACAATTGTATCTGTCTACAGATCTGTCATCCACATATCTTTCCATCTACATATCTGTCAATTCTCCTTCCTAACAATTGAACCACATGGCCAATTTGAAGCAAATTGTTCAGAAGTCTCAAAGATGCTAAATTTTCCCAAGTAGATTTTTAAAATCAGTTGTTGTGCAGAAGACAGGGAACTTTTAAATGACCTCATCACAGAGGAAGCGAGGAGAGCTTGTCCCTAAATGGAATTGTTGGGTTGCAAAGCAGCAAGAACACGGCTCTAGACAAGCTACAAAGGATTCTGTCTCTTGTTTAGAGGAAGAATTTGGAGAAAGGGAAGGGTACACGGTGACCTCAGGTGGGCTTGGTGGCACTGAAGAGCTGAGAAGCCCTTGTAGGAGCTGGCCACATGAAAATGGACAGCTTGAAGGAGACTGCAGCAGCAGAGATGAAGGCAAACCTGCAGGATGCCCCTGTTCACAGAGCAGCCTCAATTTCTCTGCTCATGCCCCTCCCTATTTCCTGGGAAATAGGAACAACCAACGGAGCAGGAGACCTGAAATGTTAATTTTAGGATTTCTGTGGAGTGAAGCAGGACTTCCCAAGCTGTGATCCCCTTCCAAAGGCACAACACTACTTCTCTCAGGTTCCCAACCCTGCTCAGCTCTGTGTCCTTAGCTTGAGAATGACAGCTTTAGAGCCTACAGCAAGAACAGGTCACATGTAATTAGGAATTTCTCTTTGGACTTTATCCAGTTCCTACTGAGCCAGAGGAAACACTGGGACAGGTCCTACAAATACAGCCTTCAGTTTCTGAGTCTATTCAGAGTCCTGGTGCAACAGGAAAGGGGCAGAAGTAAGAGGAGGATGCAGAATCAGCTTGATATTCCCTCCCGAGGCTCACTAAGCTCCCAGGTAACCCATGGCTTTGTCCATAAATTGCTGTTTTCTCTCCACTTCCTAAGACCAGCCCAAATAAAAAGTTCTAGCAGCCCATCCCGGAGCTGACTAAGATTTTTAGGAGCATTTATCACCAAGCACAGCACTTGCTCTAAGATGGATGATGGCAGTGGGCCACCAAAGCACCACCAAAAGCTGATAGACAAATATTCTAACGAACTGTTGCTCTCCTGACAGTGCTGATGGCATCGTGAAGGGTGTGACACATTTTCAGGGCTCCTAATTGTCTGCACACATTTCTCAGAACAACTGAACAATTTTTTTCAGGGAGATACGCTCTAGCCACAAATGTTTTGAAGGTTTCTTGAGAATCTCTCATGAATGATTGCCAGTGCAAGTTTTGAGCTGGGCAGCAGCTCAATAGAGCTGCGTTTGTTCCTCTGTTCAAACTTCCTGCTTTAATGTAAAATGTCAACAACAAGAAATGTTTAAGGCACTTGGTAGGATCACAGCTAAGAAAGAGTTATTTCCCTCTCTCTCCTTTCACCACAATTACTTCCCACATAATCTAAAAACAGCAGCAGGGATTAAACATAAATAATCTGAAGGTGGCAGTCATTCTGTATTCACTTCACCTCTTCTGCAAAATCACTATCTGTCCTCAACACGATGCATGAACAAAGGGGAAACAACCAAATACAATAAACAGCTCTGCAAAGTGTTAATCTTATTTCACCTGTGGAAGTTGGGCCTTTCTGCTTCTTATCTTCAACCACAAAGAGACAAAAATGTAATATATCCATGAAATGTCACATTTGCCTACTAAGAGCTCATAGCTGTTTCTGAAAGGGTGACTTCTAGAACAGCTGCTGGAAGGATGAGGATTGTGAGGGCTGAAGTTGAAGGTTGCAAAAGGAAGAGAGGAAACAAGATAGTAACTAGATGATAATTTAGAGTATCAGAAGGAATCAAGAAACCAAATTGCTGTGGTATCTTGAAAGATCAGGGTACAAATAACCAGGCAGGTGGAAATTCTGAATACATCAAGATAAATAAAGATATGGTAGAGCTGATTTCAGAGATGTTAGGAACAGACAGATTTGACATTTCTGCACACAATGCTCTGCTCCTGAGAGGTCCATTCAGCTGAGTTGTTACTGTGCTGTTCTTGGGGTAAGAACCACGTTCTAAAGAGCAAAGTAATCTCCCATCTAAGCCACAAAAGTGGCTTTTATGCAGACTGTGATTCTTTTGCACGACATGTTTCTCCCCATTAAGTTTGTCTCCAAACGCAGAGCTCAATACACAACCCCACAGTAAGTCCTGAATGGATAATTTTCCATGGAGATTAGACTTCCCGTGGCTCTGACGACACCAGGCTTCAGAATTAGATGGGCTGCCTTTGGGAAGTGGATTCCTATGGACTGCTGCTGACTGGCTCTGCACACAGACACAATGATATTAGTGGAACTTCACTGGAGAGAAGCTTTCTTTTTTGTTCAGCTTCCTGTTCCTGCCTACAGCTTGTAGGAATTACTGTAATAACATAATCAGGAACATTAGTTAACATTTCCCAGAATATATTTCTGAGAATTACACATATTTGATGCGAGGCTCTACAGGGATTAACGAAAAATGCAGCAAAACCATATGCAATCATTGGTAATACACTGTCCTGGTAACTCTGAATTTCAGAACCACCCTGACTGTGATAAACCATAATAAGCAGATGTATGTGGGTTTCCAGAGTGTGGGACTCAGATAAAGGGCAAATCCTCTTTCATGATGTAGGGAAGAACATTTGGAGTGGTCTGAAGCTGAGATAGGTGGGGATGTCAGTGCTGGCCAAGGTCAGGCAAAGGCACAGCCAAATTATCAAGTGGCACCATCCATCTGCAGCAGCAGCTCTCACTGGAGTAAATAATGAATGCTCTTGCTGGAGCAGCTTGACTTTCTCCTCACACTGCCACTTCTAGGAGACACAAAGCTTAATGCTACTTTTGCTGTAGCCCCCAGGAGCTGAGCATGGGTGAAGCTACAGAAGGGGGAGATGCCCTCTCAAAGCACCACATATTATTAAGACAGAACCTCATTATTCCCAGGTGGATCAAAGCTAAGTTACTGTAAGATTTAACACACGAAGTAAACTGACTCCTAACGAAACTACTGAGTTGAATCTAAACTGAGGATGGGTAAGTCACTGGCAAACCCAGTGGAATTTCTATACAAAAATGGGAAGGCTTCTCCCACTGCTCTGGATTTGCTCCAGGAGCTCTGTGCTGGAGCACAGAAGCCACATCAGATCATGTATTTGGGCAACACCAAACAGGAGTGGCAGACGGGGAGAAGATAATGAAACATATTCTTCAAACAGCAACACTAGAGAGTATTTGGATGGAATAACAACACTCAGCACTCATAAAACTTCGTAGCTTCACTGTTTTTTTGGCAAAATATATTTACTGTATTGAAACAAATCACAGAACATTCACAGGCAGCCACATTTTCTACGTGTTCTGTAACACAAAAGATGAAAAGATCATCTTTCCCGTCTGTCTGGGTTTAAATGACTTACATTGATGAATAATTTTTAAAACATCAGTATGCCAATGGTAATATGAATGATGATAATTTTCAGATGTTTTTAATTTGCAGTTGGAGATAAAAATACACAAACCCATTTCAATATTTTTTACATGCAGATAATAAACGTGCTTCTTCTACTGATTATCCCATTGATTTAGGGTAGAGACATTCACGTATCATTACATAATTTTATTTAATGATTGTTATGTCTATGGGTAAGATGTCTTATTCCATTTAATATGTTACATCTGACTGAAGGCCAGGGTGGCTTTGATAAAAAAAAAGTGCTCTGCCTAATATATTGTTAGTAATGGCTCAGTTTCCCTATTTGCCTTCAGAATTTGAACACAAAGTAAAATAAATCTATATTTCTTTAAAGCATGCAGGCAGCTGAAACACACATATTTGCATAAGCTGCAACACTCAGTGAATGGCAAAAGCCATGCAGACCACCAAGCACGAGGAATATACTGTGGAGGATGGAGAGGCAAAACAGAAGAGATGAAAAAGGGAAAAAAATAAACCATGCATCCATGAAAGCAATGGCAGGCACTGGTGGAAGAGCAAGTGAACACCTCAAGGTGTAGAGAAAAAAAGGACAGATACCTACCCCAACCTGTGCTATCTAGCTACCGACCTGTGGACTTATAGTATCACCAGTTGGCTCACCAAAGGGATCACTGTTGGAGGAGGCCTGAGACCCATCAGGCTAGAATACAAGAACATAACACCTTTTTTTCTCAACAGAAGAAAGTGAAAAGTCAACACGAGGTTATTTTCATGCTGTGGGCATAACAAGTACATCCTATCTCATGAAAACCAGAGCCACGGTGGTTTCCTACAGCTGCTGCAGGCACCAAAGGACCTCACCAGTTCCTGCTGGAGCCAGGCAGGAGCTGCCACAGACTTCAGAAGGTCCTGGATCAGAAGTGCAAAAGGCCCTGAAAGCCATGTGAAACAGAAAAGAGTCCAAGCTTGGGTGATTTTGCACTTTTTGTTGTACTGACCCCCTCTTGCCTTTGGCTCACTCGGGCTCCTACCTCCTTAAGACACCTGGTGATTTACAGTCATTGCTTGGATAACATTTCTTGCTTTGGTCCATAAAGGCAAAGAAATACATACTGAGGGCCAGGACATTGAGGAACGTAGCTAGGCAAGCAACTGGGATGCAAGAATGTGCAAGACAACATCAACCATCATCTTTTAACACACAAACTCTCACATCTTTCTCTGCAGCCTCAGCATGTTTGTTGTGTTACCCCAAACTTCCTGACCACGAGTAAAGTGACTGCTGGTGTGCTGAAGAGGACACTGGATACAGCTAATATGCACAGCCTTACATATGAACTCTGAGTCTGGTTCCTTGTATGCAGTGTTAGTGCACATCAGCAGAAATGTTGTGCTATCAGCTGTCAGACCCAAAGCAGGACGGGAATTCTGCCTGCAGCTCCCCCATAAGCACCACCCAACCCTACTGGAAAAGGTATTGCTGACACTACAGAACAGCACTTAATCAGCTTTTATCTCTTCTAGCTCAAAGGAGACAGTGAGGATTTAGAAACCTTGTTGCTACTCACAGCCTCTGGCTCCTCACTTTTGCTTGGGCTTTCAAACCCCTCTTCAAAGAGGTCGTCTGCAGCAGGGTCACTCGTATGGGATGCTGATGATTTTGATGGAGAACTCTGTCTGGGTGCAGGGGTTGGAGCTAAACAAGGATTAAGGCAACAGCAACAATTATTCTGTTGATTTCTTCAAAAAGACACTTCAGCACAAAATTTGCTCATGCTTTTACATCCTTCAACTTTCACCACCCCTGAGAATCATTCTCTAAGGAGGAGCTGCAGGAGGTAAATTCAGGCACAGTTGTCGTTATCAATCCCATGTGTTTGATTTCATTTGGCAACTTCCAAATTAAGTTTGGCTGCACCTGGCCTATGTCTTTATGAACCTGGGAGACACCACTACATTACATTAGGAATGTCTCAGTCACCTGCCCTGTGGCAGGTAAGTGAAAAAGGTCTCTGACTGACCCCTGGTGAATCTCATGAATTCCTCTTTTCAGCAATCTGCAAATCCCCCACACTATGCAATGAACACCATAAGCTCATGGTGTTCAAACACCATAACAGCTTTTACAGCTCTTCAAGGAATCTCCCCACGTGTCCAGTATGTTAAGCTAATAAAATAAACACCCATCCCCTAATTTCTGTAAACTATGGATGGGACATAAGTGAAACCAGTTGTTAGGTTGAATGACATGGGCTTCTGCCAACCAGCTTGCATGTTCCCATCACAAAACAAATATTACTGTTTTAGAAACTAAATTTCAGACTGTAGCTATCTGGACCATCCATTTCTATGACCTCTGAAATTCCTCTCTGATATTCTCCTTTATGGCTGGAACACATTTCTTAAGCCAGAGCATGCATGAAGGTTCTCACTATCTGGGTGGGAATTTAAAAAGAGACAGAAGTGCTTTGAGGAGCAGTCATGTCCAAGGAAAGGGATGGCTGAAACCACACAAATACTCACGTGAATTTGTAGATGGTGTCGTGGAAGTCACAGGAGTCAAATTTAACTGAGAGATGTCGAAGTCATCACAATCATCTGCTTCCTGTGCCATCCCAACTTTGTTAAAGTAACTTGAGAAGGCCTCTGAGGTACAACTGAGGGAAGGCTGATCTGGTTTTCTGGATGGCACTGGTGGAGGCTGAGCCATCTGGAAATCTTTAAACATTTCTTTTCCCATTTTCTGCCTGGGCCTGTCTGTCTGCGGACTCGATCTGTTGGAATCGCTCGTGGGCGGGACGGTGGCTATAGGAGCAATGGTACCTTGAAACATGGCAGCTTGTAAAGGCAAAACAGTTTGTGTTGGCATGAAGGCAGTGGGCTGGAACTGGCCAGCCACGGATGGCCACGGCTGCTGGGTGGGAGGAAAGATGCCGGGCTGGCCCCACGCGATGGGCTGTCCTCCCTGCATCACCTGAGCGACTGGAGGCTGGGCACCCATGGCCAACTGCTGCTGAACAAGTGGTTGCTGTCCCCAGAAGGAGGGCAGGACAGCTCCCATGGCAACATAACCTTCAGGGAATAAAGAGAGCAGGAGTTGGGGGGGGGGGGAGGAAACAAACGGGATGAAAGATTTTAAGGGTGCTGAAAAGAGACACAATAAATCAGAAACGTGCAAAGCTGCGCCAGCGATCCCAGAGCTGCAGCAGGCTTGGAAAGAAAACTGGAAACACTGAACTCGCATCACTGCACAAATTCTCACACACAGAACCACAGGCTGGTGGACTCTGCAAAGCAATCATCTCAAATTGCATCATAGTGCTACTACTGCTACTAATAATAATAAAAAAAATCCAACCCAGATGATTTCAGATTAAAATCCTCACACTCGGTTATTACCCAATTACTTGAGAACATCAAAAAGATCTTGAGCTTCTGCTGCACTAAATACCTATTAACAAAAACTGCTTCAGGTATTAGGCTAACATAACCTCCTCCAGTTGAGGAGGAAATTAAAGACTAAAACTAAAATGATAATTGCTTCCTGTCAGACCTGAAGCCTCCTTTGAAGCTACCAAGGGTTTGACTGTGTAGGAATTATAGGATCAGGTGCTTTTTTATTTACAACAACAACAAAAATGCTCTGAAATGAAAACTGCTGTAAAACATTTTACAAATTAAACTACCTAACATAATTATGTTCCATTGATAGAAGTACTGAGCTTTACAGGTATGCTGTTTCACGCTTAAATTCAATACTTATCATTAATATTTTGCATAATGCAACTTCTCTCTCAATTTTAATACTCCTATAGCTTTAAAACTCTTTTTTTTCCAACCTGAGTGTTTCCTCAGTCCTCCTGTACCTTCTCCTCTTTGCTTTATTTCTAGGCTGTTTTGTTATCACAAACAGAAGGCTGGCTGCTATATTGTAAAGGGAAAAGCCCAGAACTCAATAAAACAAAAAAAATAAGGAACTCAACTTTGAGAGACCTAATTCCTGAGTGATGGAAGGAGCTCAGATATATTTCTGTTCCAACAGATGTCCAGGATGGATTCTCCATACATTCTTTGATCTGATTCTTTGATTGTCCCTGCTGTGACCTCATCCCAGCAGAGAAGGTTTCCATCTACATTATCCCCAAACACTTCACTGCCACTGTAACCTGTCTGAGGTGCAGTGGCTAATCTGGTGCCATCAGAGGAGGTAACCAATTAGAAAGTCACTGCTGAATGATTCAAGGCACTCCTCCTCCTCCTCCTCCCCCTCCTCCTCCTTTCTTTTCCTAAGTGGGGCTGGGGGCACTGGGAGAGATCAGCAATCAGACCACAGTGTCTGTGCAGAATGCACTCAGCTTTTGAATTCTGAGCACTCTGGGGAACACAGGGAAGTCTAGAGGACATTCCAGGATTTGACAAAGTGGAATAACTTTGAACTACAATCAAATTCTCAGCCTCTGTTTCCTGGAGACAACAGGATATTCACTGCTATCACAGAACCTCCAAATCCAAACTAAATGCTGTTTCCTCTCCTGCTCCTGTACCTAGAAGTTCTGTCATCCAGATGACTGAACTATGCTTGAACTCCCAGTGACTTTTTGGCTTCTGCTTTAAAAACTGTAGGCAAATTCAAACTAATGTACTCCCTGCTTGTTAAAGCCTTGCTTTGCCTTGTCCTGAAGCACTGACCTCAAAAGCCTTCCCCACTTCCACCCTGCTAAAAAAATCAATGCCCTGAGAACTGAAATGCAAACCAGAGCTGGGCACTGATCCCCAGATCTGATTCCCGACTATAATTCCAGTGCTCTTCTTACCTGAGGGTACAGCAGCAGTGCTGAAAGGTACAGAACCAAACATGTCTGTACTAGCAGGGAGTGACTGGGATGAAGATGGGATAAAGGCATCACCTGGAGTAGCAGGAGTCTGCAGGGAGACAGGGAGAAAACACAAAGGTGACAAATCAGCTGCAGCTTCTGCTGCACATTGCTGTCACATCACCTGGAACTCTAAAAATCCAGGTTTGCAGTGAGAACGAGAAAGAAGAAAGAATGGGAAGATGTAGAAGGAAAGAAGCAATAAAAATAAAAGTGATAGAATTTGCTGGGGATGGGAGAAAAAGAAAGAATTAAGAAATTTTCTATCAGAGGAAAAAATCAAGGTGAAATTTGCCTGGAATATATCATATGCAAAATACTGACATAATTTCTTTCTCCAGGACATACAGACTTGTGATTTTAGATGTTAAATGACAAAAGGAAAGGCAGTGACCAAGGCATTAACTTTCAAGTTATTATTAACAGTTAAAGCAAAAGAGAGGATTTATGGAAAATGGAATAAATATTGCTTCTAATTAACCAACAGCACCAGAATCATAAGTCTACATTAAAGGAGAAGTCAAATCCAATTGAGTAAGCTGATGATGAGCAGAAAGGGTTTTGAACACCTAGTCCTAGAATGATCCAGAATATATTGGGGATTTGAGGCTCCTGACCTCACACCACCTGAATTTTCTCAGTATATTCACATTTCCCTACAGCTTAATGTAAGGCTCAAAAGCTTCATATGAAAATTTTTTTGTCATCTTATAATGCTGAAAAACATGTTGAGACTTTTTTTTTCCCCTTAAAATACATCCAGCCCTTTTTCTCTCTTTACTTCCTCCCTTTAACAGAAGTTTTGGGATCTATGCTTGGATCCAGAGACACGAAATACGAGGCTGTAACTGGATCTTCTGCAGTGCACTGGGAGTGCAGTGAAGCATTTCCCTCTGACAAACACCAGAAAGCAGATCTGCAGCTCAGGTTGCACCCTATGTGACACTTAACACTAGAGCAGAAAAATAAAAATCGAAGGTATGTTGGCACATCATCATGAAGCAGGAAAACTGCACGTTCAAGTTTTACTTTCCTGCAACCTAAAAACTACTTTGAAATCCTCCCCACTGGAATGGCTGAGGACACAAATTGTAAATGTGCTCAATAAATGTGCTGAAAATAGCATGCAGGAAAAACACAGTGCAGTTTCCCTGAGTACTCACTGGGGGAGAGGTTACATCAGGAGGAGTGGACATGTCCCCAAAAAGCTCTAGTTGGGTAACAGCCTGTAAAGAGAAAAAAAAATTCGATTTATCTTTTGAGGAGAAGAAACTGTAAGAGAAGCAGTTACAACTTGTAAAGTTATCTGGTAACAGCAAACAAGAGAAACCTTCCCAAAGTCCTGCAGGCTTCAGCTGTGAAGTCCCACATGGAGGAAGCACACAGGCTCAAGCTGAGGGATTTTAATATTGCTAATGGACCCAAAGAGCCAACAACTCACTATAATTCTGTAGGGAATTCTCCAAAATGAAAAAAAAAAAAGGAATAAAACATGGAACAACTATCCAAAACAGGACTGGATGCATTACTGCTCTGCCTTTAACATCAGTGAGCTCCAAGCATGATTTATGGCTAAATCCTCACTTCCAGGGCTTAGAGCATGGCAGCAGCACATGGAGTGCCAGAAGGATATAGAAGGGAAGGGCTTTTAAAGTGCTGCCTGATTTCCCCTTGCCCATGGGACAGGTGTGACCTGGATAAGTGGACTTGGAGGAGGATGCACAACTGGGTTATTGCAAGTTTGTGGCTCTACATTTAATTCTTGTTAGAAATTATTTCCTTGGGACGCCCTTCACTGGGAGCTCAAAACAGGTCACCCATGCAGGCCTGGCTAACTGGACCAGAAGAGAAAAAACACTTTATTATAAGAAATAACTTGAGTGGCTGCATAATCAAAGCTCCTTCACGGGCTCTAGAGCAAATTTACTCTTTCCACCCACCTGCAAATGAGTTCAGCTGGAGTTCAGGGATGTTAAAGCACAGATTCCCCAGAGCTCTGCATGAAACTTAAACTCCATCCACCACCCTTATCAGGGTGGTTACACTTGAAAGCTTTGGGGAGAACCCACAATTTCTTCTTCTTACTACCCTTCCTACTGGTTTTCCCAGTGTCACACTCACAAAATGTGGGAAGGCACAATTCTCATCATGAACAAGATTTAATGCAAACCTTTGGTTAGCTCACTGAATCTTCTCCCCATCTTAGGCACATAAACCTTGGATCCTCCCATCACACAGACAGCTTTGACATTTAGTTGAGTCTTGTCCTGCAAAAGCAGCCCCTGAATGCTTTGGACAGTATCCAAACTGGAAGGTCAGGCTTCACAGTCTTCCAAGAGGCCAAGATCACCCCAAGATTTTTTCCTGCCTTTAACCTTCCATTATAAATTACCCCTTAAGGAGTAAGACTACACATATCAAAAGTTTATACTCATTTTTTTCAATCCAGTCTCTATTCCCACACATAAAAGTAACACCACAATCACTTAGAACTGGAATTTTTCTAAGCAGCTCTGTTGATTCTCAGCTTCACATCACAATGTACCCAGGGATGAATTATCTCACGTTTTCTTACATTATGTTTTATATCAAAAAGATCACATTGCTTTAGTGCTATGACAATACATTTTCCTCTTATGGGCTTATATATCCCTCTAAGTATCTGCACAGAAATGCAGAAGGGAAAAAGAAGGAAAGCCACGTTTTCTTCAGGGTACACCAATTCTCATGCTCTGTACTAAAATACTGCCAGGAGTAACTTTTGAAAAAAAAACCAAAAAACAGCCAAGCAACAAACCCAGCCTAAGTCCCTTGTGCAGTGTGCACAAACACATCAGGCAAAGGTTGTTCAAATGCCCAGGAAAGTGGGAATAATGACAACAGCAGCACTCGTTTGGAAATCACTTCAAGCCTCCTGTAGGCACGGCTGCCTCGAGAGGTGTCAGGTGCCACTGAAATACTCCAAGAGCCACTTCCTCCTCATCTCTCCAAACTGCTTGTTTAGCAGCACCCCAAACCTGCCCTTCTCCTGCCCCCCTCGTGAACTGTTCACTGTTTGCTGCTGAGGAACACTTGTGTCCTTTCCATGAACAAAAACTCCCCTGTGCCTCCACCCCAGGGGAGGGAGCAGATGAGAAAGTCAGGGAAAAAGCAGGGCACACACAGCTGTGTGCAAAGCTATGCCTTTTTTTTTTTTTTTTTCTGGAAAAAATAGTATAGGTGTCACAGGAATGCTGGAAATTGATAGTCAGTATACTTTTGAACTCTGGATTATATGACATGCATCTGAAAGGTGGTAACTCAGATCCCTGTGCCTCCATACTCCTGGATAATGGGAATAGTAATACTTCTCAAGGTGATGGATCTTTGGATACTCTTCACAGATATAATTCTGTTAAAGCTCTGCAGACACATTTCTAAACAGGCAGCTGGAGAGAGTGATAGGAAAGTCAACAGCACTTTGTTATAATAAACCCTCACTCACAATATTCCCCAGGAAAAAGAAATACATTTACAGGGGAATTATTTTTTTTACAGAATAGCAACCTCATATGCAACAGGAGCTATAGAACCACATCAGAGAATGTAAACACAAATTTAGTGGGAACACAACACCTTCATTTACTGACTGGAGGCAGCTTTAAACAGCAACTCTTGGAGGTGGATTTTTAAGTCCCAAATGGTTCAGGAGTCTTTTTTCTACAACCCAGCTCTCAGCCTGAATAAATGAATGCATCTTCTCTGACACAGAGCTGCCTTTATCTACTCTGCAGCACACGAGATCCCAGACACCAAGCACTTATCTTTTATTTCTGTGATTTCACTGTCACTACAGAACTGATTTCACCCCTTATGCTTCATTAAGATTATTCACATCTGATATTAGCTACGTTCCAGTGAAGTTAATCCCAAGCTGAACATTTTCCAATTGCTCTATTCCTATAGATGATTTCAGCTCTATTTCCTTAAAATATTTTTTAGTTTCACAACCTTACCTGAGTGACTGAAACAAGATTTTCATCAATGTCCAGCAATAAGTTTCCATTCTCCAGCTGTAAAGTATGATTTATGAAATGAGATGAATGATTTATGAAAATGACATGAATTTCTGAGCATGAAAATGATAACCTCCATAATTATTGACTTCAGCATTGAAATGAAAACCCTTTCCATCTTGCTGTGAGCACAGATATGAAATCAGGCAGTCAAAACAGTGAGTCTGAATGCTGCTGGGATGTGGGGCAAGCATACACTTCATTTGTGCTAAATCTCATCTTCTGGTGTACAAAGCAATTTTACCACTTGTGACACACCTATTTATTTCCCTAAATATTTCCCTAAATATTTATTAATTCAGCAATAAGCATACCCAGTGAGCTCTGATCCTGCTTACATTAATGGAACTTTTCCCTGGCTTGGTGAAAGAAGGGATTTAACATCCTCAGGGGAAAAAAGAATGATTGAGTTTTGGATGACAAAAGCTCTAAAACCAAGTATCTTCAGAAAAAACCACACATTTCTCTAACTGGGGAAACTATAACATCAATGTAAACATAATTAACTATTTTCTTTCCATAGCAATTTTGAAAATTACATGAGTCAATTCAAGTTATATTCAAACCTATGGTTTGTATGTAAATATACGTGGGAATATCCTGCCCTCACATCTGTACATATCTGTATCCATCCACACTTGGCACATATTATCACTTCAGAATGCTAAATTTCAGGTAACATTTACTGTAGTGTTGGAGACTTCATTTCTGCAGACACAAACAAGAGCAGGCTGTTGAAAATCAAGTCTAAGATGACTGAGAAGCTTCATACAAGCTACTAGTAATTCCACATCACTTAAAAATCTCACAAACAGCCTAGAATGATGTTTTTCCCCCCATCATCTCATCACAGAGCTGAAGAAAAGAGAAAAAAAAGAGTGGGAAAAGGCAAAGCCAAAGTAACATGATGTCACTGCACACTCAGGAACAGTCCTGTCCCTTCTTGGAGCTGACCCTGTGCTCCCCCAGCTCCAGGTGAGGAAAGTGTGAGAAAAGCTGTGTCCATTTACTCAAAGAACTCCAGAGACTTTGCAAATGCTCTTTAAATGAAGCAGAAGGCTTTCAGGGAGCCCAGTTTTGGCCAGCAGTTCATCACTTTGTGCTCTGACAAGCCCCAGCCCCTTTGTTTGCCCCCCACCCTCCACAACCAGAAGCCTGGAGAGCTGCTGCAGCTCTTGGTGTTTCTCCACGTGAGGATTCCTGCACAGAGTGATGTAAACCTTGGTTTAATTAACCAGAAAGGCACAGTGCTGAATGTGAAACCCCCCTCCAGCTCAGCCAGGCTCTCACCAGCGGGGTGGAGGAAGGAGAATTAATCCTTGTGACACGAAGCCTGCCATGAAAGCTCCATCTCCCTACACATGTGAGCCATCCTGTAAATCTTTCAAACACAAAATATGTAAATCTGCCTCCTCAAAGCAGCAGCACCACTCCAAGGCAGGAGCAGTTTTAAACCACTCCAAGCTGGCAGTGGAATTCCTCGTGACACTTTTCTCTATTCCCTAAAAATTAACTTATTCTCCAAGAGCTGGAGAAAACTCCAGAGTGCACAAGCAATGGAAATCACAGAATATCCTGAGCTGGAAGGCACCTGTAAGGATAAGAGACAAGAGAACTGCTGCTTTCAGAAACCATGTAAAACTGATCCACTGCAGTACTCCCTCTGATTACCAAGTCCTCTGACAAACATCTTTGCTAAGCAATGCAGAAGTTCAGAATTTAAAAGGGAAATCTAAAACAGGACTCTTGTGCTCACACTGAGTGTGAAACACCTTCTCCTTTCACTCCCATACACATATCAAGACAGAAAATCCAACTTCTGCTACTCAGTCTGTTTTTCACCAGCAGCAAGGGATCTATGCTGACATATGGCACGAGAAAACCTGCTTAATACTGCTGTACTTTTGCAAATGAGATGATAAAAGTAGCATCTCACAAAACGTGGTTTTGTAATCTCAGAGAATGGAGCAAAGATGGTGCTTAAAAGCACGAAAAAAAAATACATGGTAATTAACTTGTACTCTGCTACACAGCCTGGCAAGAAAAAAGAGTATGAAGGATACTAAATATAGCAAATAACCAGCAATTAGTAATTAACCTTTGAGCTGGGTATTAACTATTCAACTCTTTAAAGGCAGCAGAGGGATTTAAACTTGATTTCCTGCACTCAGGGTGAGTGTTACACCACACAGCCCAGCAGACAAAAGAGGAGTCACCCAACCACAGCCTCTCTGCATCTCCAATTCCCTTTTCCTCACATGGATTTCACATGGAGGTCTAATGACAAGTCAAATGGTTGGTCAAACTAAAGATTTTCTATCTTATTTCAGTTGAACATGTAAATATTTTGGCTATGACAAATAACTTTTCTGATGGTTCAAATGGTTACTGCAGCTCAGCAGAGCCCCAGCTGTTTGCACCTTACACCACAACCTGATATTGCTAAAAGTCCTGTGAGCTGCAAGCAGCTTGCTAATTAACCACAACTCATTCTAAAAAAAACCAATTAGAACCACAATGAAGGAGCGTGTTGGCATCCTGACTAAACCCATCATCAGTCAAACCACGTCTGGTAGGTTGAGACACACTGAAAACATCCCACAGACATTGTTTTAGTGCAAAACTACTGCTGAATTAATCAAGTGGCATGGGAACTCAACAAAGAATTGCTCAATTACTTCCCAATTAAAGAGAATACACAGAAGAATGTGTGTCAAGAAAAAAAAAAATCAACTTCTTTGCAATCTCCAGCTTCCTGCAGATCCTAAAGATCCTCAAATGCCATGAACTTTCCCAGTTACAGACTGCTGTTACCATCCCAGATTTACAGAGCTACAGCTGAGCACAAGCCTTTCATTGTAAGGCTGCTGTGAACATTTCATTGTGGAATCAAGAATGTTTTGGGGTGGAAGGGACCTTAAAGCTCATTCCTGGGACACCTTCCACCAGACCAGGCTGCTCAGAGCCCCATCCAGCCTGGCCTTGAACACTTCCAGTGATGGAGGCAATTCCCAACCAGTACAGGTCATGTCAGCAACAGGAGCTGCCATAAAACCACAATAGATGGATTCTTTATCCAAAATACAGGCATTTTGGGCCTCTGACACTGCACAGGGTAAAAATCCAGTGCTCAGAATCCCATGGGATGTGGGAATTCTCCTATTTAAAGTTCCTCTTTTCAGTTTCACAGGGTAACTCTGAATTAGTGATCACAACCATTCTCCTTCAGGGAATTGTCCTGAAGCCATAAACCCAAGTCCTGGGTGTGATGTACCCAACTACAGGGCAGCCTTGAGCCTCACTGCATTGCCCAACTCCCCAGCTTCCAATGTTTGGTGACTGGGAAGCCCTGGATGTGCTGGTTAAACATCCTGCTAGTCAATCCTGCACAGCTGAAGAATTGGGAGTGTTGGATATAAGTGACATCCCAGATTACCAAGGCGTGTTGAGGGAATTGAATTGCTCCACTGTTGCTCGATGGCTTCCTTTAAATTAAGGAACTCTTCATATGATCAAAACAGACGCTTACTCATTTGTTTATTTTCTCTTCATTTGCAGGGAACTTAATTCTGAATTCCCTGTGTACTTGGGGTATTTACTCTTACAGGAAATGGTATTTACAATGCTTCAATTACCACTTTTCTCTGACAGACTCTAATAAATCAAGAGTGCACCAGAGTGACTCCAGCTCGGAGCCAGCCCACACTGTTCCCAGGCTGCACATTCCCAAGAAAATGAAACTCCCCAGGCACAGGGGGTGATGGTGCAAAGGTCCCAGACATGTGGTCAGGACAGGGAAAGAGGAGCCCCTTTCATGTCAGGATCACAGCCTGGGGACAAAGAGTGGCTTCCTTTAACTGCAGGTGGGGGACACAAGAGATGAGAACTTCCATATGGGAGCCAAACTCCAGTTCTGGACTGAGATAGGATATTTGCAGGGAATAAACTTAACAGTGGAAGGGAACAAGGAACAACTTCATCTTTGTTATTTAAAATACTTGCAAGGCACCATTTGTCAGGTGTACCTACTGCTTTTCAAAACAACAGGTGACTGGAACTCTAGCCAAACTTCAGAAACAAGTTATTTCTAACTTCACTACTAAATACCTTGTCATCATGGTGTTTTCCAAACCTTGAAATCCTATGAGTTTCAGCTAGAAAAAGAGCCAGGACCTGTGTACTTCTGTACCTAATAATGTAGAGTAGCACTGAATGAATCTGCAAAAATTAAACCCCCAATTGTGCAAATGATGTAATTTAAGGCATAAAGTGATGCAGACCATGTAAAGCTGCAAACTTCACTACTTAGAAAGCAGGTTGTAAATAAACGTTTTAGCAAATTACTCTGAACAAATCCAAAAGTAGTGAATGAACACAAGGTGCAGCTGTCAATTTAATGTATCAGCTTCTATCAGAAAAAAATCTGCATGGGTCATATTAAATAAAAGACAAAAACTCACTATGTGTGACAGAACTTTGTGCCACAATCAATGAGATCCATCTATGGTTCAACTACACTCTTTTCTCCACTTTGGAGAATATCAAAAGGTGCAGAATATTGCCCCAAAAAAAGCCCAGGCACCCAGGGAAGTTTAGGAGTGCAAATACACATGAAGCCTTTAGACATGTGACCAAGCAGGTTTCCTGAGAGGGGCCACTGAAATGTTTACCACTAATTTACACTGCCCAAGTTCTGGATTAAAAACACAAATCTAAACTGCCACACACATGGCAGCCCCCATGTGCCCCACATCCACCAAGAAAACTGTGTCACTGAGGCAGGAAAACTGTGTCACTGAGGCAAAGCCTGCATCTTTGGAGTTTTTTTATTTTGTTTTTTCTTCTTGCTGTTAGAGCAGCACAGAGAGAGAACAGATACAAAGTGATCAAGGGCAGCATTGCTGGATTACAGCTTCCCCACTCTGTGTGATTACATCCCAAAATCCTGAAGGATTGCACTGGGAAGTGAATTCAAAGCTTTGATAGCGTGTAATCATTCTGCTGGTGGAGCAGGGTTTAGGATCACACTGGGGGAATGGTATTACCCATGCAGGATGGAAAACCTGCTAGCAGAACAACTCCTACGGATTAAAATCAGCTCAAGATGAGGCCCACAATATCCATATGGTGTAAAAGAACAATTAAATTAGGACATTTTATTCCTATCTGTGAAACAGCATTCCTTCACTGTTAAAACCTGCTATTTCACACGCCAGATATAAAATCAGGGATGGTCTGAAACATGGAATTTGCAGGGGCAGATTTTGAATGCTCAGAAACTCTCCAGATTATCTTTACCTCTACTTGTCTATACATTAACAATGCATTAATTTTAACATCCAACCCCTCCTGATTGCTGGAAATCAGACTCTGAATTCAGGTTAGCAGCATTCTGAATCATCTTGCTCTACCTGGCAGTGCAAAACCAAGTTTTCAAGATTTAGTTAAAATGCCTTTAACTTTGAGCTCAAGTGTTAAATTCCAGATAAACCACGTACTTAACACACATGAAGGAACTTCACTTTATGTTGTTGATGTTATAAACTGGAAAGACTAGGGAGGAGGACCTGGCTTCTGCTTCCTGTGCCATTGAGGTTTTTATTAAGGAATAAACCAGAAAATATTCCAGAAAAGATAACTCAAAAAACCCCCTCATGGTTGGATGGGGCTTGGAGCAATCTGGTGTAGTGAAAGGTGTCCCTGCCCATGGCAGGGGGCTGGAACAGAAGATCCTTAAGGTCCCTTCCAATTCAAATGATTTTATGATTTCCATTCTATGATTCTGTCTAAAAAACAAAGGCCCATAAAAACATCAACCCAGGCCACAAGACATTGTCCCAACAAACTAATGCATTTTCCAATTTTGCAACAAGTAGCTGTACCTGTTAAAAATGCACGTCCCACAGTGCACTATTAAACCTCGTACATGGGGTTTAATTGAGTGTGACTAAGTCAGGACATTTGAACACAGGTGTCTCTTTCAGCAAATGTAAATAAAACTGGACAGTTTTCCCAGCACAGATGGCCAGAGACCAGGACTGTGCACTGCCTTTCTCCTCATGCCTGAGAATTTGATCCTGGAAGCCTGGCAGTGGAGGCTGCAGTCAATGTCAGCAGCCTGCAGGTTGTTTCTGCAAAGCCACTGATGTAAATTTTGGGAGCAGCCAGACGTGGGAATGGCACTGCAACCCCAGCCAGAGCCAAAGCTGAGCTTCCCCAAACACACCAGCACCACCAGGCAGATCTTGTGGTGCTAAACCTGAGTGTGCCCAGGCCCAGCTTCACCTGCTCCTCCCACACCATGTCCTCAGAGAGTGGAATTTCTGGAATTTCTCCCTGTCTGCTCCAGCCTGGTTTGATATTCCCCACCTGGGCAATTTGGCACCAGCCAAATCCCTGCCTGCACTGAGGCAGCTCTGATGCCTTGGATCCTCACACAGCAATGAGATGAATTGTTTGAAAGCCTTCATGAAATTGTTAAGCAGATAGTTTAGACATTCTGATGAGGAGAGAAGGTTTTATTGTGATGTGACTGACAGTCTCTGTGAAGGGTATTTACAGTCTGACTCTTTATTAGCAAAAACACCGTGACAGGTAGAACTTGATGTGGATGTTTAATGGGGAGACGAAGGGAAATTATGAAAAAAAGAGCTCATTAGACATTTCCCTTTTTTTAGAACAGTTAATTTCACACACAGAACTAGAATTTCTAAGTGGAGCATGCACCACTTAACAGAAGATTTTAGGGTAAGCCTGCTTTCTTTGTCTTGATGTCTACTCTCAGTGAATGGTGAGTAGGAGAATTGCTCTAAGGACAGAACAGAGAGAAACTAAGAATGAATTCAAGAAGTGTGAGTTAATACAGAGGAAGGGACAGGTACTGGGAGGGAACTGAATTCTAGGGAAAGTGTGTGTCTGGAGCTCAGCTGCACACCCAGCAGAGGAAAACCACGGGAGAGCAGGATTTTCTGGGAAGGGATGAAGCAGAGAGATGGGGAAATACAAGAATTACATTGAATAAGCAATCTTTTCATCCCAATGTCAGAGAAGTGACTTGGCAAGCAGCCACTGCTGATAATTGAGTTCAGTGGGTCCGTTCCAACCCTGGGATGTGAGGCTCATTCCTTTCTGCCTCATTTGCTCTGTATTTACATTATTTGATATCGGAGATCATGAGGAGCCAGGCTATAAAGCACTTTGACACCTCTGACAAACGGCCTCACACGATGGCACAGCACTGTTAAGTATGTGAACGCACAATTCTGAACCCTGCTGCTTCTCCCTGGCACCACCAGGGAGATGCTTCACACCTTCAGCCTCAGTGGGATCCCATATCCATGGAGAAATATTTGCCCAAATGGTTCAGGTGCCATAGGAAGCTGCATCTTGCTAAAAATCAGTGTGAATTGCACTGCCCAGTTTCAAAGCAGCCTCTGAAATGGGGATTCTGCCCTCAAGCCTTCACACTGTGATGGATCTCACCCCACCTAAGCCTAACTTTTAGAAGCCATCATACCTGCAGGTCATTTAAAATCTGTCTGCAGCCACAACAGAACCACGTGCAGATGTACATTTATTTCCACATGAGAAGGACACGTTGTGCAGATGGGAGGAATTTCACAGAATCAGAGAATCACTGAAGGGTTTGGGTTGGAAGGGGCCTTAAAGATCATTTCATTCTAACCTCTGCCATGGGGAGGGAATTCTCCCACTGGAGCAGGCTGGTCCAAGGCCAATCCAACCTGAGAGGTGGCCAATTCTCTCCACTGACTAAAGAGAGACAAGGCTGGAGGGCACCTGGATGAACCACCTCAATATCCCTCACTTTTCTGTTCAGAGACTAAACCTGCCTGGGAACACACCAGAGGAAAACAATCCCAAAATGGAAACTCCATCTCTGTCCAGGGACTGTGGGCATTTCAGCCTGAATTCAACCAAAACTTGCTGCATTGTTATTAAGAGCTGAATGTATCATCAGCAAAGAATTCATGGTGCCTGAAACCTATCAGGAGCCACAAAAAAGTTTCTCACTTCATTCATCTATTATGAAATTACTGAAAGCAAGACCTCCTAATAAAGGAAGTGTCCTTACATGTTTGAAACAGGTACATGAGGTTCATTACTCGCCCTCAGATTGAATTTTAGAGGTTTATATAATAATGACAGCAATAAATTGAAAACAAAATTATGGCAAGTGTCTCAATGACAGACAGTCTCACATGTGGAAGGGTGAGCAATAAATCAGATGGGCAGTGGAATATTAAATTGCTAATTTTAAGAGCTATTGCTCTTTTTTTTTCCTTTTAATACATACTAATATAAAAAGGTGAAACTGGATCTCAGCTACCTCTTTCTTCCCCTTCTCCTTTTCTTCATTAATTAATGTACAGAAGTTGATTTAAGAAAAAGCTTTAATCCCTTTAAATTTAACCATGAACTAGTGGGGGGGAAAAAAAAAGGTGCAACCAGCTTCATGGAGATGGCAGATTAAATGTATTTGATGATTACAGAGTAGGTTCCATGAGTCCTATATCTTACATCTGCTATTTAGAGGACAGAGTAGCAGCAGAGTGTCTGCAGACATGATTGCAGGCACTGCACACCCAGTCACACTGCAACAACCTAAATTACACACTGTACCCTGAGTGAAATTGAAGCATCACTGAAGGGATAATAAAAGAGTCACAGCAAAAGCACAGCAGAAAAATTGTAACACTCAACTCCGTGAAAAACTACACGAAAAGTAAGTGAAAAATCAACAGCTACTCCATGCCCACAAATACCTCCATCAGTGATGCAATGGGAGTCATTTCACCAGATTCTTGCAGGCAACATGAAGATGCCTCCCTGCTCCTACTGGCTCACCATGAAACATTTCTGGCAGGGTTTGTTTGTTTATGCAAAGCCCAGAAGTGTCTCAGTCCAGGTCCCCATTCAGACCCTCCACAGCATTTCTCTTTTTTTTATTCTGTATCTTGGTCAGCCCAAGCTGTGCATGTCACCACATCCTGGTGTAAAAAACTTTCCTCTTGAACACAGGCATCTTCCCCATGCTTGCACTACACTGAAATTCCTGACCTTTTCCTTGGTTTTTCTCCAGTCTCACACAGATACTCAGAAATACTCATTTTTTTGTGTAACCAAAGCAATCCAACATTTTCTTGAGGCATTTATAGCACAAATTTATTTTGAAGAGCATAAGCACCTTCAGCAAATGCACACCTTGTTCTAAGGCATCTGTCACTGCTCTCAATCACTTGTTACCATTCCTTACCTATTCTGGGAATAAATGCTTCACTTTTTCATAATGCCCATACACAGAATGGGAATGCTGTTTTTGCCTAACATTACCCCTATTTTTTAGTATTTTCCTGCCCACGCAAGGCACAGGACAGAAAAAATTCAGCTGAATTGAGCTTGGTTTCTTGTACACTTGGAGCACTACAGAAACAATGCACATTTGGGTACCAGAGGGACCCTTCCAAACCAGGCAGCACCTCAAGCATTAACAGGCAGAAGGCTTACTGTCAACCCCTAACCACAAATCACACATTTAAAAATGGTGACTTGCCTAAAAAAATGAGTTAGGAAAGACAGAAAGGAGATTCAAGCAATGAGTGAGATGGATTTAAGTGACATCACAATCCCAACCCACCCATAACGCATCACTGACAAAAGCCACACCATGAGAAATGTATCAAATGTTACAAACAAGAATAAAAGTCACAGAAGCTAAAAACCACACCGACCTTACTGTATATAAACAGGGAAGATACTTACACTTACAGGTTGACTTTTTGGCACATCATAAACACCTTCCTTCTTTTGGCTGGTAGGAACCTGCAACAGCAAAGGAAAACTGAGGTCACCAAAAAAAAGCAGCTTGGATGAAAAACTGAAAAGAGCAATTGATATTTATGCACAGGGTGTACATAAAGGTGTAGTTTATTTATTACTAATTCTTAATACTAATGAAATCGAGGATGGTTCCCTCCTTATCCAAGTAGGGCCATTAATAGAGAAAATACTGAAGGAATGAAACACCTATCTGGATTTTTTTACAGCCCAGCAGTGTTCAGAAAGGAGATTTCCATTCTCAGATCATTTTGGTTGCATGAAGTCCAGGTGTACTTGGAGCTCCTTCCTACTTAAATGGTTGTTTTTTCCTTTAACTTAGGGGTTAGAGATGTGCAATGGAAGTTATGGTCAGGTGAGTTCATCATCTCCCCAGATGAAGACACACAAAGTAGATTTACCAAGATGAGGGTAAGAGATTATTTTACCTTCAGTCAGATTTCTTCCTCACAATTCATTTAATCAGCTAAAAAGAGTCCTAATACTGCAGTGGTGGGGTCTTGTGGCTGCTCTAGGAAATATTTGGTTATAATGCAATTTTCCTAAGGAATTAAGGCCTCTTGAAGCCTGACACAGGAAGGATGGGCAGGGGACAATGCACTTAAATTTTGTGTGAGCCTTTAGTTGAGCCACCAGTCATGATTTATACCCAGGGCATTTATAACCTGCCCATGCAGACCCAGCTGCTTTGTAGGACTGGGCTGTGCTTGCCCAAAGACCATTTGTTTGCATATTTATAATTTGTTTCTCTATTTCCTTTCCTGCCCAGAAGCACTAAGCGTCCATTGTAAATTACAAAAGCAAAAAGAACAGTAACCTGTTCTAATCAGTGGTGCTTTTCCACCAAACAAGGCATTCAGAGTACAAAAATTACATTTCAGACAACAATGAAACCTCACAGGTCAATAGGATGATACTGCAAATATGATAAAATTATGACCTTTTTGTTTTCTAAGAAATTAAATATCTTAAAGTTCTAATTTTAAACTCAGACTGGTCTAGGGGAAGGTGAAGAAACATTACTTATTCATTGTGATCTACTATCATTTCTTATTCTATATAATATTCTATATAAAAACCTCTCTTGCTATTGTCCCTACTGTTCTCTCACCCCTTCACAAGAAACTCTGTGTCTTTAACTTGGTGCACATTGAAGAAGTTTATCAAGAACTCTCAGAGAAACTGAATAAACTTTGTGGAAGATCTCTCTGTTCCTATCCTAATGTATCACATTAGATGTGAAAATTCAGTGCCATGGCAGAAACAGTCTGGAGAGAGAGAGAGTTATAGGTGACAGTGTGGGAGCAGGAACCAGGAATGGTCAATTTAGGAGTCACTGGAAAGCAGAGTCTTCACAAAAGGAGGGGAAATATGGAAAGATAAACTGTTTCTAAACTTTCACGAGGGTGCATTTGTTTCTGTTTTCTCTGAAATGTTTTCCTCTCAGCCATTCTCCTCTTCCTCCTTCCAGCCTTTCTGTGAAGTCATCCCAATTTGCCCCTACATCCAGAGCTGTGGACTGAGCATTCCCCTGCACTGCCAATCCCCCTTTTTCTACTCCAATTTATGCTCAGAGAAGAGCTCCTTGCACCTCATATGAAGACAGAGAAACTTTCCTGAAAGCCATTTCTCCCTCCCAACTCGGTGCTGCCTGACCTGCTGTCTTTTCTTGCTGTGCACCACCACATTTGTTTGCATCTCTGCTTACACTGGGGGGGCTGCAGGGAATTGCTGGTTTTCCTTTGATTAGCAGTACCAGTAAGAGGTCCCAGCACTATTTCTGCTGTCAGCTCTGTCTCTGTGACAGGCTGTGAACCATCTGGATGTCTTTGCATCTTGCAGCAATGAAAGCACCACAGTTCAGAACCAACCCCCATCTCAGATTGTCAACTCCTCACGGAGCAGAACTTGCCTCTCCACAGAGACCAGTGCTGCCACACAAACACCAAACCACCTCCCAAAATCCCATCTCCACCTCGCCAGAGCACCAGGCAGCAGAGGAGATGCTATTAAGCAATCTGAGCAATTGGTATGTGCTCAGTGATTGAGTCCTTGCCTAACAAATTACAGCAACTTACATGGATAATATTAAAAGAGCAGACCCAGACAGTCTTTAGGGTAATGTATCAAAGAAAGGTGACAGACAGAGAAAGAATGCTTAAGAAGAAAGTTGTGACCTCTATTATGCTAAAAAGAAATAGAAATTGTCACTTTCTGCACGTATCTTTCATCTGAAATTCCCCACAGGGTGAGAATCTCTCCCACCAAGGGAGAAGTGAATTTGTTGCATGCCAGCAAATGAAAAGCCAGAGCAGCACCAGCAGAAAGGTTTGGTGAGGCTGAAGCAGGGCTGTGAGAGGTTATTGAGCAGATATATGTTTAATAATATCTGGTATGGGGAAGGCTTCACAGTGAATAATAGAAGCTGCCACAAATATGCATAAAATTAAAAATAAAAATTAAAAACAAACAAAAAAACCAACCAACCAACCAAAAGCACCAAAAAATATAAAAGAGGATCTTTTTCGATTTTAATAGTAGCCTGATGGTTCTGAGATTACCAAGATCTTGTAAGAGAAACAATTTTGTGAGAGATCTGAGTGTAAAATCTGAGCTGTGGATACCCAGATTTGTTGAATCCAAGAGCTCAGGATTCCTGTGGGAGCTGGGAAACTCATGGCTACAGGCTAGTCTGCAGCTGGGACACCTCAGCATCCACCAGTTACACAGAACCCAAAAAATGGCTCCTAACTCCCCAGTTCAGCATTTGCTGAGCTCAGGTAGTGCCTGTAGTAACAGAGGACAATGCCAGACTGTGAATATCCAGAATATGGCACAATAATCCCAGGTGTTTCCTGTGACCACTGTGGGAGGAAACACTTCATCACATCCAGATGCTGTCAAAGGAAGCCTTGAGCAATTCTCTGGTGACTTAGAGGACAGCAACAGCAGAACCTTGAGGTGAGGCAAGGCCTCACTACCTGCTTTTCACCTTCTATTTCCATTTTATGGAAAAGGAACTGCCCAAAGAGTCCTCCAGTTCTCTGGGCCATTCCTGAGAACACAGTTCCAACTTCTTCCCTACCCACCCAATGTTTGCTGGAAGATCTACAAACACTGGGACCAACATCCCCATTTTGCTTCCTTCCACCAGTGATTCTTTCAAGTGTCACTAAAAGCTCCACACTTTGATGAACAGCAATCACCATTTTTTCTCATGGGATTTTTGTTTCTAGCACAAACCTGACAACTAGACTAGCAATTTTTTAACATTTGCTGAGAACAGTCAAACTTTCAACACTGAAAATGTTTAGCCTTAGGCAGACTCTCACCTTGAGAGCTTTGCAGTCTTGGTCTGGAGATGCAAAAAGCTGCATTTTTGAGTGTGTGCAGTGGGGGTGCCAGGGGAGCAGCAGGCAGAGATTAAATGAATCTCTTATTAATGATCCTCTGATGGCATCTATAAGATGTCATTTTCTAATGTTCAACTTGCATTTCCCTTTCCCACTCAGCTCCTTTTTATTTTTGCTTACAGCTACACTAGCCTCTCATTTTTTCTATCATCTTCCTACGTTTTCTCATTACTTAATGCTTTTCTTTTTTTTTCCTTTTAGCTCTATCCTTGCTCCTGCCTACCTTACAATCTTTTCCTATAAGCAGATCAACCTGTAGTCCAGCTGGATGAAATGTTTAATCACTGCTTGAAACTCCTTTCCCTCCACACTGAACAATTTCCTCGAATCACAATTTTCTCACAGAGCACAAAGATCTCTGTCTATCCTCAGATTTGCCTCTAGTATGTAATACAAAATGAATTACATTATATTTTAATAAACCTCATACTGATCCCTTGAGGATAAATTGAACGACAAAAGATTATTTTATATTGCTTTCAATGCTGTTTTTTGTCAGTGTGAAGAATGTGAGCTCGGGCTTTAACATAACATATGCACTCTGAAAATGCTTTCCCTGGTCTGGGGGGGATACCCCTTGAGAGCTCTGAGGTTTTGCTCAGTTATTTCCTTGGTTAGACAGAAACAAGAGCAGCACCACTGAAATTTCTAGGAATTGCTTGGATGGCCTGCCAACAAATCTTCAGCATGTTTCTCAGGATAGGTGCAAAAAAATTTTCAAAAAATTAACAGGAAAAAGAAGAAAATCTCCATTTATCACCTCATATGGTGTACTCAAAAGTTTGTTGCGTTGACAAAGTTAATATAAATTTGCAGAAGCTCGTATGACAAACAACAGAAAAATCACATTGTGACTGGGCAGATAATGTCACCAGAATGAAATGCCAAGACATTTTTGGTGATGGATGAAAACTAAAAGCGAGCTATGTATGAAATGCACTTCCATCAAACGCTCGTTGCGATGGGAACAGCGAGGGGAGAGGTTTTTATACCTGATAAATGTTTTCCTCCGTTTCAGGCTCACGGATGGGCTCGTGTCCAGCCTCAAACACAATGTACTATGGCAGCAGCGCCAGAGAGGGACAGTCAGAGATGAAACAGAAGGGAAAAAGGCCGTTTGGAATTTCCACGTCAAAACAAAGGCAGGCATTAAAGAAACAACTTCAAAGCACAGGCTGGCAGCAGGACAAGGTTTGTTGGGAAGCACCAGGAAAGGTTGTTTCATATTTCATAACCCGGCAATGAACAAGCCTAAATCTCCTCTTAATGATCATTAGAGCAACTCCCTAATTCTTCCTCGCCAGGGAGACTGCCTGTGGCCCAATATTAATTTTCTGAAGGCAACATGAATTTTGCCTCTTTTACATAATGGCAATTATTTCCACATATATTTATTATCTGCGAATAGAAGTGCTAAATCCAGGCTGGTGTGCGTGGAACAGGCCACATGGCAAAAGGCTGTCACAACACTTTTTCATTTTCAGGTTCTTGCTTTATTGTGAAGAGTACAGAACAAAACTCCTGACATTATAATAGCTGAACAGTAATTTAGGGCATCCTGGCTCTTATCATCTTTCTTGCTGCACCTTAGGCACTGTTCAATATTCACTAATGGTTGAATTGGTTCCTTTCAGCGTGGCTCCCACTGATATGCCTAAGTGGAAGAACACAAAATCTCCAGGAAAAAAAAGTAAACTACCACATATTTTGTTTCAGCACAAAAACACGAGAATGAAATTACATCTTTTTCTTCTTCACACTCAGCAGGGTATTGGACATGAATATATTGACACATTTCTGATAATCATCTTTGCTCCCAGACATTTTTCTTGGATGAAGCAAGACTTAAATTTCAGATCTATTATTAAATCATAGCTCAAACACCAACAAGGGAGTGCGTTACAACATCAATGCTACTGTTGGGTGTTTTTTTTCCCAAATACTCATCCTCTGAATTAAATTCTTGCTCCACAGAAAACAAAAACAGAATGTCAACTTATTACTATGAGAACAGGATGTCACCTTCTCTAATTTTCAGAGTACCTCCCTTTTCAGTTAAGAGTTTGTATTAAAAAAAGATGACAAATCTCATTTTGAAACTTAAAATCTGGATACATAAACCATATTTTAAGTAGTACTTATGACATATTTCATCTAATATTTCTATACTCCAACTGAAATATTCCATTCTATACAGACATATTCTGCTATTATTTACAGCTCAATCTCTAAATATGCTACTTTCTGTGGAGATTTTAAAGGTTTCTCACAAGACCTCTCTCAGTAAATTTCAAAACATTTTGTTCAAGGTTTTGGCTGTGTTTGAAGATAACATGTATCTAGTCATTTCTGAAACTTCAAGGCCATACAGCTTCAGAAATTACCTGGTATACAGGATCTTCTACATCTTCTTCCAAAATTGTCTACAGCAAAGTAAGAGGACAGGCAGTAAAAGCAAAGAACATAAACAGCAGAGATAAAAGAACTGTATTCAGAAATTAAAGGACAGCAAAGGAATAAGCAAAATGGGCAGGTAAGTTTATAGTTTTCTTTCTTTAGGATACAGGTAAAGTCACATTATGGTACAAAGTAACTTTATTCAAGTTCCATCCGAGTTTAACAATCTGCACCTCGTTTGACTTGGTTCAAATACACACAGTCAGAAGTATATTGAATCTCCCCTACAGTATGAGACACGTAAATCCTGACTTACAACACTTAAAACCTGACTTACAACACCGACCCTTCGTTAAAGTTTTCCTTCTGAGTTAGAAGAAACACTAAGCAGGAAATGAGGGGATCACTTCCAGCTGCTAACCAGGTTCACCACACCCCAGTGACAGATTCCAGCTCAGTTTAATCCTAGTCTGGGCTCAGGCTGGCTGCTGGGCTCACGCTGGTCCTTTGGAAGCCAGCACTGCTCAAACCCACTGCTGTCAGAAGTGCTGAGGATGCTCAGAGCCTCTCTGGAGCAACTTGGGGGGAAAACTCCAAACCCAAACTTTTCGTGGCAGTAGTCTAAGCTTATTGGTGTACCTGGTATACCGCCTGCTCACACTGTTTGTCCTTTTGTGCCTTTTTTTCCATTTCTTCCCTTTGTTTCAGTTCGTAGATGAGCTGAAACAGGTCTCGCAAGTCCAGGATTACAGGTTCAGCCTATGGAAGCAAAAACAGGGTGGAGAATTTCTGTAGGGGAAAATAAACACCTCTTATCCCATCCTGCTGATAGAGCACCTCCACAATTACACTTCATATAGAATTAATTTCTATCTCAGCACCCAGGCCTGGGTTAATTTCTACTGAACTAACTATGCCTGAAAATTAATGATAATTATAGTTATGAATATAAAAAGCATTATGAATATAAAAGGCACACGGATGAATGTAAAGGCATATTTATTAGTGGTTTCTCATCCACTGGAATTACAGTAGACTACACACAATGTGGGTTTCTGTGAGTGTAGGAACATAAGCAAATTTATCTTCATCCAGTCTAGCTTAGCTAGAAAGGTAAACAATAATTAATTATAACAAAACACACCATAAAAAACTGGGAACAATGAAACACATCCCCTTTTGCCCAAGCTGGTTCCATTAATTTGCTATTTAAGATCTACACAGACATTTGTGACCAGTTTAGCACAATCATAAACAACCCAAGACTGGCCCCTTGAACAGCTTTTTACAAATGGCTTTTTCAGCTGAGTTACATGGCTGAAAATGACAGTGATTTGATACTTACTGCCTGGGCTGTTTTTATTGCCACAAATCTATGATTTCCCTCCTTTCCACACACATATCCAAACGCTCGGTGGTCTGTGATATCCTTTGCAATGTAGGAAATTTCATGAACTGCGTGGTGATGCTGGAGTAGCTAAAAAAAAAAAAAAAGTAGAAAATATCCATCAGAATGTTTGATTAAAAAGCAGTATAATTTCTCCATCACCACTTTATCTGGATCCCAACACATTCTGATATGAAAACCAATTAATATCTAAACTCTTTAAGCCTCTCTTTTTCTCAAAATCTAACCAAATTTGACTGCTTTAGCAGGGTGACTAAAAGCTTCTATTGAACATTTTTCTTGGTGTCTTTAAGTGAAATAAAATGAAACAGAGAATGTATTACCTAGCTACTACCTACACAGCATCCCAGGCACGGAATTAGTATTTCTAGGTACATAAATAAGCAGGGGCTACAGAAACATGTAGCTTCACCCAGGGTGACCACCAGACCAGGCTGGTCTGCAGAGCTACAGCTGAGATCTCCAACACCTCTAGGAGTCAGTACCAGACCTGCCTTATCTCCCCAAAAATCTGCATCAGCCAGTGAGAGACATTTCACTTCAGGCAGTAACACAGCTCCAAATATTTATTTTCCTCAGAAAATGAATGTAATTATTCAATTGGAAATCAATGCTGAATGCAAAACTCCACATTTTACTTAAAATCCCACTTTGGTGAATTATAATAATAAAAAGGCTTAATTTTAACTGTCTGAGCAAAACTGTGCTCAGTCAGGACAAGAATCTGAGCTTCTTGGAAGCATCTCCTGTAGTGCCAGAATCTTTCTCACTTTGGACTGAACAGCATTTTATTATCAAAGTAATAGAGAATTATTTCCACTTAAAATAATGTCCTTTGAAAGCTTATCTAAAACAATCTATTAGTTTCAATTTCTATCTTCTGATATATTGACCTGCTCTTGAATCATCTAGGGATAATGCTATTTCTGAGAGCAGGCAAAGCCTCACAGAGAATTCTTTGGAGGTTCAGATTCCTGCTGGCTTTGAGAAAAGCACATTTTGAAAACCAGCATGGTATCCAGGCAATCTCCAAACAACCAGCTATTTTTAGAGTTAAAAACAAAGCAGAAGTTTTGAAACTGAGAAGCAGGGAGGACGTCAGTGTGTGTCAGGGGAAAGGCTGAGGGTGTGCAGGGCGAGGGATGGGGATTCTGTAGGGCTGGGAGTGGGATCTGAAAGGAGAGGCAGCCTGTGAGAGATGGATGGCTCCATATCAAACAAAAGACTGGACATGTTTCATTTTCATTTCACAGTAAATGGCTCTTAATGTCCCTGTATCGAGACTGCTTGCTCGTGGCAGAGTGAAGAGTTGCCAGTGACTGCAGGCAGAGCGTGGCTCAGCTGAAGGTGCACTTCACACTCTCCTGATGTGCTGAGCGTTTAAAATTAATGATGGGATCTTACTTAGGTAATACAGGGATATTGATTTATTAGGTTTTTTTGAAAACCAAGTTACATGCTATCTGTTACGATGAAATGAAATGTTCCCATCTCTCTATTCTGCATATGACAGGGAACGTTATCTCTGGCTCCTATTAAATCAAAGTTCTCTGACATTGCTTTATTGATTGCCAGGCAGCGTTCTGCACTGAAATTAAACTGTGATCAGATGCCTTCCTCATGGAATTAAATTTGAAGATTGTTCTACCATGGAAGAGTATCACCCACAAGGTAGGAGAACAGATGGAGATGCTCCAATTTATTTCAGAATCCACATTCACTCTTTAAAAATAATTTCATTTCCAACGGTTATGCTATTTTACACACTGTATCAATAGAAATAGAGATTAAATAAAGGTGACTGCAATTATCCTTTTATGTATTTTACTGGATGGAGTGTTTAGGGAGAGCTTTTCACTTGTTTGAGGGACACTGGGTTGGAACACACAGGTAAAATACAACGTTGCACACACATACTTGTACTCAAACGGAGATATAAACACACTTGTGTTTTCACAGCCCTCAATTCACCTCATGTGTCCTCTCTACATATTCCAGTACTCCATTCTAAGCATCATTTACTGATTGTCTGACTTTGTGCTCCTGCACAACAGAAATGGGGTTCCTGGTGCAGTCAGGAGAGATTCACAACTGTAAAATGCAAAATCAGAATCCTGTCTCTAGTAGCCATAAGCACATAAAAGAATTATTTCTCAAGTCAGGAATGTTTTTGACACCCCTGCATGCCAATGCTGATGGATTCCATCACATACTATTTGAAGTCTCTGTCTCTGCTGAGAGCTGCTACAAACCATTTACCAACCCTTAAGTGAGGTACCAAATTGTTTTGGAGTACTGCAGCACGACAGAACAAATTATAGAGAAGACTTAATTTGTATTATGGTTCAACACAGTCAATTACATATTGCAGAGATTAGAAAGTAATTTAACATTTAAGTTTCAGTTGTTAACAAAATCCACAGCCTCCAAATTATTTTAGGTCTCCTGTGACTTTAGTCACTGTTGCAAATGTTGGAGATTTTAAATGGGAGCACAGAAAAAGTCTCAAACTGGGTAACAAGACATTCTTGTGATGCATGAGTTCTTTTTTTTTTAGGCTAAACATAATGGCATTATTGTATTTTATTCAAACACTAAGAAGTTTTTGCCTGGTGTTAAAAGTCCAAAATATCCATCTGCACCAAGCCTGCTGCCTTTCCTCTTCCCCTTAAGTTTACTCTGGTCTCTCCCACCAGCCATTGTTTCCTCTCCTTTCCTCCATTCCATCCCCTGCTTCTCCTCTTCCCCCAGGTCACTCCTTGTACATCACACTGAATTGATTTAGCTGCCTCTGAGATCTGTAGCATTTCTAATTTCCCTCAGGCTGCTTGGCACCTATCATAAATTTTTTCACCCCTTATCCTCATCTTGCCCCTTTATTTCCATGCTGTAGCCTCCAGTGCCACTAAATCAATTAAGTCAATCAATTAAGTACTTGGAGGGTCCAGCAATCATGTCAAAAATGTGAGTTAGATGGCATGAGAAAGTCACTGCTTTACTATCGCTATTTCTCTTTTAATGAGGTTGTCTATTTAGTGGAGCCTGGGGCACAGTGTTAAGAGCCACAACAAAAAAAAAAAAAAAATATCCTGCAAGCTGCAAATCCTCCTGGAAAAGCTGCCCCACGGAAAGCAGGGGGCTTGTTCCACACAGTATTACATCCAGCAGGACAAGGCTCACAGGGATTTGGGTGGCACAGCCTCTCACCTCCAGGAACTGCACACTGAGCCTGGTTCCAGAGAGTGGCATCAACTGGGAGCTGCACTATGGATGCTGGGATGTGGGATACACATGGACCAAGCCTATTCCTGCCTGTTCACACTGGAATAAGCAATAAAACATTTTGCCTGTATAAACTCCCTAAACACCTCAGTTACCCACTAAACTGCAAAATCCTGAATGAATTCATAATGAAATAACTTCATGGAACACAGTTTCAGCCATGCTGCAAGTCCTCTGTATTCCAACTGAGCAGCACATAAGGAAATCAGGCCCTGTCTGTTTAGGAAGACCATGGAAAAAAACCCAAAAAACAGAAATTGAACCTAGCATGGAAAATGAATGGTAAAACCTTACCAAGAAGCTCAGCAAGCCCAAAATGTGACAGGACATCGACCATTACTTACTGCAACACAGTGCAAACACAGAATTGCAAAGCATGTGAGTGGCTCTGAGATTAATTTTATTTCCCTGCTGCAAGAAAACCCTGGGTGGCACAGATGGTTCTCCTCCACTGCACCCAGGAGGCTGCTGTGCTGGGCTCAAAATGCAGCACCTGGTCCAATGCTCTTCACAGCCACTGCCTTACAATTCCTGTTTGTTTTAGCTGATATTTGCAGGGATCATGGGGACAACAACATGCCACAAGCATTTCCTCAGTTGCTGTGCTTGTGTTGCAATGTTTCTCTGCTGTTCCCTTAAAATGCACTTAGCAAAGGTGGAGTGGAGCTGCTCATCCCCGTCAGAAACATCCCCCAGTCCTGTAGGTGCCCACGGCAGCAGGGCTGGAATTAGATGATCTTTAAGGCTCCTTCCAACCCAAACCATCCCAGGACATGAAACACCTGAATTCTCTACTGCATATTCAAATCCCAGACCGACCTAGTTTTGTAACTTCTGAAAGTTTTAAGAGATGAACAGCAGTCCTTGTATGGAGACAGCAAAATAAACATCACCCAACTCCCCAAAATCTCTGACACAGACTTTTCCCTGGTACTCATTAAGGTGCATGGATACCTCTCAAGCAGTTGTGAACCCTTCCACTTCCTCTCCCTCTAGAGAAAAGTGCATTTCAGTGGGACTGTGCATACAAAATTTGGAGGAAAAGTCAACAGTCTCAAATGTCAGAGTGAAATGAAAAACACATCAATAAATTGCATTTGCATCACAAACTTTCTGGTGTTGTTTTCTGGAACTTGGTATTTGGATGGCAGATGGGGTGGCAAGACATCAGCCTCCTGAGATAAGGCAGGGGATGAGCAGATGGGGAAATGAAACAACCACTGCAAAAATTCTCAGTTTCATGTGAAACAGCAGAGAGGAGACAGCTCAGTGTTATTTCAGAGCTACAGCTGCCAACAACTTCAAACTCCCTGCAAATTACTACTGGACACAGCACAGGGTGACTGAGAAACATCTTATTTCCAATCTGACAGCCCTTCCCTACTGTCATGAGCACTTCTGTCACATGCCCACGGAGAGGGGACAGAACAAACAATATATGACAGATCACAGTAATCTGCCTTAAATGTGATAGTGCTTAGTGTGAGGAAACACTTGATAGCCAAAAAAATCTGCTATATAAACATTAACTGCAACATGTGGAAAATTTTATCAGGTTTGATCTAGGAAACGAAGAGAGCTGTAGAGCTTAAGCTCAGCAAATTATCAAAATACTGAATTCCTACGAGAAGAGCAAGGAGTTTTTGAACAAAGCATCATTCCAATTCAGCTTTCAAAAAGAAATGTCACATAAGAAAACCTGGAAAGCAAAACCCTCTGGAAACCTCTTGCAGTTATGGAGATTTCAGTATTGGGAGGCATTTCCCAGCACAGGCCAAGATGATCAG